TCTTAGTTATTGTACATGATACACAACTAAATGGTGCATTGATAAGTGATTTAAATGAAATGAATAATAATAATTATTACAAATGACACATTTTTTTTATATAAAACAATAAGGTCCTCCTGAAAAACTAGAAAAACAAGAAGAGGATGAATTGGTTAAAAAAATTAATTCAATAATGATGCAGCTTGAAAAAAATATGGAGAAGAATGCACAGGGTATGTTTTAAGAAGTAAACAATTTGGTATTTGTTGCTTTTTTTTTCACAAACATAGGCATAGTTAAAGTGTTGCATTTCTTTCATTTTTTTTTTATTTGAAAAATAAAGCAAACAATTTTAGTTGAGATTTTTAAAAAGATTATGTTAACGTGATAGAATGACAAGGTTCTTAAAGCTTATATAACAGGCATTTCTTAATTCTTGGGAGATGATGTGTTTAATTGAAACATTTTCTTGGGTGAATGAAGGTATTAAAGTATATTAATAAATAAAAGCTAGCTGAAGTCACAGTCAAATGGACCATATGGCTGATAACAAGTTTAGACGTGATACTTATAGATGTTAGAGGAAATCTTCTCCATTAATAACAATTAAGAATGGAGAAGAAAAAATTTAATTGAAATTTAAATATTATCCCCCTATTGCTTATAACTTAAGAAATTTTCCTTCAGCATACAATTTTAAAAAATATATAATTAACTTTTAAAAATGTTTTAGAACTGAACAATCAGATGGTATTAGGTGTGTTAAAAAAAAAGCCATCAGGCAGAAAAAGCGAAAATTATAAGGTGTGGGTTGTTCAGTTGAAAAATGCTGTGAAAACATACCCTATTGTGGATCCAGAGAGTGAGACTAACATGAATACTCGAATACTGTTAATCATTTGTGAATATTTACAGGTAAAAAATTATTTTCTTTTTTTTCTTTTAATGCTGCAAATTAGCTTATTAATCTGTATTTAATTTAAACATACATGAAATTGAAAACAATGTGTTGTTATTTTAAACTGCATAATTAAGGTGTGACTTAATACTTATTACTTATAATTTAAGCATTTGAAGGTAAACTTATATTTCAAAGAGTTGACTTAAACAATAAATTAAATCTTGCTAGCTCTAAAACCACCAGGATTGCTTGTTAAAACCTAATTTGTAAAATTGTTATTTTTAGGTTTACAACTTTGCATTAGAGACCCATGATTTGGTTGAGCTTAAAGATATAATGCCATATTTGAAAAAGACTTTTGATAAATTTAACAACTACAAAAATAAAACTCAAGAAGAAGCTGTGCTTTATGGCTATTTTGAAGGTAGTTTTTTTTTTAATACTGAGTTTTGGCTCATTTCTGGTCTAACATAAAATAATTTTGCAAATCGCCAACTATTTGAGAATAATTCTACTCATATACATTTATTATGAATTCTTAAATTTTAAGGATAATTCAATAATATATCTATTTGCAGAACTTATTATGCTTGTTGATAGTTGGCAGGGAAAAGAAAACACAAATCTTACTACCTTATCCAAAACTTTAGAAGAGAATCTATTTCCTGAAGAATGTTCACGTGGAATCATCTTTGTCAGTACTAGAGAACTCGCAAAAGCTCTAGTGTCTTGGTTAAACAGAAGCAACAAAAGTTTTTTAAATGCTTCAGTTTTTTCTGGAACACGTGCAAGTGAGCATCAGAGAGGTAGGGTAAAATATAAATGTAAAAATTTTAAGTTGTGTTAAAATACTATTTAGTCAGCTCTCTTCATTAAATTGTCGTGTTTGTGTGTGCAGGAAGATCACCAATGGCACAGAAACAGATTATTGAACAATTTAAGACTGGTGCAATTAGACTTCTTGTAGCTACTCCTGCTGCTGAGGAAAGTCTTGACATTCCACTCTGCAACTTAATTATCCGATATAATTATATTGGCAATGAAGTTTCTACTAAGCAAACACTAGGTAATTCTAACAACATACACCATTTTTTTAATTTAAAATATGTGCTCAATTAGTGATAATTTAGTTGTTTCACTGCTTTTACACTAGGAAAACGAAACCCAGCAAGTTAATGTTATTTGAATTTTTTTTTTCCAGCAGAACTTGCTGCAAGTTTTTTTTTCTGTTTAGTTTACATGTATGTTGTAAAAGTGGTGTTACATTTTAAGTTATATATATATATATATATATATATATATATATATATATATATATATATATATATATATATATATATATATATATATATATATGCATGTATACATTATGTATAGTACAGTTAAGGGAGCCGTTAAAAAGAGTCACATTCATTTCTGTAACCACTGGAGTAAATTTCTACAAATATGTGTACATAGTAGAATAATGTATAATTCTAATTCTTTTGTCTTGTAATTTTATTGTTTCTTATGTAATATGTAGGTCTATAAAAGAACATACACACATATATTATAAATAATAAATAGCAGTTTCATATTCTAAAAATGCTTTTTTATTTTCAGGAAGATGTAGAGCAGAAGGGGGAAAATCTGTTCTCTTAACTATGGAAGATATTTTAAAACGAGAACTAAGAAACATCCAAAGAACAAAATTAATTTCTGAAGCTATTAGTGTAATTGATCAAATGGATGTACATGAAATTATACAGAGAAATAGTTATTTTCAATTAGACATGATTAAAAAGGATGAAATAGCTGAAGCTGAGAGAAAGATGCATAAAAAAGATCCAAAAGAAGTTCATTGCACTATGGTAAATAAAACTACCTCTGCCACTACAGTAGACTTACACTTTCATTGTTAAAAACACATTCTAAACAATATAAACATTTCTTTGTTTCTACAATGGTTTTGCAGGTTTGTTTCCTTTGTCGACAAGTTTCAATAGATTGCTCTCTAGTGCGGACAATTAAAAAAAGGCACAGAATCTTTCTTGATAGGTATAAATACAAAAACATTTTTTTTTACTTTAAAAATACGTATATTCATTTTATAATATATATTTTAAATAAGCATTATTCTCTTACACTACCTAATTTTATTTAAGCATTATTCTCTTACATTAACTTATCGAATAAAAAGAAATCTTAACTACTTAAACAAGATTTTTAAAAACAAATATTTACAGCTATGAATTTTAAATATTTAAAAAATCTGCTTTAGTGACCTACTAAAAAGTGGTAAAGTGAGGTTTAAGCCTAATAAGCCCAAGACATCGGATGAAGTTGACTTTTTAGGACCAGTGCTATGTCAGGGCGAAATTGAAGGAAAAGGAGTATGCGGGAACGCATTGGGCTCTTTGATCATGTATCGAAATGTAAAATTCCTAACAATGGGAATAAAGGCTTTTGGATTTTGCATGGGCACAAATACAGCTCTACAATACTTTAAAAAGTGGGACAAGGTGCCATATAATTTTGATGAACTCACCCCATATGACACCAAGAGGTAATTTAAGTTTTTGGTATTTTTACATCTGCATTTAATCTTTAAAATAGCAACAATTTGATTTAAATGTAATTGCTTTTGTTACAATTGTTAAATGCTCATTGTCTGCTGTAAAATTAAACAAATATTACATTCTGTTTAGATTTAGGCACATATCAAGGTTTTAAGTAATGAATGATATTTACAATGTATAGCTAAATTAATGTTTAATGCTAAAAAAATGTCCAAATGATTGTTGGTTCTGATATTTTACTCAACAGCAAATTTTTGTTTTTGTTTTTGCAGAAATATCTTGCATAATATTTAGTATAATTTTAAAATTTTAAAATTAAAATGTAAGTTGAAATGTACTTTATTGTGCCTTTAAGTGATAATGATAAATCAATCAAATTCATTAGCAGTCTATAAATAAGGTGTATTATTATAAATTTAGTTTATAAGAAATCTTGTTACACTGTGACACTAATTATTTCATGTTGTGTCAAAGTCATTTCTTTAATCAGTTTAATAATACAAAACATAATTAACATATTTGACTTCCTCTCAACATATAAATATTTATGCTAAAAGTATGAGTTATTTACTTCCCTTGCGTAAATTGAATTTGATTTTTCATTATCAAAATAAATAAAGGTTTAGAGAACCTCAGGTTTTGTTAAATATTTCATCCTTAAACTTGATCCCATTAATTTTTTTTATTTCAGTTATCTTGAAAGCTGTATGGATGGAGATAGTTTAGACCAGTGGCCAGCAACAACTAGTGCTGGACACATGCCAGCAATAACTAGTGCTGGAGACATACCAGCAACAAGTAGTGCTGGAGAGATACCACCAACAAGTAGTGCTGGACATATACCAGCAATAACTAGTGCTGGACACATACCAGCAACAAGTAGTGCTGGACATATACCAGCAATAACTAGTGCTGGACACGTACCAAGAACAAGTAGTGCTGGACACGTACCAGCAACAACTAGTGCTGGACACGTACCAAGAACAAGTAGTGCTGGACACATGCCAGCAACAACTAGTGCTGGACACATACCACCAACAAGTAGTGCTGGAGAGATACCACCAACACGTAGTGCTGGAGACATACCACCAACAATTAGTGCTGGACACATGCCAGCAACAATTAGTGCTGGACACATGCCACCAACAAGTAGTGCTGGACACATACTAAGAACAAGTAGTGCTGGAGACATATGTGGCATGTAAAATGGTTAAGTTTTTTTTATTCTCATTTATACTAACATTAAATGACATTCAACGTAAAAGAAAAGCTTTTTGAAAAATATACTTTCAGTTTAATGCACACATTTTCTCTACTAATGTCCACTGTTAGAGTTTTGAGCCAGTCATTTTTTACTCAATGACAAACAAAGAAATTTAGCACAACTAGCATTAAAATATCAAGCTTTGTTTAAATGAAGAAACTCTTTAAAGATTTAAAGGAGGAACAGTAACAAATCAGATACACAATGTTAGACAGCTTACAAAAATATGAGCATCCAATAAATCAAACATCACTTTTTGCTTTGTACTGCTACAGTCCAGTAAGGTGTTTTCTAGTTTGTGAAGCTTTTTGCATGAACAGTTATTATTTCTTAAAGCATAAAGTGTAGAACTGGTGCTCTACAAAAGAAAGTAACTATTATCTCTATGGCAACCCTAACAATAAAAGAATTTGAATTCAGCAAAATCTTGGTAATTTAGATCGTAATTATTTTTTATAAATTTTTACAAATAATTACATGTAAAGATGCAGTATTTATAAGTAAATGCTATTACCAAAAAGTTAAAAAATTGTTTTCCTGACATATGCTATCAATTATCTTTATTTTTCTCTGCTAGTGCTTCTGTATTCTGTATTTTTGCTGGCCTTATGTTCAACTCCCAGAACTAGGGTGCTAGCTTTTTCTGACCCCCCCTACCTGCACAGATTATCCCAGCTTGGTTAAATGATTCATATCATTCATAATCAATATACTTTAAAATTAATCATGCATTTATTTTTAAAATTTTAATAGCATACATAAAAATGCTAATTTTAGTTTTAAATAGCTAAGGAAAACAATATTTGTAACACCAAATAATATCAAAGAAGTTTAAAATTTTGTAAGCATAATTCAAGATTTAAAAAATTAAAGGTGGCCTCTTAAATAGAGATAGATCCATTTTCCGTTAATAAACATTTAAAGAAAAATTGTTTAGAATTCTTTTTAATCAGAAGCATAACATATCTGACATTTGAATTATTTTAATCTAGTGAACTATTGTCAAAGGTAAACACAGTACAGATAGACAACTGCAAAATAAGGCACCAAGTTTATAATTTAATCACCATTTTGAATAGTCTTTTTGTTACACAGTCACAGTATACAAACAAGCACTAACATTCTTATACTAAATACTAATCATATGTGTACGTTGAATGCCAGGTATAATACAACCATTTTGTTAATAAATACATTAAAATATAAATAGCATAATCAACATTCAAAGGTAAAACATAAATTAAAGCTTTTGAAGTATTTTTCAACTATAATCCCTAACCAGAACTTTTAAAACTTCATTGAAACAATAAAAAACACAACAGTGTAGCTACAATTTTAAAAGTTATCCACTTTATTTTTAAAATAATAGTATATAAAAGAGTGATACTATTAATAGACCTTTTCTTAAAGTAGTAGAGATGATAAAATATAAAGTACTGTACAAAAGCATCAAAAAAAGATATTTAAGAAAGCAATGGTTTTGTTAAAAACAGTTTTAAGCCACAGCATAGATTTTTATCTCAGGAAGCAAATATCACCAGGATAATTAAAATAATTGTCATGAGAAGTTTAAGAACATTTATCTATACAAAAAATGCATTTATTTAATTATTAAACACATAAATTAACATTAACATTACATCATATCTATTTTAAACACTTATATAATTTAAGTTTGTGTTTGTATAAATCATAAAAATACCCAAATTCAGTTTTTTCCAATTATTTTTAACAAAGATAACACTAAAAAGTTACTTGTTTTACTATATTATTTGGATATGTTTATGTGTTTACCATTCTATAGCCATTAAATTGAATTTAGAAAGATAATTTTAGAAACATTTTGTGCTTTGCAAGTTTCAAACATCGTTAATTGTTTTTATTTTTGATAATTTATTTGATTTTGTTTTACACTTATGCAGCATGATTTTTTTTCCAAATTTGAAATAAAATATGAGCATATTTCATAATGACTAAAGTCTTTTTATTTTTTTTTTAAATTTAGTATATACATTAATTTTACTTGGAAATTGTTTTGCCACAGTTTTTAAAATTGCAGAATTTTATTTGTATTAAAAATGTTCAGACAAATTAGTGCTCTCGCTACTATATTCTGCTGTTGCTATTGAACTGGATGAGTCAAGCAAGTGAATAGGGCCACTAATGGAAGACAATGTGCTTGTGTCAAAACAATCTTGAAATCCTTGAGGTGCCTCATTTTCTGGCCTATTGATGCTTTTGGCAAAGTGTATCTCTGTATTTGAATAAACTGTTTTAACTTGTGTTATGTGAACAGCATCTTCTACTAAAGAAGCCTCAACATTCAGTGTGTGTTTTTTTATGGGTGGAGCATAAGCTCCTTGATTTGAGCCATCATCACTGTCACTGCTATCAGAGTCATCACTGATATCATTTGTAAAGTTATCCTCTCTTTCCAAAAGGTAGCTAAAGGTATAAAAAAAAATACATCATCAAAATGTCCAGAGATATCTCTAATACTTTCAATGCTTGTTTAAAACTAGTGCTAAAATTTTGCAGAATTAAATTGAAACAAAAATGAATTTTTTTTACACTTCACCTTTGTAACTGTTCTTTAGGGATTATCCATAAATGGTACAGAACTTTTTTGGAAATATAAAACAAAACTCAGACCCACTGATGTCACCCCCCCCCCCCCCCCCTTCACAAAAGTCTGAATCACCTTCCCTCTAGTCTAAAAATGTGGCATCTTTTATAAACTTACTTTTTAGTATCATCCAAGGTGAGTTCCTCTATAACATATGGCACTTGCTTCCATTTCTTAAACAGACGCAAATCTTGATTGTCACCCAAGTAAAATCCAAAATTCTTTATGCCAACAGCAAAGTAATGAACTTTTTCATACTTGATCATTTGACCCAAAGGATTTCCACAAACTTTTCCTGAGTTTGGCTCTCCTTGACAATATACAGGTCCTAGGAATTCAATTTCATCCATTATTTGTCCACTTCTTCTTTCAACAATTTTTATTTTCCCACTATTCACCAAGTCCCTGTATTAAAATAAAAACAGTGAGAACATGTTCATTGATGATTCTTTTTATGCTTTTTTCTGACTTACTAAACACTTTAGGTAGACTAAAAAACCCAATTCTAGTGTTCAGAAATGGATTTTATGCTTATGATTAAAGAAATCATGCAGAAAGTATGAAGACCTTGCTCTGATACCACAATAAAATATTCAGCCCTTGCAGAACTAGTGAACTGCAATTATTTAAAAAAAAAATTTAAATACATATTTAATGGATACAATTGAAATTAAATTTGTAAAAAATTGTAGAAAAGATTTAGATTCTAGTAAATTAATTTAAAATGATGTTAAATTGAAAAAGTGTTTGATAATGTTTAACAAATTCATCTACCTGTCAATAGAAATTCTATACTTTTCAAAGATAGTTCTCAATTTTGTATTATTAACTCCAACTTTTCTGCAACGTGAGCACACCTGATGAGACAGAATGAGATATACTTTATTTTTTTAATACACTTTAGACCTGAAAACATAATTTGTATTAAAAACAAACATTAGTATCACAAGGAAGGGGTGATGAGTGCAGACTGCATCACATGATTTCATCAAAACATGGAACAATGAAATGAAAAGTGGAAAATTTACTGCAGAAATCTTCTTTGTCTGGTTAATTTAACATAGTTTTTAACAGTTTTTAAAACCAATACATAAATTAAAACATTTTACTCCAATCATTCTCCATACATTATGTACTTACTGAGGTACTTAGGTAATTATAAAAAAAAATCTATTTTTTAAAGATCCTATCTTCAATGTTGTTTGTTTAGGTTACATGTTTTTTTCTAAGATATTTTTCACTGAAAAAACTAGGCTGTGTTAAATGATTAATTTTTTAAAGGAATTTTATTTACTTACAGAGCATCAAATTGGACTGTAATTATTTGACTCACCATTTTAAAAACCTCACTTTTTGATTCAACTTTCCTTTTTTTCTTAAGTTCTTCTTCAATCTCTGCCTCTTCAATGACTTTTAACTGATAAGTATTGATGAACTCAATGATGTCAGATTCTTTCATTTCAGCAATAGCTTTAATTGCTTTGTTCATCAACTTCATCCTTTCTTGGTTATTTTTCTCTCTGTTCAGAATACTCTGTGTAGCTAAAAGGACAGAGACACCACCTTGTTTTCTACTTCTCCCTGTTTGGAAAATATAAAAACAAGACAAAATTCAATTGTTAGCTATGTGTACACTAAATTATTCTAAATAATCAAACAGTACTGTAGTCAAATACTAAAACAACTCCAAATTTAAAGCATTTTTTAAAAAAGTTATACTGTATATATATCATATAAAAATAGACTTTAAAGGAAAGTAAATTTTAAATAAAAGTTTTTTTTTTTTATAGATTGTATATTTTTTTATTCTAAATAATCAAACAGTACTGTAGTCAAATACTAAAACAACTCCAAATTTAAAGCATTTTTTAAAAAAGTTATACTGTATATATATCATATAAAAATAGACTTTAAAGGAAAGTAAATTTTAAATAAAAGTTGTTTTTTTTTATAGATTGTATATTTTTTTATTCTAAATAATCAAACAGTACTGTAGTCAAATACTAAAACAACTCCAAATTTAAAGCATTTTTTAAAAAAGTTATACTGTATATATATCATATAAAAATAGACTTTAAAGGAAAGTAAATTTTAAATAAAAGTTTTTTTTTTTATAGATTGTATATTTTTTTATTCTAAATAATCAAACAGTACTGTAGTCAAATACTAAAACAACTCCAAATTTAAAGCATTTTTTAAAAAAGTTATACTGTATATATATCATATAAAAATAGACTTTAAAGGAAAGTAAATTTTAAATAAAAGTTTTTTTTTTTTATAGATTGTATATTTTTTTATTCTAAATAATCAAACAGTACTGTAGTCAAATACTAAAACAACTCCAAATTTAAAGCATTTTTTAAAAAAGTTATACTGTATATACATCATATAAAAATAGACTTTAAAGGAAAGTAAATTTTAAATAAAAGTTGTTTTTTTTTTATAGATTGTATATTTTTTTATGTTATTCATTATTAATTTATTTTATTTTTGGTGATCATTCTTTTAGTTGATTTTATTGTTTGTATAATATTTTGAACAGTGGACTCAATAATAAAGATACTTTTTGAAAATTCCTGTTTAGTTCTTTTTTTCTCTGAATATTTTGTTTTTTTCCAAAATGGAAACTGCTTGATCAGTTAGTCCTAACTCACATTTATGGAATTTCTACTATATAGTTATGTAATCAATATTCCTTTTTATTGTAGATACATCATAAAAAAATAAATTATGTAATTTTTCTATCTGATTGAGACCTGCTTATATGTAAAGATATATATAAAGACAGAGACCCATAAAACTAATATACCCCTTGTCTGCACAGTAGTGACTTCATTGCCAACATGGTTATACTTTATGACTAGGTTACATTCAGGGATGTCAAGACCTTCCTCAGCAACAGAAGTTGCTACCAACAGTCTAACCTCACCACTTGCAAACTTTTCAATAGCATTTTGCTGTTGTAGCTGAGACATTCCTAGGTGAAGTTTTAAAAACAAAAACCACATTATTTAGTTTCAATTTAGCTAAGTTAATATAAAATTATACAGAATATTTGTTAAACGAAACATATAGGCCAAAAATTGTTTTTGATTTCTTTTTATGCCATAAAATAAAATAAACATGTTTCTCACATACTTTCTTTATCATTTTATTTGGTTATTGCAGCAACAAATTAGAAAGTTTATTTAAAAAAATATAAAAAATGTACTTTTTTCTATTCTGTAGAAGTTGTTTTGGCTTACCTCCTTGCTCCTCACTAGCATTGGTTCCAGTGAACACTGAAGGATTCAGGAATTTCATTTCACCTCTTTTTATCCAGGATACAACAGCCTCTGCCAAGGCTCGTGTTCGCACAAATATGATACCCCGAGATTTTTCACTGTTTTCACCCTTGGTTAACAAGTATTCCTCTAATGTCCGGGCTAAGACTAAAAGATTAGGGTTTTCCACATCTTGTCTTTTAGCAACCACTGCTTTTAAATCTAAGTATAGAAAAAAAACACATTCATTTGTATTCTTAAGCCATTAAAAGTTTTGATACATTTCAAACAATTAAGAAAGAAATCATATTTTAATAGAAAAAACATGTTTCTCTAGAGGCCTACTACTTATAAAACAATGTTAACTCTAGATATCTTGATATTTCATTCCTTAATGTTACTAGTTATGTAAATATGATTGATCAGTTTAATTACTTTGAAAATATCCATAGAAAATTTTTTCTTCACTTGGGTTTTGGGGAAAGCGTTGAAAATCTTTAAAGCAATTTTCTAGGTATGCCATTACATCTCTCAGCTCCACAAGGTCATGGGTCTCCAAAGCAAAGTTGTAGTGCTGGGAAAAGGGAATAAGTATTAACTATACACCTACTCATTTCATATGTAGTCCATTATTGACAGCTTGGACATCTTATTTTTTAAAGATCTGGACAAGAGGATGTACTCACTTAGGTAAAGTGCAATGAAAAGTGTATGATTGATGTACTATTTTTTAAAATTAAAACTATAGACATTGTTATATTGAGCTACTTAGATTCAGTCATTCTGATTTGATTTACCCTTATATGCCAGCTGTCTGGAGAGTATATAAAAATGAACAATGAAAAATTCAAAATATATTTTCTATGAAAACATTTATATAAGCTAAAATCATCAATGCATTTTTAGGTTTTACTTTTTCTTTACTCAACAAAAAAACAAGCCTTATCAATTATTGCTCTTGTTCAAGATTTTAGCTTTGACATATATCTATTGTGTGACCACAATATGTAACTATTATTACCACTATTACTTTATATGAAGCTATAAAAAATTTAAAACTTAAAGAATTAAATAGAAAATTCCAAATATATGCCAAGTGACTGAAAATACCAACAGGACAGCATGGTCAGGTACACAAATATTAACCTCAAAAGCCACTAGTTTGGTTATTGGTCCACCCAACTCTGATCTTTACGCTGCCTGAACCTGTTAAGGTCAATGGGCATAGAGTTGACCACACAATTTCTTCATATACCAAGGTAAAAAACAGATAAAATCTGCTAATCTGTGCTTTAAACATACAGATCTGAAAAGCTACTCTTCTTTTACTAAAAATGCAGGAGATTCTAAATCCTTAGGAGTAAACAATTTCCTTACCTTTAAATAGTGAGTGATTATTATGATTGATCTCACATCCATATTTGTTTCTCTGTCTGGATCAGTGATAGGAACAGCCATTGCTGTTTTATTTAGTTTAACTATCCACTGACAGTAACCCTGGCTTTTTTTGTTTGAAGGAATATCATTTACCAGCCTTGTTATTTTTTCATTTTTCAACTCTGAAAAAATTTGATGCTTGTTATTGCCTATCAACATCTTTTTTAGGTATTGAACAAATATAAATATCTAAAATTAAAAAAAAAGAGAGATCTGAGTTTACAATAAAAATTTTAGTGCAGCTTTTATTTACATACATGGGATATCAAAGTGGAGTATTTACTGTTCAAAACTCAGACTTGTTTGTAGGATGTCCCAAAGTCCACCCAGCTCTAATGGGTAACTGACTCACATTAGGGAAGTAAAGGCAGATGGCCACATTGCTTACCACACCAAATGCAGTGGTCAAGAAACAGCTGAACTCTACTTCAACTGTGTTGTGTATCATCTGGTACAATAGGGGAACATCACATATGTTAACGCAAATAATATAAATATTTCAAAACATACCTAATGCATGATTTTTAATGTGTTGCTCAAGTTTCGCTATTATATCATAAACTTTTACTGCACATCCATCTGTATCAAGTTCTTCAAGAAGCTCATACCCTAAAGGTCAGAAAACTACATTGTAAGCACACTCAAGCAAATGAAGAATTTTTAAATGTCTAAAACATAGTAAGCCTAATTTTTAACAGGAAATAATATAAAAATGTAAAACAATAAATTTAAAAAAAAATTATTTCCATAAGAGAAAAAACTTGCTTTCAAATGGAACAGGCACCACACTTTGCAATTCTTGCAAAAATCTTTTAACAGTGGACAAATATGGAGAATCAAGGTTAGCCATGACACTTTTGACACTTTCCACAGCCTGTTTCTCCACAACTGCTTTCTCTACACCAATTGATGCTGTCAGGCCAACAATCTGTCATTAGACTTGAAAATTAAAATTGCAAAATATCCCAAGTAAGCATGAACATGTAGTGGCTTAATGCAAAACATTTTTTTTTGTTCTGCTAATAGAAAGAGCACCCACTAGTCATTTCAAGTCATGTTACTCTGATTACTGTAAATGTAGAAGCAAGGAAATATCTTAAATATTGTTCTAAAAATACATACTGTAAATATTTGTAGGCTTGTGTAAAGGAAACTGGTTGAAAAATGCAAGGCAGATATTTTTTGCAAAAAAAACTGAGTGTACCAATGCTAATTAAGTTTATAATTTGTACTTAGGCCCACAAAAAGTGTGTATTTTTTTTTTTATATCTATAAGAATTACTTTGAGAAATTTAGTTAAACAGTACTTCTAAATAAATTACCTGTGGCAAATGGTTTCTCTGTTTTTCAGTGCCTCTAACTTTAATACTGATATAAGAAAACATGACCTCGTTGTATGGCTCATCTTTTCGTGTGTGGTGGCATTCGTCAAATACTAACAAAGTGAATTTGCTAAGGCGGAAATGTTTGTTTTTTATATTATTCTGCAGAATCATTGGTGTCATCACAATAACATTGTTATCTTTCAGAATGCTCTTAAGACTCATGGTATCATTACTCCTTCCTGTGATGAGCTCAATCTGAATCATTAAAGAGATGTAATTAAAATTATAGCTCATAGGCTGAAAACATTTGTTTTTAAGAGTTAAAAATTTCACCAAAACATGTGGAGCATAATTACTTCTAAAAGTGAACCCTTATTTCATGTTGATGAAAATAGCCTTTTTACAATTTTATATATATTTTTTGTTTTACAGTTTTTTGAATAAGAAAAGAAGTTAATAGTAAATAACTAAATATTCAAAGTGAAAATGATAGATGTTTACCTTGTAAGCTTTTGGGAGATACCCGTTCAAAAATTTATATTGCTGTGTAGCCAATGGAACAGTTCTAGCCAGGAAAGCTACTCTTATTTTGCTATTAGTATCAGAGGTACCTAGGAATAAATTTGAACTATTTTTAATTCTGTTAAACTATTCACACATATATTTTATATTGGAGAGAGTAAAGCCAGGTATTTAAACAAATATTTATGGCTGTGTCCCAATATCAAATACTTGTTACAAAATATGGGATGGTTTGTTTGAATGGTAGAACATATGACTGCTAAAAGTTTTTGGGTTTGGATCCTGGTCATGAGTCATCAGGATGTTATTAAGTCCACCCCACAATGAAAGGTATCTGACTCATGGGTGAGTGTACAACTGACCACATCCTTTCATATGCCAAGATCAAAGAAACAGGGGAAGTCTACTTCATCTACCAAGTCCTTAAAGGTAACTGTTTTAAAGAATGAAATACTTAAAAGGGATTCTTTGAAAACAATTTCACATTTTTTGATGATCTTAAAGAATTATGGTTAATTTCGGCCCTATAGGACTTAAAATTGATATTCAGTTGTGAAATTCCAAACTACCTTTTTTTAAATGCTCAAAAATTATGTATGCTGCCACTAAAGTCTTTCCAGAGCCAGTGGGAGCACATATAACTGTGTTAAATCCTTCCAAAGCTTTTTCAGCTAACTCTTCTTGGTAGTTTCGCAAGACTAAGTCTTGATAATTTATACCTGCTATAGAGAAACTTAATTAATTTGCCATAAAGGCTACTAATGTTAAAAACACAAATGCATTTTCTTAGTAAAGATATTTTGTTTAATCTCAGCTTTCAACACATTTGTATAAAAATATTTAAAATAAATTTAAAATAAAATATTAAAAACAGGTCAAAAAAAAAGAGATAACTTAGTGTCAGCTATCTCAGTTTAAAATACAGTGAAATAGTGTACAAATATCATACTTTTTCTTATGGCTGGTAATTCTTCACCATCAGTAAGTATGTCATAAGTATCCTCCAAGATCTCTTCTGTACTATCAAATTCTAAACCTAGAAATAATAATGAGATCACAAATTATTTAAATGTTATGCATTATTTCAAAAAATCTGAAGTTTACTTTTGTTTACTTCAATTTGCATACCTTGTAACTGTGGTGCTGAATCACCTGGTACACTCGAAAAACAAGATGTTTTGACACTAGGTGGTGGACGATGTGTTTTTAGCACTGCAGAATCAGTAGATAATGGAACAACTCGGTTTTCTTTATCTGCACTGTATGTGCTTTCTTTAAAACGAATATGAAGAATATTTTAGAATAAAATTAAACAAAATTTGAAATGGCTAAGCATTTTGAAAAACATTAACAATTCATAAATGTCTACACTTAATATCAGCTAAACCCCTTTTAGTGTTTATCAAATAATTTAGCTGTAATTTTTTTTTACCTTTTAATCATTACTTATAAAGAACACAACTACTTCCAAGTTAGCCCACTATTTCAATAATTTAAACTGCTATGCCCTTGTTCAGCTTTGAAAAAACATGTCTAAAGCCAGCCAAATAATCAATTGAGTTAATAAATAATATATTTATTATTTTAAGATCCCATTTTGAAACTCTTCAAATTATGAAGTGTATGGCTTTTTAAAGCTTCAGATTTTTAAATTCTTATACCTTCTTAAAAGTTAATATAAATGTCAGGTTTTTTTTTTAAATTTATTAAAAAAAACATTAAAAAATATTATATACTTTTATCTTCATCATCATTTTCATCTGAACAGCAAGCACTTTCTCCATAACTCATGTAATTGTCCTTCACTTCTTCAATATGTCTGGAGTCAATAACCTTATTCTTTAAAATTCTCTTTGTAATTGGTTTATTTAGCTCAGCAGCTGTTAATTCAACTTTATAGTAATTTTCTGCACAATTAAAGATATTTATAAGTCAAATATGATATTAAAAAAAGCAATTGTTTTAACTAACATGAATTAATTTTGGAAAACTTTAGTTTAAGATAACATTTATTCAAACCAGCTCAATGAACATTCAAGTTACAGAAAAGCTCAGGACAAATAGATTCTTAAATCTGACATTTTGAGGTTGCTGCACCTCTAGAATAGATCTCAGTGAAAAAACAAATTTATATGAGAAAATTTGGGCTACATGAATGAACAAGTATTAGCTTTTGCTGAATTTGTATTGTATATTAGATAAAATGAGTGAGTGTATAATATTATAGCTCAGTCGTAGATCTAAAATATAGATAATTCTATCTAGATTTAGATAATAATAATTTTCTATATACTAAACTCTTTTAGACCTTTATTATTTTATATAAATGTTTGTTTGGAATATGGTAATTTTGAAATGCTCACTCCGGGCCTATTTGCGTAGCTAATGATTAGATCTAGATTCTAGATCTAGCAAGAAAAACTAAACTTAAGACTTAAGAAAACGAGTCGTAGAATCTAGATCTAGATAATTTTATCTAGATCTAAATAATTTCAAACCTTCTTTATTTTATATAAATCTTTGTTTGGCTAATTTAAGATAAAATTTAATTTGAAAGTTACTACTACTAGACTTAGATCTAGATCTATGCGCGTATATCAAGTTGCACAAGGTATAGTATAAAAATTCGCTTGCGACGTCACGAGTAAATAGCTAAGGTGGTAGTGTAACCGACTCTTATATAAGTGGCACGGGTTCTAGACCAATATGTCAATGATATTTTTATTTCAATTTTTTTTTTTAGATGTGAATGATAAAATTGCCTATCTGAACTTGGCAGGATACAGGGGGACATATGTTGGGGCGCCAAAATGGTTTGGAAAAATAAATTGAAAGGTTGAGGGGGGTTCAATTCGAAAGTTTGAGTGGGGGGGGGGGGGGTGCACATCAAAAGTTTGAGGGGGGGGGGGGGGGGTTGCAAATCAAAATCTTGCGGGGGGGGGGGGGGGTTCAAATAGAAAAGTTTGTCCCCGGGAAGGATCGCTATGCCTCTGAGTGACAGACGTGATGTTTTTTGATGGATGACCCCCGAAACCCACAGTTATCCAACGGATGACGGGTATTCTAGTATTTGTTAAATCTCTAACCAGAAATTCTTTTGGCATCAGAAAACTCTCTTGATACTTCAGATTCTGGTATATCAAACTGTCCACCGTGGTGACTAGATAATGAGGCTGCAGTAGTTGAACATTCTTTTGGTGTTGTTGAATGTTTGTCTGCAAATTTTGTAAGAGAATTAAGTTTTAACAACAGTTAAATATCATCTAATAAGTTTTTCTGTTCCTTTGTTTTTATGTTTTGTTATATTTTTAATGTAAATTAAAACCATTTTCAAACACCTACAATGCCTTGTCAAATTTAATATTTGAAGTATATTAATTAAATATAGCTTTAAACTCAAAGCTAATTTAGAAGGACTATCAGAGCAAAAAATAGAAAAAATAAATTACTTGAAGCAGCACTAATGCTTGAAAAGTCACTTGCTACACTTTTGGGTTTAGAATATCGCTTTGGCTCATAGCTTTCAAATTCTGTGGATGGATTTTAATAAATATCACGGAAAAAATAATTGTATCAAAGTATGGAATTATTCTGACAATTGAAATACTGCATTTTTTGAGTGTACCAAGTTGTTTCTTTGGTATACCATGAATTGCAAATCATTGGTAGTTAAAATTACTACAATAGCATTTATCTTAAAAAAAAATTATAGAAAAAGTTATTGAAAATAAAATTCTTACCACAACAAAATTGATGTTTGTTGCAACAACTCAAGTTGAAAAGACCAGGTTGATTCTGGACCAGTGAGTTAATGAAGAAAAAAGGCCAATCACTCTTCTCAGTTTTGTTACACTTAATCAATTCCATAAGACTTTCTGAAGTATCACATCTAGCTTTGCAACGCTTATGAGCAGTCTATATAATTAAAACAATTTATAGATAATTTATTTATTTAGTAAAGCTCTAATCTATTTTCAAATAACATACAATAATAATTTATGGGGGTCAAAGATCTAAATAAATTTGATTAGCAATTGTAAAAATTGTCTTAAAAACAACATTCCAATTGAAAAACTTTTCTTTGAAATATATCACACTTTTCAGCTTAACATATCTATACCTTAAAATTGTATCAAGATTTTGATACAGGGTCTTCTTTTTAAAGAGTGTTGAAATAGGAGTATGTCAAGCCCATATCAATTAGTTTGTAGGTACTTAATTTTTAAAAACTACTGACGTATTATTAAGGGATAGAGTGGCCAAATGGTAGAGAGTTTGGCTGCTAGCCCAAGGATCTCAATTTTACACCTTTGACTATGTCCACTAAGTACACCTAGCTCAAATGGATACCAGCCTTATGTTGGGAGAGTAAGAAAAAAATGAACTCTACTTCACCTGCCCAATGGATTGCTAAGTCTAAAGAGGAACTTTATTTTACTTATGTAATGTATATTTATTTTCTAACAAACCGATATTCATAAAAATGACAAATATAGCTTCATTAAAATTAAGTCACCAAAATATAAATTTGAGCAAAACACTTACACCATTGATTATATTATTACTATGCATGTCATCAAGTACATGATATAAATCTTCTTGTTTGATTTTCTGTAGCAAACTTCCATCTATTAAGTCAATGATGGAACTCAAATAATAGCAAACTGGTGCAGCCTTCAATTCATTTGGACCATTCACTTTTTTTTCTACTAGCACACAAGAATCTAAAGAAATTAATTTAATTAAAAATGTAATCTAAATCTTTAAAATCAATCATCAATCAATGAATATATTTAGTTCAGTGCAGATTAAATTAAAAATATGCATATCTGAAAATGACAGATCTTACTACTTTTGTGTTCACCATTATAGATTTCAAGTACTAATTAGAACTGAGTAATTGAGGAATATCTTACCTGTTTATAAAAAAAATAAAAGAAAATCCCATAGTTTGAAAAGCATCTTACACCCTTTGTCTAAGTACATAAAATAATTGATAATGCATTCCCCTGAACTAATATTAAGAGCAGATAGTTTTAGTGTGTAATACTGGTATAACGTTAAGGGAATTTCAAAGGGTATTTGTTCCTACCTGGATCAGCAGCAAAATCTTTTAAAGCTGCTATGAAATGATTGATGTTGTCCTTGTATGTCTCACTGTCTAACAACCATACAAAAAGTTCCTCCACAGATTTCTCACGGTCACTTAGTTTTGACAGAAATATTTCCTCAGAATTTTTTTCTGAAGAGTAGTAAAAATTAATATTGACTAAAGTGGATAATAATTATATATAATTAAATCAATAAATAATTATGAATAAATACAGTTCGCAAACAACAATCAATAGTTTTTGTTAGTATGTTTATGTGCGTGGAACATAATAATGAACATGAGATACTGTTTTTTTAAATATATACATATAAAATTGTATATGCATTTGTGTGTGTATCAGCATTTCCAAACTAGGAAGGTGGAAAAGTTTTACATTCTATATTAATATGTAAGATACACAAACATCAAGTAAAAATATACATGAGGGGATCTACTGTGAAAAACTGCACACTCCTGGACGGGGGGGGGGGGGGGGGGGGGGGAGCAGGGGTTAGACTTTTGTGATGAAGTTGAAGTCTAACATTTTTATAAGGTCTATAGAATCTAGGAGTCTAGGGTCACTGTTAATTTTGGGGCTAATGCTTCAATGGTGTAATAAATGACAAGCAACCACATATCAGGTCATATCATATAGTTTTTGACAATTTTTGTGAACAATTGATAACTATAATATACACTTGCCGATTATGCAGCTTTTCTGTTTAATATATTCTGGTTGCAGGTACTTCACAAATGTATCTCTCAGGAATTCCACAACAATTTCAGTTCCCCAATTGGTTGGTTCCATGGTTTAGAAAACTTAAATAAATATATTAATGAAAATATTTTCTTCATTGAATCTTTACAATTTTTTAGACTAATCAATAAATGTATATATTATATATATATATATATATATATATATATATATATATATATATATATATATATATATATATATATATATATATATATATAGGCCTATATAAAATTTATTATTCATAATATAAAATAAATGTAGGCTATTAAAATTAAGTATTATTAAAATACTGAATGATAAAGTATAAAAGTAGTTATTACTAGACTAGTTAGTAGTTATGGTATTACTATAAAATTATTTAAAATAATAATTAAAATAGTAACGTAGGCAAATGCTTGATTGAGTTGATTTAAGTGGTCCTATCGTATAAAAAACTAGACTCTAGATTATCATTTCGTATTAATTATTAATCATGAACTTTCATTCTGTTGTTCTAGATCTAGGTCTAAATCTATCAAGTACGATTGTTTATTTCTAAACATTATTTGCTTAAGTCTTAAGTGATAAGCTAACACTAAGAAACGTTCTTAAATTTTGGTTTCAGTTTTATTTTTAAACTTTAGCCAAATCGGCAATTCCGATAATTCCCTAATAGCGAAAATGTAACATGGGAAAATCCCAAGAACAAAAACAATTCCGATAATTTAAATGCATTAATTAATAATTAGCCCATAGTTTTTGTGAGTATTAAACGTAATTTATCCTTAAGAAATACATATTTAAAACATTTATGTTAACTTAATACCGTAATACAAAAAGCACACTAAGTAACTATAATATGATGTATTTATTTATTTAAATTATCAACTCTGATTTTATGCGTCCTTAACAACAGACTTGCCAGTAATTTATTTTTTCTTAATTGATCGTCTTAAGACTTAAACGTAATCTTTTAATTTTAAAGCTGTATACTATAATATAGCGGCATAGCTTTATACTATATTCCTATTATCTATTGTTTATTGCTATTATATCGTGTCTGTATTTTACCATAATGTATGACTACTAGTACTAGCTGCGTAGGCTAAATAAATAAATACTTAATACTAACTATACTACTAGTACTAGACTAGAATCTAGTAGCCTATATATAATATATATTACTATATAATTAATTTTATGTAGGTCTATATATATATATATATATATATATATATATATATATATATATATAGGGCCTATATTCTATATGTTTTGTTTCTTGACCCATATGGATTCCATGATATTGATATGCCTTGTCTATTTTATTAGGCCTACTACATCAAAACAAAAATAATTTAATACATTTTTATTATTCGTTATTAGCTATACCTATTTCCAATAAGCAGATCACACATTTATTAATGTAGTCTTTGTAGTTCTATTAAAACATTCACATTTGAGTTACTAATATTGATTAATGATAATTGATTCATTGTCAGACATACATCTAACTCAATATAGATCTAGGCCTACTTAATTATAGACCTAATTAACTTTGTAGCCTTATATGGTCTGGTTCATTTATTCCATTTTATGCTTAATGTCAAGATATACTCTAATTCCAGTGGTTCTCAAACTTTTTGGAAGTACCTAACCCCACCAGCTTCAAATGTGCATTTACAAAACCCTTCTTAATAGAAAAAAAAATTAGGATTATTTTTAATATTCAAAACATAGGTAGAAGATTATATATTTTACTGGTGCACAAAATTAACTGTGCTTCAAAATCATTGTGTTCTGTTAGAAAAAAAAAGCGTTAATATATGATTTCAGTGTGAATTATGCTGTTGCCTTTAGACACCATTTCAGAAATGCACAGCTTCTCCTTATATTTAGCGAGCGTTGTATTTTTGTATTTTCCATCTCCATAAGGGAGTATTCTTTTAGTTTTGCCAGTGCTAGAATAAATTGTTCAATTTGGCATTGCAAATCATGCATTTAGGATGCTGACTCCCATTAAGTTCTGTTATACATGTGATTCCTTATAGTACATATTCGTCTGATCACTTTCTTTTTTTTTGTTCAATGTGATTAGTATGATGGCATTATATATTAAGAAAGAAACCACACAACATATCATCACAAAATTCACAAGTTGACTACTGGGCCAAGATATAGAAATAAAAGGTAAGTTCATCATAGTGTTTATATACATGATAAAATCGTACCTGTATTATGTGGCGTTACAATGATTTTTTTAATGTATGTGTGTTGTGACATCATGGATTCCATTTATAGAAATATCATGATACTGATGTGTGTCATCTCACTCTGGTGCACTTTATTAATACGTTGCATTGTCATATTTGAACTGTCATTGGTGCTATTTCTATCATCTACATTGCTAATCATCCAATAGCTAATCACGTGAGTTAAGTGTATGTCTTGGCCTCCGCCAAATACCAGAGACTGACTCACCGAACCCATTGGGTTTGATTGAACCCCCGTTAAGAACCGTTGGTCTAAGCAAACTATTTTTTAATGCTATTACACATATTACTATTTCTTCTAAATTCACAGATTTCTTAAGTTAAACTGGCCATGATGGATGAACTCATTAACAAGCAGAGAGTAATTATTGATGCCCTGAGAGTAACATTTATGAAATATTTACAACCCGAGGTTATTGTACAAATAAATGAGTATATCAGTAAGTCATTAAATAAATACAACTCAGTGTCACTAACACAAGCATTAATGGCATTAATCCTGAGTATGGCAATAAACATGTTATTCATTCACAGAAAATCATGAGGCTGAGATATTTTCAACATGTGAGCGAGAATCATGTGTACATGATTTAATAAGATGGGCGTTGGAAAATGATGAAGCAATGCTAAACTTTATTCAGGCTTTAAAGAGCATTTGTGAACTCTCTGGTAATGCAAGTCAGTCATTCATTAGCTATAAATAATTAAAGTAAAAATGGTAAAATAACTGATGTTATATTTGTAAAGATTCAATTGAATTTTCAAAGTCATATTAAAATAATTATATTATTTTTAAGGATCTTGCCAATAAAACTTATGCCATGAATATTTTAATTTTGTTTTAGTATGACAGTTTTAATGAACTTATCTTCATTTATAATCAAATTAAATATATAACATTCCAACAATTTATCATGTAAAAAAAAGTTAAAATTTTTACATAAAAATAAATTTTTAGCAAGCCGCTTTGTAATTTGTACCAAAATAATTTTTTTTTAAATTACAAATTTCTCAAGTTTCAACTGCATTCATTGAGGTTATGGTGCAAGGTCCAACAGGCAATGCAGATATTCCAGTGTTCAAATATTTAAACTCTATTGTTGGCCTAATTGATGAGAGCTTAACAAAGAAATTGACAACTGATGATATGAATTTTGTACTGCATAAGTTATTTGAAGATAAGATTATCTCACAAGTATGTAAAATATGTTCCTAATTTTTAAAGTGTCAGGTTCAAAGTTTAAAAGTATATAAATACTTACTTAAAAATTATTTCTAGCCAGATTAAATGTGTTTCCAATAAATATGACATACTTTTTAATATGGCACATTTTATTTGATACAGATTGTAATTTTAATATCATTGTTTTATCACTGATCAATTTTCACTAAGTTGAATGTTTCACCAATCTAACACCTTTAAATTTGCTTTCAGGAAAACTATGATAAATTAATGGCAATAGAGGACCCAATGCAATGTTGTTCAAGCCTTTATGGAAATATCAAGAGAGGAAAACACGATTGGGTGTTTGTTTTCATTTCGGCTTTGTTTGAAAAAAATCCAAGCATTCTTAGTAATAATATCCGCTTAGTTGAAGCTGGTCAACTAAATGGTAAGATAAAGCTATAGTTAATTAATATATTTCAAATATTAAATTTGACAAGGCATTGTACTTGTTTGAATATGGTTTTAATGTGTTTACCAGAAAAAAAATTACATTAAAAATATAACGAAAAACAAATTAAAGGAACTGAAAAACTTATTAGATGATTTTTAACTGTTGTTAAAACTTAATTCTCTTACAAAATTTGCAGACAAAGATTCAACAACACCAAAAGAATGTTCAACTACTGCAGCCTCATTATCTAGTCACCACGGTGGACATTTTGATATACCAGAATCTGAAGTATCAAGAGAGTACACTGATGCCAAAAGAATTTCTGGTTAGAGATTTAACAAATATTATACACTCACTCATTTTATCTAATATACAATACAAATTCAGCAATAGCTAATACTTGTTCATTCATGTAGCCCATATTTTCTCATATACATTTTTTTTTTCACTGAGATCTATTCTAGAGCTGCAACAACCTCAAAACATCAGATTTAAAAATCTATTTGTCCTGAGCTTTTCTGTAACTTGAATGTTCATTGAGCTGATTTGAATAAATGTTATCTTAACCTAAAGTTTTCCAACATTAATTCATGTTAGTTAAAACAATTTTTTTAATATCATATTTGACTTATAAATATCTTTTATTGTGCAGAAAACTGTAAAGTTGAATTAACAACATCTGAGTTAAATAAACCAATTACAAAGAGAATGTTAAAGAATAACGTTATTGACTCCAAACATATTGAAGAAGTGAAGGACAATTACATGAGTTATGGAGAAGGTGCTTGCTGTTCAGATGAAGATGAGGATGAAGATAAAAGTATATAATATTTTTTCATGTTTTTTTTTTAAATTAAAAAAACCTGACATTTGTATTAACTTTTAAGAAGGTATCAGAATTAAAAAATCTGAAGCTTTAAAAAACCATACACTTCATAATTTGAAGAGTTTCAAAATAGGATCTTAAAATAACAAATATATTATTTATTAACTCAATTGATTATTTCACTGGCTTCAGACATGTTTTTTAATGCTGAACAAGGGCATAGTAGCTTAATTATTGAAATAGTGGGCTAACTTGGAAGTAGTTGTGTTCTTTATCAGTAATGATTAAAAGGTTAAAAAAAATTACAGCTAAATTATTTGATAAACACTAAAAGGGGTTTAGCTGATATTAAAAATTAAATGACATAAAATTACATTAATACCCAACCCTAACATTAAATTACCATTTCTATCACCTTCTACATTGCACCATTTTGAATAACATATTTGTTTTTTCAAGAATAAGAATTACGAGCCGACCCGCTGCGTATCATACGCCGCTATTTAGTTGTTTTTTTTTTCTACTTTTCAGTAATTTATAATTTGTGAATTCGACAGTACCAATGCTGCCACTGAAAATATTTGCTTAAAAACACTAAACCCCCCTTCCCCCCCCCCCTCGTGAAAGCAGCCTCCTCTTAGTTACCTCCTCTAAGTTTAAAATCGTTTCAAACTTAATTATCTGCCCCTAATAGCCGTCACCAAACCCGTCTCTATGATTGTAAAATGTAAACAGCGTGACCACAGCTCACCAAACAATGTGGGGGTGGGGGGTGGTAGTGATAGTGATAGAGAGAAAGAGAGGGGACTGCAAGGAGGCGCTTGCAGCTTGTTTTCTAACGGCTCCCAGAAGAGAATTATATATATAGATTTTAAAATAACATAAAAATTAGAATAATAGATCTACTCTATTGAAACTGATAAGCCCTTTACCTATTTGTACCTTATGTACCGATCCCACATTTTTTGTGTTTTTAATTAGTTAAATCTTTCAGCATCCACAGACCCTCCCAGCCTTAATCTTAAAGACTATCAAGTTGAGTTGGCACAGAAAGCACTAGATGGCTTAAATACTGTTATTGTGGCCCCAACAGGATCTGGTAAAACAAGAGTAGCAATAAAAATAATACTGCAACATCTTGAAAAGAATTCTGGTAACTATAACTATAGTCCAAAAACAAAACCTCCTATATTAAAGAAGACAATGGTCCTTGAATAAAAAAAAATGTATAATAAGATTTTACTAATATCAAACTAATTAAATAATAAAATAAAGTATATTTTACTGACTTAAAGCTGTTTTATTTTTTTAAATCAATCTAAAATCATAATTTGACCACCCATCTCAAAACAGCTTTGTATTGATAGGTGAGAAAGATCTGGATTTTAAAAAAATATATATAAACCTACTGTAATTCTTCTCTTATTATTTTTTTTTGCTCTCTGATACATTCTCTATAGGACGAAACAAGAAGAAAAAGATAGCCTTTTTCACACGTACAGTTCCTTTGGCAATACAACAAATGGTTGTGCTTAATAAATTTTTACCAGAAAACTACAAAGTAAGAAATAATTTTATTAATACAACTAATACAACTTAATATGTGTCATATATTCAATTCTTATTCAAACTAAAATTTATTCTTTTGACACAATAAAGTGATTTTGAATTGATAATTACTACAACAATTAACTTAATTATTTATACATTTAATACTTTAATAATATATTTATATAGGGTATTTTTTATATTTTAGGTGAAAACTATTACAGGGCAAACTGAAGATGCACTTTCATTTAATTTACTGATTGAACCTAATGATATTTTTGTGATGACACCAACAATCTTTGAGACTGGTCTGAAAAAAGGAACCATAAAGCTTTCACGTTTTTCTTTATTAATTTTTGATGAATGTCACCATGTACGTAAGGATGAACCTTACAACAGAATCATGTATTATTACTTGAAAATCAAGATAAATGGCAAAGAAAACAGAAAAAAAAATTTACCTCAGGTTTGTTTGACTTTTATTTTCACCCAATGTATATTTTCTAAAATGTATTTCTTTCGGTAAAGTCATTGTTTAGGAATTACTTTACTACTTATGAAGAAAAAAGCTTTTATCATATAAAGAAATATTTTTATTATGTAAGATATACAGCAAGTATTAAAATTGAGTTTTCTCATACAATTTTAAAAGTTTTAGTTATATATCAAATGATTTTATAAAATTAATAGAACATATTAAATCCAACAACCTTTGATATAATTATTTTAAAAAATGTGTTTATTCTAAATGAATATCTAAATTGTAAGCTATAATTTTCAAAATTTAAACCTGCATAGTAATGAGTTTGTTCTACATCATTTTCTTGTTTCCTAATCCAAATGGATAGATTATTGGTTTGTCAGCATCCATTAATGTGGATAAAGCTACAACATCAGAAGAAGCAGTGAGCAGTATCTTGATTACTTGCAGCAACTTAGATGCTCCACACCTTTCTACTGTAGTAGAGAATATCAAAACACTCTCAGAGACTGTGCCAGTTCCAAAAGAAGGTAAGTTGGCCCTAACTCCATTCTTGTATATTTCTGTTATCAGCTATTTAATAATACTACATAAAGATTTTTATTTTTCATCAACCCTTTACATACATAGATATACATGTCTTTTTTTTTTAAATAGCATGTTGAAATATTGTGTTGAATGTATTCAATTTGTGCTTTAAAAAAAAAGGAGATAAATTGAATCATTAAGAAGCATTTTTAGTTAGACATATGAATTGGTTGAACTATTCTTTAATGTTAAATCTTTGATTAGAATATCTTAGTTATGTTTAATGTCAAAGCCATTTTGGTAAAGGCGGTACAATTTTTTCGAAAGAAACTCTGATTATCATTTTTAGTCTTAGAACAATCATTAATTAACCAAAAAATATATTCACATGTTTAATGTTTTATTTTGCTCAGAGGATTATCAGTTAAAGGAGAGAGATGTTAATGACTTTTTGCTTGCAATTAAAACAACTATTAAGAAACTTGAGGAGTCTGTAAAGATGCATGCTGAAGGTACAGATTTAAAAATAGATTTTCACTCATTAATTCGGTAAAGATGTATGATTGTTGAAATTTAAGTCAAGAATATGACCTACTGTGCTGAAATGTTCTAGACCAATTATTTGAAGTTTAACAGATTTTTTTAGTCACATAAATCTAGTTCCTAGCCTGGTAACATTCTAATAATAAAATTTAATAATTAGTATTATTAGCATGCTATTAAACCAGTTTGCTTGTCTTGGATGACTTATTATTTTTTTTTACTCAACTATGACTTGCATTATCAAAATAGTTTGCCTATTGTTCTAACAGAGTTATTTCATTTCAAGTGTTTGGAAAATTTTACACTTTCTGGTAAAAGTTTTCACACAGCTTACAACTTCTAACTTGATTTCTCGAATTTGAATGTCCCTGAGTCCACCAAGCTCTGATGCATAGGCTACCTTTCCTGTGTGTGTTGGGGAAAGTAAAGGCAGCTAGACATAGAACTAATCATACAGTCTGTTTATATGCAGAGGTCACAGCAACAGGTGAACCCTTCTTCATCTACCCTATTGACTACCAGGGTGACACTAAAGTCACTGTGGTTAATCTTCAATAACACCATGTCTAGAAAAATCATTTCATGAACATATGATATAAAGGTTATTGTGATCTTAATCATTAATTATTGTAAAGGTTTGACCTGCAAATTTTACTAAGTTTAGCCACACTTAAGGGTCATCCCTTTTACCTTCCCCCTCCCCTCTGCCACATATCGCCACAAAAAGCCAGACCCCCTACCTAAATTGATGTCACACCACAGCCTACAATCCTTCTCAAAATTGCAGTTAAATTATTTTTAATTATCAATTTTGTTCTATTGTACTGTATGAGTTTGGTCAACAGAGTATTTTAATAAATTTCTATTATAAATTTTTAAAACAATATTTGAACCCCCCCAGAGTTTCTTCCAGGCATCTCTTCGGGGGGGGGGGGGGGGGGCTTTGCCCCAAACGAAATGAAATTTATATAATTTATATAGAAAATATATACTTTTAACAGTGTCCGCCCCCCGAAGAAAGTCTACTGCCCCCCCGAAAATTTCAAGTGCCCCCCCCCCGGAGAAAAAAGTCTGGAAGAAACACTGAACTCCCCCCCCCCCCCCCCCCACCCTCCCCCTAATAACACATAATCACAAAATTACAGACCCCTCCTCCCACCTATGAGTGTGAAATCATTTATGGATGACCCCTAAATGAGAAAATTAAAATGAAAGAAAACAAAAGTACATTGTTGACCCCTTTCAGAACAATGATCAAAAGATTTAACTTCAATGAAAACTTGATTTTCATTTGAATAGAAATAAATTGCTAATGCTATATATTTCAATGAGTTTAAATATACACATGCTTACATATAAAGACTTTCACCTTCTACTTTTTAATTTAATTGTTTTTAGTCCTGCAGTGTGAAAAAATCAATGAACATATTAAAAAAATACCTGGCAACAAAAAAAGCCAGGATTATGAAAATTGGATTGCGGTCTTAAAGAAAGCCACTAGATGTTACCCCATCATTGATTTTGAAAAAGAGACAAATTTAGCTGTTCGTTCCACTATGATAATTGCTGATTACCTGTTGGTAAGAAAAACAATTAGTTATAAAACAATTTAATCAAAATTTAAACACAATATTTTTGAAAATGTCCTTTGCTAAATAACAAAGAAATATTGTTAGTAATAAGAGGTGATGTGTTAAAAAATGTTAAATTAAAAAATTTGAAAGTGCTTAATAATATCTAATTTCATTTTCTTCTTTTTTATACAAAGGGCTATAGATCTGCTTTAGAATCATATGACTTGTTGGATATGATGGATGTCATAGGTCAATTGAAAAATAAGTTTTCAACCTTCAGCGTAGAAGAGCACAGAAGTAAACAAGATGATGAGTACTATGGCTACTTTGAAGGTTTATGCCCATTCATATACTAATACAGTTCACTAAAACACTTCACATTATTTTTCAAACTCACTTATAAAAAATTATAGTGTACCAAGTTAAAAAGGCTAAAAAGGAGGTAAGGGGTTGGAACATATTTGAAATGATTGAAAATATTTTTTTTTATTAACAGATTTGGTAAAAGGGAGCCAGGCTATAAAACAAGACAACAATCCCAATTTGAACATTCTACGGAAAACGTTGTTGAAGTTTCTCAATGACGGAAATTCAAGAGCAATCATCTTTGTGAGGACTAGGGCACTTGCTGAGTCTTTGACTAACTGGCTCTCTAGAACTAATGACTTAAAGTATTTAAATGCACACATTTTTACTAGTGCAAATGTCACTGAACAAAGTGGAGGTTAGTTTTTTAAAGTTAATAGCAAGAGAAACAAATGTTTAGTTGTATAGTGCATATAAACATGTAAAGGCTTACAGTAGGAAAGAACTGGTCATGGGGGGGGGGGGTGTTACAAAAATATATTGTCATCTATATCTTTATCTGTATCTCTCTATATAATACTAGCTGCATACCCGTGCTCCGCCACGATGAATCCTTTTTAAATGTACCAACTTATGAACAAAACAAAACTAAACACAAACACAAAAGAAAACACAAAAGAAAACACAAACACAACACAAACACAAAGCAAACACAACAAACAAATGCAAAAAAAAAAACGCAAACAAAAACACAAACCCAACGCAAATGCAATATGCAATCACAACCGCAATACAAACTTAAAAGAAAACACAAACCCAACACATATGCAAACTGAAACAAAATCGCAAACACAACTCAAACACTAAAGAAAATGCAAATACAAACACAACACAACACGCAAACGTAAATACAGAACACAAATGGAAACACAAAAGAAAACAAACTCAAACAAAATGCAAACACAATGCAAATCACAAATAAAAACAAAACACAAACAAATCAAAAGAAAACACAAACGTAAACACTTAAACAAATTGCTTTTGGAAACAAACGACAGTGTATACACATGCTCTCACGCACCACAGAACAACACGCTTTCCTGGGCGTCCGCATCCAGTGACCGCCTTTCCCACATTAGTTTTTACAGAAAAAAAAGTATAAAAAGGAGTAAAAACTTTGCCTACAATTAAAAACTTTAAATAAATTTGTCAATATAAAAAATAATTAAGTCACATAAATAGATCCTACTCAATAACTTACAATAAGACAATGCAATGCAAGTAAATTTTCGGCAAAACACATTGGCAATGTAATTAGAATCACCGCCAAACAACACGCTTTCCTAGGCATCAGCACCACAGAGAGAGCCTTTTCAGCATTCTCTAAAAGTCTAATTTCACCATTCACTTAAATAACACCGAAAATAAAATAGTGATTTTGAGAGATTATAGACTAATAAGAAAACAATATAAAGAATCTTAACATTTATCTATTTTAGTTATGAACCTTAACATATAGTAGGGCTGGAGGGGGTTGAATTTAAAAATTATGAATTGCTGATAAGCAGAAAATAAAACAACTAGATGGCAGCGTATACTACGTCGCAGGTCAGCTCGTTACTTATAATAAGACACTGCGATGCAAGTAAAAAGCACAACATGTGAAATGTTTACTTTTATGGTTCCAAAATCTATAGCGATGATGGACTGACACACTACCTAGCCGCTTATATTATAGATTTCTGCATGTTGTCCATCTTGAAAGGGGGAGGAAGTGGATTCTCTCTCTTCTTCAACAGCCCATGCCTATGCAACTTAAACATGAGAAAAAGTTTTAAACTTTTAAGCTCCCACACCCATTCTGAGAATTAGACAATGTCATAAATATGGAAACCACTGCTTCTGCTTCTTGTAAATCAAATTCATTTTATCATTCTTTAAGTAAATATAAATAATTTGTTACTGTAATTTATTATTCAGACCTCCTGCATTGAAGTATTGTTTAAAAAAAGCAAGTTTTACCCCCATTATGTTTACTGCTAAAATATTATAAATGCTATTTTTACGACTAAAATGTTCATTTACTTTTCAAGGCATGTCCCCTGAAGATCAAAAGGAAACACTCAGTCTTTTTTTATCTGGAAATATAAGGGTTTTAGTAGCAACATCTGTAGCTGAAGAAGGTCTTGATATACCTGAGTGCAGTCTCATCATCAAGTACAATCATGTGGGCAATGAGATCTTTAATATTCAGACTAAAGGTTATTCATTCATTAATCTATGCTTCTTTTTAGAGAACTTTATTATTTACATTTTTTATCTTTAAATATATGAAGATTAATTGAATTAGAATTTTTTTTAAATTTATACCAGTCACATCCAGCTGTTTATATGTCTATGGGTTTTGTCATTCAACTCTTTAAAAGTAGTTGTGATGTACTTATTTTTTTAATAAGAAATCAATAGAAAATTTAACTAATTTAAAAAATAACAACTCAATTTAATTTTATAATAAGCAACCAATAAATAGACTTAAATTTAGAGGTGGATATTAAAATATTGTTATAAAAATTAATAATTTTAGCCTACTTATATTAGATAAGTGCAGTTCCCTCCTAAATTAAAAAATAAAAAGACAAAAATATTTTAAACAGGACATTTCTTGAGGCAGGTGAAGTAAGTATCTCTGATCTAACCATATGAAAGGATAGTGTGGTCAGCAAAAAGCCCTCATGTGACTCAGTTACGAATCAGCTGACATGATTTGGGGACATCCTACAGATTTGACCATGGAAATCTGAACTTGAGAAAAGCAAATTCCTAGTTTTTAAACATACAATTCTTTTCTTAAAATTAAAAGTAGAAAAAAATGTTCCAATGATTCTCTATGTAAGAAAAGCAGGATATATTTAAAAATTAGTATAATTATTTCTAACAGGCAGAGCTAGAACAAAAGGTGCTTCTTCATTCCTACTGGCGTACAGTGATGTTCTAAGCAAGGAGCAAATCAATCGTGAAAAGACAAAAATAATGAATAAAGCATTTATATTAATTAATACAATGCCACATAAAACAATCGAAAGCATTGTTACAAAAAATCAAAAAGATATTTATGAAAAAAGAAGATATGAATTAGCCTTGAAGGCCAAAAAGCAGCGAGAACTATTACATGAAGAATTTACACTGGTATAATTACTCATGTATTCATTTATTAATATAATAAACTTTAATTAAATGATTAAACACATTAAGTAAAATGCTTGTAGGTCAACTGTAAGCAACATTAGATTTTTGCAATGACATTTTATAAGCCTAAATATATATATATATTTATATTTATATATACCATTTCACCAACAGGTTTAAGTTAGTAGTTTTTAATATGTTTTTATATTTTTAATTGCATTTTTATTAATTTTTCTATTTATTAGGATACTTTATTTATTTAACAGGTTTGTTCAATGTGCAGAAAAGTGTGCATTAAAAGCAGTGATATCAGAGTGTATGATACATTTATGCTTTCTGTGGATAAGTAAGTTGTACTCAACTCCTATAGCATTTATAGCATTTTATTTTTATGAACTTCTGATGGTTAAGATATATTTAGAAAACCATTTCCCTAAATAAACTTTATCAAACACAAAATTAAGTAAAAATATTTCACTGTAAGTTTTACACATTTTAAGACTTAAAAATTATTTTATAATAATTTATTATTTGTGTACATTTATTTTTGGCATATTTATAATTTTGTAATTAAAAAGCAATGCATAACAACTCAGAAGAAAAATCTGTTAAATACTTAAAATATTAAAACACAAATTATAAATTATTTTAATTTTCACATAGATTTATTATAGTAGTGTTATTTTCCCTCAAATCTCAAAAATATTAGGGAACTGCTGAAAGCTAAACTAATCGAATGTTTGGAAACAAGAAAAAAGTTCTTGACAGATTTTACAGTTATTGGAGCTGTTTACTGTCGAGGAAAGTTTAGTGAGGGCAAGACATGTGGACATAAGCTTGGAACAATGATAACATTTTCAGGTTCCCCATATTTGGCAATAAGTATCAGAAAGTGCTGTGTTTACAAAAACAACCCAGATAAACTGGAACAATATGAAAAATGGAGTGATGTACCTTATTTTATAAAAGAAATGGATAATGATGACCCTTATCTGTAAGTTTTTTTATTTTAATTCTTAAAGATTTACATTTAATTTTTGAACTAGCAGTAATTATTATTGTTTAGAAAATAATAAGATTTAATGTATTATCTGTAATAAGGTTATTTTTGTAATATAAATTACACAATAGAACAATGTTTTGGTATAGATTAATCTAGCAATTCTGTTGAGCTCTTAAATTTTTTAATATTAAAAACATAATTTGTGTTATGCTTTATAAAGCTGTTATTATGATTTTCTTAACCTAAACACCAATATATTCTGTATTCCTATAAGAAGAGTACAACTTTATTAAAAACAATAATTAAATAAAATATGTATCATGATTCTTTAGATACAATGATGTACCCCAGGAGTCCAGTGATGATGATGGGGATGATAAGGATGATGATAGTGATGAAGACAATGAAAATACAAGTTGCATGAAAATTGTAGACAACATTAAACCAACAGAAAAACAAAACAATGTCCAACAGTTGACAGTTATAAATGATTCTTCAGACAGTGATGATTGCAAACCACCAGAGACCAGGCTTTTTCTCAATGTAATGAACTCTTCTGACTATGATGATTAGAGTTTGTGAATTATAGAGAAGTTTTAAACCTACACTAATTTGTTTTTGTAAAAGAAGCAGAAAATTTAATAGAAAACACATACAAAATAACTTTGATTTTAAAAAGTAAAATATGCCAAGAGAGTTAAATATGTGTGGCAATGTTTTTTGCATGCCTAATTGTTTGGGAATAGTACAGTGGAAATAATATGTCTTTCTTCATGTTAACCTCAGCCACTGCATTCTTAAGTAGTAGGACATAACAGCTGTAATTTGTCTCATAAAATAAAAGTTCACAATTACTTTTTTTATGATATATTTTGTTTTATTTTTAAAATGTCTGTCATTTTTTTGTTTTACATTATTAGTATTTTTGAGTGGAGGGGTAGAATTTGTGTGATGTGTAATTTACAAAGGTATTTTTTAAAACTGAAATCTATGCTTTATTTATCATAATTATGTTAAAGATTTCTTTTAAATTAATGAAAATGACCAACGAATCTAATATTGAGCCCCAGCTTGCTGAAATTTAAGTATATGATTAGCGATAGCTTTGGTTTAAACCAACCTAGCAATTGTAGTTATTTTGTTTTTGGGCATTTTTTTTTTGCAAAGGGAGAAAACTCACTTAATATTTTTGGAGTAATCAAGCTGCCTTGATAACATCATCTTACGAAAGGGGATAAATGAAATTTAATAAATAGTAATAAATGAAGTGGGAAAGGGGGTTAGAAGGGGGGGGGGGTCTGACTTTTTGCGATATTTTGTGTGTCGGTAAGTAGAATATAGGCAAAAAAAAAAAGTGACCTTACTTTACTTATAGACAATCCATATGGAGTCAAATTGACAAGGGGTTAATTGACATGTGGGGTAGCCTATATTAGATAGACATGGAGTTATAATGACAGGGGCCAAGGGGGAGGAATAGTCGTTGGAGTAATTAACAAGGAGTGGGTCAGTGTTTCTTTCAAACTTATTTCTCCGTGAGGGAAGGGAGGGGTGCACTTGATTTAACTTGATATTTTCGGGGGGGGGGGGGGGAATGGAGGGCGGACACTGATAAAAGTATATATTTTCTATATAAATTCAATTTCGTTCGATGTGGGGGGGGGGGGGGGGTTCCGCCCCCTTGAAGAGATGCCTATGCCTGGAAGAGACTCTGGGAGGGGGTTTATATCCTAGATTCGGATTCACATAACTTAAATAATATTGGTGGTCGTCCATATATCATACATGACTTCATGCTACTTCAGCAGATTTTGTTTACCCCTGCCCCTTATCATCACACATCGGCACAAAAAGCTACAACAACCTTTCTTGTCGTCGTGTCCCCCCCCCCCCCTCCCCCAATAAAAAAACCCACCTTTCTGTGTCTGGGAACACCCAGAAAAAAATCCTCGTCTCCCAGAAAAAATATAATCGGAAGATAATTTTAATTAAAATGCGAAAAAATTTTGAAATTGTTTTTCCAGGAACTGGAAAATTCCGATCTATATAAATAGAATTACGAAGCTACACTTATCAAGACAAAAATCTTACTTTCACTTTCTCTCTTCTTTTGCTTTCGGTTGCAGTTGTAAAAGGGCTAGCCTAATCAATAATACGCTTTTCATTTAGTCTACTTGTGAAGTCTATAACTTACTAGAATAGATTTCAATCATATAGATCTTTTACTATTCAAGGGCTAGACTAGTAGTAACTTCAGTTTTTTCAGACTTTGAAAAGAAAATCAGAATCATCATGGCCACGGCAGTGAATGTAGACTTTTTTATGAGTATGTAAAAATTTAAGTAAAAAAAATGTAATTCTAGATCTAGACTCTATTAGCTTATTCAATATTCAGCCCTATTCATAGTTAAAAAATTGTTATTAGTAGTAGGCTAGATTAAGATTTCTGATTTACCAATCTCAGCAATTTGTCATAATTAATTTAATTATAATTATAATTAAAATATGTATTATGTATCTATTATCTGTATTAAATTAATTATTACGTTAATTTAATAATAAGGAATATTGTTTAATTCAGCAGATTGGGAGACATTATCTCTAACCGAAGAAGAGTATGATTTACCAGTATGGCAGAAAGCTATAAATACACATGTTGTGGATACCAGGCGTATTACTGTTAAAAATGATGATTCAGAAAATGAACAAGAGTTAGGCTTAAATGAAATAATACAGGATAGATTTTCTGATGAAGAAGACCAAGACGCTGATAATCCAGTTTTAGAAGGTATTTGTTGACAGTTCATTTGGTTGGACTGCATATAATAGTAATGAAGTACAATACAATTTATTTTTGAGAAGAGAATGATATTTATTTATTCCATCATTTGACAAAGAGTTAGACCAGGGGTTCCCAACCTTTTTTTACTCTAGAGCACATTCTAAAATACCGGTAGGGTGGCGGGCACCACCTATTTTAAATCGACAAACTCCTTCCATAACTTGTCATTTTCCCATAATTGATTTTCTTATTTTCTTATAGTCATAATGTATTAATAAATAAAAAACAAAAATGTTTCAAAATAATAAAATTATTTGGCATTTTTTTTCAAATTGCATACACACAGAGAAATATATTTATAAAACGTAAATAGTGCAGTCTGGCTCGCCGCTAGACAAGTTGGGACAAGTATCGAACATATTTAATAAACCTAGGCAGTTAAAAAAAAATTAAAAATATAAGATATGAAAAAAAATCATATTTTAAAATAATGTTTACGAAAAAAATTATGTCTCTGTCGAATAGTGAGAGGCGAGCACATACGAATCGTTCAGCGGGCACCATGGCGCCCGCGGGCACAGGGTTGGGAACCCCTGAGTTAGACTATATATAGATCTAAATCAATTATGGAAGTATTAAAAATAAATTTTATTAATTAAATATGCTTATAATACTAATCATGTAATCTTGGGCCAATCTGAAAAATTGTGGTTGCAAATAATGATTTTCTGATGTGTATTTACAGAAAATGGTCTCAATCTTAGAAAATACCAACATGAACTTGCTGCCAAAGCCCTGCAGGGTCTCAACACTATAATCTGTGCACCTACAGGCTCTGGTAAAACTAGAGTGGCAACTTACGTCATTCTTGAACATTTAAAAAACAGCAATGGTAAGTTTGGAATTAGGGAATAATCAGAACAAATAGGTACCTGCGTAGTTAACTTTATAAAAATTATTTAATTATTTATTCTGGTATTGTTCTATGCTTTATTGCATATTATTTTCTAATTTTTAAATTGATTTGTAACATTTTTATAAATTAATAATTGATGTAATAATAATTAATATACTAATCTATTCCTAGGCCATAAGAAAAAGAAAGTGGCTTTCTTAGCACAAACTGTGCCATTAGCACAACAGCAGTATAAAACTTTAAAGAAACATCTGCCCAATGATTATAAGGTATTTAAATGTTTGTTTTTTGTAAAATGTACTTCTTAGTTTTTGTATTAGAAAGGTAATTAAGTAGAAAATTTATATTTCTGTCAGAAAATATAATGGGAAGGGACTGTTCATGGTAGCATATTGTAAGTTACTTTGTGCATGTAAAATAATAATTATTGATACAAGATTTGTAGACAATTTTTCAAAGCAATGCCTAAAAATAATTATTATGTTAAACACTTTAAAAAAAAAGATAAATGTGCACATAAATAGTTGGTTGAAGCCCATAGTTTACATCTTGAATCACAAACTTTCTCTTCTTTATAACTACCATCAATATCTTCAACTTTTAAGTAGTTTTTTTTTCTGTTTGTCGTTATTCCTATAGCAAATATGCAAATATCCATAACTTAAATATTGAATTGAATGTTAATATTTACCATGATGAGCCTCTGTATTCTAAAAATAGTTGTATTGAAAATCCACAGATCGTCATCTTTACAGGAAAGAGTAAAAACAGCATGAGCCTTGGCCTGCTTCTGAAACACAGTGATATTTTTGTGATGACTCCAGAGATCCTGGTCAATAACATAAATATCAATGGTCTGAGGCTCAACCATTTTTCTCTGATGGTATTTGATGAGTGTCACCACACCCGCAAGAGTGAGGTGTACAATGTGCTGATGCTCAAGTACCTGATGCTCAAGCACAGAGGGGCAGCACCATCTCATCTGCCACAGGTAATTCACTCGTCATATTCACTCGTTATATATAATAAGGTTTCTCAAATTGTTTAAAATTTATAAAGGTGTGGCAGGAATATAAATCTAGTCTTCATTTTTTAGTAAAGGATGGTGTAGTCGGTCTGGCACATGATCCCCTTGTCACCCTTTATGATGTCCACATGTGGGGGGGGGGGGGGGTGTCCTAAAAAAACTGACTTTTGTGGGCACATATGGACTTTTATAAGGAAAAAAAGTGGATTTTTGTGGGGGGGGGGGGGGGGGGGGTGAGATCCAAAATCCAAAATAATTGTGGACGTCATAAATGGATGACCCCTTATACTTAACATATCCCTATCCATTTGCCTATTCCTAACCATAGCTAAAACCTATTATATGTAAAATCCATAAGCAATTGACAGGCTAATGTCCTACTGCAGTATATTTGGGGTCGGGGTGGTAATTGACAAGGGTAATATCCTGCACCTAACACTGCTAACAAGTCTGATACCTGGTCTTGATACTGTAGCCCAGTCCCTGACCAAACAACAACCCCCCCCCCTCCTTTGGCAATCACACTATATCTAAACCAAGTAGTGCAATGTATTAGGAAGAAAGTAAAAACCTGACAGAAACACAAATATAGAGGCTGACAACATGGGTGTTAAAAATGCTTATGTCTTTATCCTGTTGTGGCTTGCCTTGCTAATGAGCATAGTTTGAGTCATTTATGCCCATAGAGAAAGATAGAGAGTTTATAACTATAGATTTTTAGAAATTAATTTACTCAAAAATGTACTTAGACTCAGATATTATTTTGTTGCAGATTGTAGGCTTAACAGCTACAATAGGGATAGAGAAAGCATCTAATGATCACGTCGCAATGATGAGAATTTTGGAAGTCATGGGCAATCTGGACTGTGCTAACATCAACACAGTATCAGATAACATAGAGGAGTTACAAAGGCTTGTTGCAGTACCTGATGAGAGTAAGAGAGCTCTTATTTTAAAAAAAAAACATTAATGACCATATTTTAAAAACAAGTTGGTTTTAATTACATGTTCTTTATGGACTGCAGAATAAAATATTTATTAATTTTAAACAAGGTTTGTGTGAATAGCAAGCTTTCTGGAAAATTTGATTGGATCTCTGACTATAAAATGTTTCTAGTGTTGTAGTCATATAGGCTTACTTAAACTTGTTTTTATATTATTTCAGAGTTTGACAAAAGTTCAAAATATTGTTATAAATACAGTTTTAGTAGCACACTTTAATATAATAGTTACTAGCTTCTCAATGATTTATAATAAAATATTTTTGACTACACAGGATGCAATTTGTTGCGTGAATTGACTCCTGATGCCTTTTTTGAAAAAATTAATGAGATAATGGAAGAACTAGAAGGGTACATTAAACACCATGCTAAAAGTGAGTGCCTTATATAATGTAGACAATATATAATGTAGACAATTAGTCTCTATTTAGATAATACTAATGTAAAGAGTATAGATTTCTATTTATAAAAAAAAAAATTAGGCCTATTATCAGTTTAATCAAAAAGGTAAAGTGTTTTTTGTTAAAAGTTTAACAACACTGAATTTCTTAATTTCTTCAGGAATAAATGACCCTACATTGTCTACTGTTGTGAGGGCAATTCCTCCTGATAGGCGGTCTCAAAGATATGGACAGTGGGCAGTCAATCTCAAAGCTGCTGCACGCGCTGTGCCAAGAATCAATTCTGATAGTGCTGTTGCTATGTCAATTAGAACAGCTATCAGTTTTTCAAAATATTTAGCAGTAAGTTAATGCAAGTTAACTATTCCATTTTACATGCTTAAGTTCTGGTTAAAATATTCAGTAAGTGAAAAGATGAATTGTGAATTAGAGTCCCAGAGCCATAGGCAAACTTTTTAGATCAGTTATTTTTATTTAATTTTTTGTACCACTGCATTAAATAATATTAAAGAATTGTAATAAAAATATCCAATGACATTATTTTGTTTTAAAAGAAATCTCAACATTGCACTATTGTTAACCAAGCGATTTCAATAATCACATTTTACACTGCTGTGGGAAAATGATCTTGATTTCAAAACAATACATATTATCACTTTAGACTTTTAGTAGTTTACTGTAATATATCTTAGGACTTTAACTTCGCCTTGGAATCATATGATCTGGTGGAGCATACAGATGTCATTAATTATCTCAGTAAACGTTTTGAGAACCTGTATATCTTTGAGGAGAGAACAGAGGAAGAAAATATTCTATGCACACATTTTGAAGGTAAATAAGAATTAATTACCTGTGACATGCAATTGTAGAGTTTTATTGTCTTTTAAAAAAATAGAATTAGCATTGTTTTTATTAATAAATATTTATAAATATAAAATAGAATAAGAATTTATTAAGTAAAAACAAAATACATAAAATTTGTAGAAATCTAAAGCTTGGTAGGACTAATCTATAACAAAGTGTTTATTCACTAAGCTTGGTATGGATTATTTGTTGTTGTAAATCAGAATAAAAATATAACAATGACTTTTTTATTTCTTAGAGTTAAAAAGGATTGTCTCACTAATACCTGACGAAACAAATCCTAACCTGCGGAGTTTATCTAACACTCTCTTGGAGAATTTAGTTAACAATGGCGAGTCCTCCCGCTGCATTATCTTTGTAAAGACAAGAGCCATGGCCGAGGCTCTCAGCTCATGGATCAACAGGTGTAACATCCCAGCCCTGCAGACTTTAAAGGCCACCTATTTTACTGGCACTAATGCTTCTCAAGAACAGGGAGGTAAATCTTTACAAGAATATCTATAGGGTTGTCCATAAATGATGTTATACTCTTATGGGGATGGAGGGTTTGGAGTTATGTGATAAGTGGGAGTCAAAAAAAGTGATAACACTTTTTCACATTTAAAAAAAAGTGATGCTTGGAACTGAATTAAGCTTTAACATTCAAATGTAATGTTTTTAAATGACTTTTTAAAAATTTCAATAAAAATAGATCAAATACACATTGTTGACAGAGTTAAGTAAACGATGTTAGCAAAAACAAATTGCCATTTTTGAAAGGGGGGGGGATGGTAGGCTGAGGTGTATCCTTTACATGGGCTCTGGCTTTTTGTGGTTTATTTGATGATGGAGAGTGGTGAGGTAAAAAAAAACATTTTAAAAAGTGTGTCATCATTCATAGATCATAGATTGCCCATATAGTTTTTTTTTCTCATTCATTTTCATAACTTTGATAATATACATGAACAGACAAAAATACAAAATAGACTGCTTAAAACTAAGATGAATATAGAATATTAATTTACATCTTTTAAGAGGTAAATAGTTTCATATTTTTTTAAAGAATGATTGTCAAAAATGTAAATTTGAAAAAAAAAAATTCACATTTCTGATAAATTTACATTATATTATATTTTTGCTTAAACATTTCATAATGTATTTAGGAATGACACTTGCCTCACAAAATGATGCCCTGGAAATGTTTAGATCAGGAGAGGTAAGGATGTTAGTGGCTACATCAGTAGCTGAAGAAGGCATTGATATTCCAGAGTGCAATCTGATTATCAAGTACAATTATGTTGGGAATGAAATTACCACGATACAGACAAGAGGCAAGTTCTGTTAAAATTTGTGAAAATGCTGTCAAACAAATTGATATTAATAAGAGATCAGATTTGTTTTTTTCTGAAGTAGAATTGTCTTTAAAAAAAAATTTATATCACAGTTCTTAAAAGTTTAATTTTACATATTTGTCAATTGGTTTAAAAAAGCAAGAACTGAATAATTATTGCCTTGAGTTAAAAAAAAATGTTAATGAAGAAAAAGATGAAACGGTCACAGAAATCAGCAATCTAATACATCTATAAAGCTATTTATTTTTGTCTCTTATTTTAATTCCATAATAAAGATTTAATGTTTTCTAAAGTATAAATTATGTATAAAAATACATATTATAAAATATGATCTCATTTTGAATGGTTTTACTTTTAAATTGTATATGTTGTGGTGCGAGGATGTTAAAACTTCTATTGTATGGGGATTGTTATCGATCATATATTTACTCTTCTGTGAGGTGCCTGACAGATTCTCCAGTGTGAAATTACAAGAACTGACATAATTCCAATTTCAATTATAATCAAGTTTTTTTAACCAGTCCAACTATCCTAATCCTAACTCTACTGATATATACTATCCTACACTACTAGGTTCTTAAACCTATTTCACTCTATCCCCACTCAATTTCTATCTAACTCCTCAGCTTTAACCTAATTCCTACTCAGCTGTAACTTCACTGTCTGTTACATGCTTCACTGATCACTGATGCTATCTATGACTAGCTGACCATGACCGGTCATCTCACTTCTCATTGGTTCTTACTTCTACCTACTCTCAACTACTTGACTGATTAATATCTATCATAAACTGTTCTCTCATCTGCTTGATCTATTTCTAAGTAATCTAAGCGGTCGCGTCATCATGTGTATACCTAACTTGAATTATTCTTTTCGCTGGTAGGGAGAAGTAGACAACATGGTGGTGTGTCGATTCTGCTAGCAATGCCTGATGTTTTGGAAAGAGAGTTTAACAACTTGAATAAAACATTTATCATGAAACAAGCAATCAAACTAGTGGTAGCCATGGAGGAAAGTAAAAGAGCTGAATTTATTAACCAACATCAGCTACAAGTCCTTGAGCTTTTAGATCAGGAAGAGAAAGCTGCTCCTAAAAAAGTTCAAGCTGATTATAAAATAGTAAGAAATGGAATATGTACTCATTGCTTGTCCTTTAGATAACAATAAATCTTTAAGTTTCAGTTTTTTATTTTTTTTAATGTAATAAATATTGTGTTTGGTAAGTCACAGAAAAATAGTATTCACTTTTTTATTTATTATTATATTGTTAAATGACATAAGTTGTTTTTAAAAAAATATTATGTTAAATATTTATAATAAAAGAAAACATTTTATAAATCATTCCAGATTTGCCCAATGTGTAGACAGCTTGAAGTAGATGGTAAACATTTAAGGACAATATTTAAAAAATACAGAGTTTGTATAGACAGGTGTGACACTGCTATTTTTGTTATTTTGTCTTTAATTTGAATAATCTTTAAGATTTTAACTGAAAATACTCTCTCAGTGATGTTGATATCTTGACACAAAATATTCATTATTTTCAAGGGAACTAATTGATGGAAAGTTCATTCGATGCGCTATAAGGGATAAAAGGGAGATGGATGAACTTGAGTTTATTGGACCAGTTTATTGCAATAGCAGGCTGCCCAGTGGGAAGTTTTGTCGTCACAAATTAGGCGTAATGATCAAACACAGAGGTGCCCCTTACTTCAACCCTGGAATTGAAAATGTAGGATTTTTTACTGATGTTCAAAATCCAGTGAATTCTTATAGACAATGGAAGAAAGTTCCTTATGATATTAAAGAATTATCAACAGAGGATATTATAAGGTATAATATATAAAACTTTAAATTGAAAATATACCCCCTCCCTCAAATAGAAATGATAGAAATTATCTAACAGACCGAAGATAAATCAGTTTTCACCAAAGAAAAGTAATAAACCGGGAGTGATCTCCCCTAAACTTTCTCGAATATTCTTATATAAAACAACAGGGGATGGGAACTCGGGCTATTGACATGATTTTTAATCCATTTTAAATACTTAAAGTTTTAAAAATAGAATAAAATCTCGTAGACAAAATAATTGCACGCCAAGTGAACTAGTGAACGCCAAATAAAAAAGTGCACAATAGCGCGCAATATTATTAGTACTTTAAAAATTTACATTAGTTTTTTGAGAAATCGGAAGTAGCGTAAATTACTACTTCCGGTCAACGGAAATTACTCAAAATTTAACAGAAGGTAGAGAATTAGATCTTTTACTTACATGTGAAATTTCATTTATCTATCTGAAATAGTACTCAAGTTATAGGCTTTTGAAAAATTCAAAGTAGGAAAAGTACCACTTCCGGTTATCGGAAATCGCTCAAAAGTTGATACGGATCTACGATTTTGATAAAATACTTATATATGAAATTTCATCAACCTAGCTATAACGGTACTCAAGTAATCGTGTTTACACACGGACACACACACAGACACACAGACATACGGACAGAATTGCAAAGCCCAGTTTTTCAGACTGGATTACGCATAAAACCTCTTAATTTTGATAAATCTGGATTGATAATTTTTGCCCGATTAAAATAAGTCCTCTATACTTCGGATGTGATGAAGGACTGATGTGTAATACGGTGAAAATTGTTAAAATTTCAAGTGATTTTTGTGCACGATTACAATACTTTCTCTATACTTCGTATATACGAGAAAGTAATAAACATTTTTTAATTTTACAGATACAACAAGCTACTGCCTGAAGATTTTAATATCCAGTTGGATGAAACAGATGAAAGTAGCAGTGATGATGAGTGACAGATATCTGTGAGATGTTCTTGCATCAGTCATTCACTCAACAGTATAGGTACCAGGATTTCATTGGTAAAGAATGTATTGAAGGTGTTAATTTTATTAGGATGCCCAAAGATTCAGCGATTAAATAATCTATTCACTTGGAAAGATATATGTGTAGTGTGGTGGGCACATGGTACCATTATTTAAGAAAAAATGTTCTTTACTCTATAATCAAACCTGTAAGATTTTTCATTTTAAATAATTAGTTTTTTATGATTGATATAACACTTATTTAAATTATGTGTTTTAAATGTATTGTCTTAGTGGATTTTAAAACTTTCTACTGAGTTTAAACAAGGTATAAGATCTTGAAAATATTTGTCTATCACTACAATAGTAGTTTAAAATCAAATGCCTTTACTAATATTCACTTCTTGTATCAATTAGCTTGTCTCATGTAAGAATTGAAAAACTGTTTCTGCCAGCGCATTAATGCGTGTTTGTATTATTATACTTGTGATAAATATTTTATACATTGTGATAAAACACCATGTCGATGCAATAGTTAACTATATTCTTTTTGAGTTTTATGACTTCATTTAAAAAATTTAAACCAAAGTTTAACTTTTGCCTTGTTCACACATCAGCGTTTTTTAAAGCAGTTGAAAAGAAAAATTCCAAAGTGCCAGTGGATTTCTATTTTTATAAATTATGTTTGGGAAACTGTAATTTATGTTTGTTTAACAGTTGATTATAATAATATATAATTTATTTCATTGCATTTTAACCATATTTATTTATATATATATATATATAATGCATATTGCAATAATAAATGATGATCTGTTTACCAGAATTCACAACCATTTCAACTTTAGAAATGACTAATGCTTTTATACTAGTTTATAAATAAACCTCTGTGATACCCCCCTTTGAAAATATAGTTATACAAAAATGGACATTATTTATTAGAATTGCTAAGCTCAAGATAGTATACAAAACTGTTTTTTTTAATAAACACATTTTTGTACCTTCTAAATGCTGTTAAAATTGTTTTAGATGAAACTAACCTTAGATTTTTCTAGCTTTTCCTTTGTGTCACATACAATGTAAAGTAAGACATTGTATTATCTTTTTGGAGACCATATCTATTTCTTGATTTAAAAACAATTATTTCTAGTTTTAAGACAATTTTGGGTGGGCTATGCATGTGAAAATGTATTTTTTAAAGTTTAACAGAGTGAAAAGGAACAAAATTATGGTAAAATTTAATACAGTTTAATTTTGGTTTAAAGTATTATTACTGACAACAAAAGCTCATTATTATTTTATTAATTAAACTCTTTTAGGTCATAATATTGAAAAAAGGTTATTCCGTAGTAATTATGTTTTTGTGATACTCTTATAACAATGTACATAAATCTGATGCATGTATAATTGTATAAAGATGTCAGAAAAAATTATTAATGCTTTGTTAAAATAAACTGTTCATGATACATTACATGGTTACAATTTTATTCTATTTATATATTTAAACTATACAAGATTAAAGTACATCAGTATTTCCTCTTATTAAATAAATAAATGTATGCTGATCTTAAAAAAAAAACAACTAAACAACAGGATACAAAGTTAAACTAAAAAGCATATAATATATCACAGCCAATTATATCAGAAGTTATCAGTTTGTTTAACAGTTTAAGAACAAAAAACAAATTTACTAAGTCAAACAGGATCAAAATGATTTTACATCTGCAGATCTCATATGAACTTCATAACAGTAACAATGGCAATCAACACTAAGTGTGTAGTCTGGAAGATCCTCAGGCAGGAATTAGCACACAATGGTGGCTTTAGGAGAACGCTAATGAGATTGGTCATTATGTTAGCCGTTTTACCTTCACATGTCTGCAGGGTATCCCACATGCACATCGCCTTGATTTCCACAAGTCTATCAGATATAGTTAGAATTATTACACAGAAAACCTACACTGGTTTTGATAAAAGTGATGAAAATTTGTACACAGCTGAGTACACAAATATTATTCACTACTTAAAAAATAACTTAAAAATAAATGTACTTACCTGCAGGGGTTTAAAATGTCGTAAGCTAAATCTTTTCCTTGCATGTTCACAGCTGCTACAACATCATCGTGCACACACTTTCCTATCTCACTAAAAAGTGGAAACATACAGCTTCTTGCCAGGGCTAACAAGGAAAATAATAATTCATCATTGACATTTTCCCAAAACTGTATGAGGTTTAAATATTGAACTTTTAAAAAATGTCCTACATCTTTCATATACAAGACTATACTAAAATTAAACACAGGTATAGTTTTTAATAAACCGGGAGTGATCTCCCCTAAACTTTCTTGAATATTCTTATAAACACTACGGGAGATGGCACATCACGATATAGACAAGATTTTTAATCCACTTTTAATTATTTAAACTTTTTAAAACAATATCTCGTAGAAAAAAAGAATTGCACACCAAGTGAAAGAAAAAAAAAGTATATAATAGTGCGGAATATTATTAGTACGTTATAAATTCTCATGCGTTTTTTGAGAAATCGGAAATAGCATAAATTACTACTTCTGGTTAATGGAAATAACTCAAAATTTGACAGGCAGAGAATAAGATCTTTTACTTATATGTGAAATTGCATTTATCTATCTGAAATAGTACTCAAGTTATAGGCTTTTGAAAAATTGAAAGTAGAAAAAGTTCCAATTCCGGTTATTGGAAATCGCTTAAAAGTTGATACGGATCTAAAAATTTAATATAATACTTATATATGAAATTTCATCAACCTAGCTGTAACGGTACTCAAGTTATCGTGTTTACAGACACACACACAGACAAGATTGCAAAACTATGTTTTTCCGACTCAGGGAGGTGTAAAACGTCGAGATTTGAAAAAAATCTTGATTTTTTTTTCAAGATTGCTATACTTTCTCTATACTTTGTATACTAGAAAGTAAAAATGTATAAGTAATGCCTTGGTATGGACTTCAGAATATTTAATATACAATGTAAAATGTTTTTAAGCATGTTCAACTATATTAAAAATTAGTTTACAATTTGTTAAGTCCTAAAAGAAAATGTAATGCTGATAGGGATCATTCACAATCAGTGAATGCATATAGAAAGAGGGGGGGGGTGTCTCAGACATGTGTTATTGGATGGAAATGAGAGAGGTGTGGGGGGGGGGGTAGAAAAAATGTAACAAAAAATACTAGTTAGTTTAATACTGTAAATTGTTAGTTTAATTCTTAAAATTAAAAATAATTAGAACCATACTGATTTAAAAAAAAATATTCTTTAGATTTTTTACTTTCCAGGGGCAGGTGAAGTAGAGTTCATCTGTTTCAGCAGAGACCTTTGCATGTCGGCTTTACTTTCCCTAACATGAGTTAGGTACCCATCAGGGATGTTGAAAGGACTATAGCTCAGGATCCGAACTTGAGACTTTCGGGTTAGCAGTCAAATGCTCTACCATTTGACCACACTTTCTATTTTTTATAAGAATCATGTATTATTTTGTTGGGGGGGTTTATGATATGGGGTGGGGGAGGGGTGGGGAGTGAATCATCTGTACTAAAAATGACAAAATGAATGGATTACTTAGAAGAAAAACTAACAGTCATTTACAGCACACAGCTCTCGTAATGTTTCTCTGACAGCCAGCTGGCTTGGCACAGATGCAGCGGTTATTTCTTTGTTCACCATTACCAAACAGCTGTGGTGGCCCACGATGATCATACAATACAAAACCCTGGTGTACTTTGTCAAACTGTCACTGTTGCTGGTTAAGAAAATGTTAACACATGTTACACCAAGAGGGTGGAGGAATCCATACATATGCTGTGTGTGAGGAATTCCATACAAATGGCATGGGAGGGAAGGGGGGGGGGGGTTGAATTCAACATGTAGGTTCCTATATACATATATAAGTATATATATATATATATATATATATATATATATATATATATATATATATATATATATATATATATATATATATATATATATATATATATATATGTGTGTGTGTGTGGGGTCTTAAATATATGTTGTGGGTTAACCTAGAGCCTACATTTGATGTTGGGGGGGGGGGGCCTTCCAATACATATTGTGTGTGTGTGTGGGTGGGAGGGAGGGACCCCATACATGAGGGGATGCAACATGTGCTAGCTGTGATGATGTAGACTTAAATAAATGTTTTAAACATACATTAACCAAGGATGTGACCAGAACATTAAAACATTTGGACATTTTTTAATTGAAGCCCTCTTATACCATTTTTTGCACTAAGTAATAGCTTAATATAGGTTATATCTTTAAAAAAAAAGAAATTTATGTTACTCAAAAATAACACAGAAAGTGTTTTACTTGCAGTAATTCCTAATAATAAACAATTTTTTAAAAATTGCACAAGTTAACTAAATGCAATAGAAACTTTCAAATAAAATATCAAACTCATTTAAACAGTAGTTTTCACTCTTTTTAAAAGTATTCAAATAATTATTTATTCTTTTAGATAGCCTTGGACCGCTATTTAAAATTGCTGGTGTAATGTCGTCCCCCCCCCCCCCCCCCCCCCCCAACAAGACACGGTAGAGGTGTCATTGTGGACACTAGTTCAGAAATCAGTAGTCTTGTAGCACACGCCGTAGCATGAACAATAATTACTACCTGAGATTGTCTGTGACGCCACTTTTTATTTTTTCCCACCCTAGCAATATCAAACACATTCTCAGGGCAGAGAGTTCACATAACTTAGAAATCATTAACGGTTCTTATAGTCACTTAAGTCACCTTTTGTAAGGACTTCAAAATAAATTTGACCTTATAAAATAAAGGAAAAGCAGCAGATTAACAACAGATAAAGTTTGAATCTACCTAGACTAGGGGTCGGCAACCTGCGGCTCGCGAGCCGCATTTGGCTCTTTTGATGTCAAGTTGCGGCTCTTCAGCTTAATGCACAAATATTTATAATTATTTTATTCTATTTTCAAAACTGAAAAAAATATTGTTCTGCAACACTCGATAATGAACGATATAATAATAAACATAAACAAGTAACACTCACTATTCAATAAGACTATTAACTACTCCCTATTTCAATGTTCTTCCTAATAAATAGTCCATTTCGAATTGAAACATTCAACTTCATGGTGTATATCATAAAGAAAATAAACGAACTAAATGTAAAACTGAAAGGAAGGAAAACCCAGCCTATACCTTGCTAGAAGAAGTGGATTGTTTCGGGAAAAAAACAACTTTATTTTGTTAAAGACATGGAGAGCGGTAAATTACTTAATTATGAAAAATCTGGAAAAAAATATCATGATAAAACCAATGCTACTATTACAGCATTACTATAAATAAAATGAAGGATGTTTTCACTGAGAGATTTGAGCAATTCAAAACAAATTCAAGTACTCTGACGTTTATGGTAGACCCTTTCAACACAAAAACAAATGAGATTATTTCATATGTTTAAAGCTATTTATTTTAAATTTATATATATATATATATATATATATATATATATATATATATATATATATATATATATATATATATATATATATATATATAATTATATATATATATACATATATATATATATAACCCAATTCAAAGATCATACTAATGACATAAAAATGTTTGTGGCTCTTTAAATACTGGGTAACTTTGTAAATTGTAACTTTTGGCTCTTCTGTCTCAAAAGGTTGCCGACCCCTGACCTAGACTAACATGCATGAGAGATAACATAAGAGGAAAGGGAATTGGAAGGTGTACATCTCCTTTAAGTATAATATTTTAGAATACATTTGTGTGATTTGTTTTTTGGAGAAATTATGTAACTAAAAACTTCATAAAATGACTTCCCTGATTAATAAAGATTGATGATATGCACTAATTTTGATAGTTTTTGTTAGCTAAAACAAATAATTTGAAATGAATACATAATTGTTGCTATGGTTAAGTAGTTTGTATTCCTGAAGATTTCATTTAGAAAATATGAGAAAACCAGTAAAAACTGTTCTATGAATTCTGTTTAAATTTAAGTAAAAAGGTAAGCCAAAAGTAGCTATAGATGGAAATCATAATTTAACAATATTTTAAAGTAACATTGGGTTATTATTTTAGAAAACTATCTAGATGAGAGACTTACCCACATTTGTGTTGGTTGAACAGTTCCTGGACAAAATGTAGAAAGCTATCCTGAATTTCACCGCTTGCTGAGCATGGTCGGGCATCGAACAATCTTTGAACTGTACTGTCAGACTGGTTTCCAAGGAAACCACTGCAGTATTCAACTTCATCCTATGAAACAAATAATTTCCAATCAATGTTAGAAATATACTTCTTATTGTAAATTTTTATACTTATACTGTGTACCTAATGGAATCAGCTCTGTCTAGATATAGTCTCACTATGAATATTTTAAGATATTGTTCAGCAGTACTTAAAAATCTGTATTTATAGCTTTTCGAACCAGGCAGACAAAGTAGAGTTCACCTATTTCTGTGACCTTGGCATATAAAGGGGTAGTGTGGTCAGCAATTGTCCAACTGCCTTTTTTTTTTTTGCAACGTCAGTTAGGCACCCATCACAGCTGGGTAGATTCTGGGACTACAGCTCAGAAAGGAACTCAGGACTCATGGGTTAGCAGTACTCTACTGTTTAAAGTACTTGACAGTAACAAATAATTGAGCTAACTAGGCAATACTTGTAGACAGTCATGATAAGTACACATTTTATATTTAACTTTATTCTTGTTTAAATTAATGGGAATTACTAAAAATCGTATTTAAACACTGGAAATAGCACAAAAATGTTTGATTTCCTAATTCCTATGTTTTTGAATATTTTAGTTTTTAAACAAAATTAGCTTCCAATTATTGGTTCAATTTTCAAGTACTCAGCATTGAAAAATTCTTATTATTCAGCTTCTAAGAATACTGTTTATTTCAAGATTGAAAGGTTTGATTGTTATGCTAATTAAAATCTCATGGGCTACTTTGAAAACATTGCAAGGAACAAGTTTTCTTCCATAACAGAAATGATAAAATTGGACAACATTCTTACTGAACAGAGTTCATTATGTACTAAGAGCATTTGCATCCACTTTATTAGTTATATATGCGTTTGATACTTAAGTACATACTTAATACAAAATCTCACACATTGGAAGTTAATATTACAGGATTGATGGTACTCTGTAAGATTTCATACCTTAATGTCTGAATTTTTTGATGTGCCTACAATGGTAGATGCATGAGCCAATGATGTGGGCTCTGTAGTGATGACTTCCCTTGTTACATTGTCTAACTGGTACTTGGAAGTGGCATTTTCATTTGTTAAACTCCCTTGTCCCTCAGACAATGCACCTGATAGAATAAATTATTCAACAAATTATCAAGACAATGTAAATTAAGATAATTTATCCTTATCCAGAATGTGTACAATCAAAATTAAATTAATATTATAACATAAAGGTATTTACAATTCAAACGAACATTTTAAAAAATACTTTACTTGTAAAAAACAATGAGAGTAGAAGAAAAAGCATTTCTAATTAGAAGTTTCTGTATGTATTGCTGGGAACAAAACAAAATAGTTGATAATTTATCAGAAAGAAAATGAACATTAGTTAAAAAGATTAATGGCTACTTGTCATCAGTCAGCTACCCCTGTGCCTATGAATCATACCTAAAAATGTTTTGACTTGTAAAAAACATACAATCAACAATAGATAATACTATGAAACTGTAATTATAAATTTGTACAAAACCAAGTTAAAAATTTAAAAAAATTAAAATAGTAAATGTTATAATAATAACAAATTATTTTAACTTTATTGTTAAGAATAAAGATTGCTGTGCAATTTAAAATATAATACTTAAGTTCAACACACTCATTTATTTTTCAGATCTTAAGCTAATATAAAGAGTTACATTTTTTTTTTAACTACAGCATTCTACTAGATATCATGAGAGATAAAATATTCAGTATAAGTAAAGACTAAGAAGCCTTTTTGCCATGACCAGATGTTACTCTAATTAATAACTTGCCTTACATTAGGTGCACACAGCATATTGATGAGACAAAGATGAATTGCATTAATCTAATAATAGCCAATAATTGAGTTGGAATGATCAGTGTGTTTTCAATCTAGAATGTTGATCCAGCTGAATAAGTCATATAAACCCTCTCAGCACAGGTCACTTGAATGTATGGTTGGTTATGCTTTGGTCATCTAGAGTATGTTTAATTAGCCCCTGGTTATATAAGGTATGTTTGATTAGTTCCCAGTCATTTAGATATAAGTTAGATTATTCACTGGTCATCTAGGGTATGTCTAATTAGCCCCTGGTCATCTAAGGTATATTTAATTAGTACCTGGTCATCTAGGGTATGATTAATTAGCCTCTGGTCATCGAAGATATATTCAATTAGTACCTGGTCATCTAGGGTATACTTAATTAGGCCCTGCTCATTTAGGGTAATTTTAATTAGCCCCTTGTCATCTACGGTATGTTTAATTAGTTCCTGGTCATTAAGGTGTGTTAGTTATTCACTGGTCAACTAGGGTATATTTAATTAGCCCCAAGTCATCTAGGGTTTAATTATTAATTGGCCTCTTGTCATTATGGGATATTTTTTATTATCTTCTTTAGCTAACCAACAGGTCAGTTTGGTGTATAGTAAGTTAACTTAATTGCTGACCCACTAGAAGCTGGAATGATGGTTTACTAAAAAGAATACACTTTTGATCTTAAGTTTTGAATTTACTGAATTATATGAATGAAAATTGTTTTTGAATTTTAATAACAAGTGTCTATGTAGACAAATAATATTACTTAAATAAATAGAGTTTTAAGGTTAATACTATAACCTTTAATTAACTATCAATGAAAGCATGCTTTTTTAAAAAAAAATATATTTAAAAATATAGTTACTGAAAACCAAAATTTAATTATTTTTGAAAAAAAAAATGATTAAAAATATTTCAGGTAGTTGGTAAAATTTGGTAAATGACCTTTATGCAATTTCAGGCAAATATTGTAGACCCCAAATAATGGTATGGTAGATTAGGTCTGGTGATATTTTTTACTAGCTTCTGAACTAGTCTGCTCACTTTTAAAACACACAACACCATTCACAGCTGTTGACTTACTTCACTCTTTTAGCTAACACTATCTAATTTCACAATCTTATTAAACATTCTTCTTTTACAGCCATAAGAATTATCTAGTCTGTCTGTGTCTCATGAATCAGACTCAAAAGCACATGGTTTAGACTAAACTTATAATCAAAGGAAATATATTTAAAAAACAAAGTTAACTCAGCTCACATCCTCACTATAACAAAAGCCAGGAATCAAAAAGTTTTACTACACTAACTATAAAGCTATTCATAACTTACGCATAATCAATATGAAATAATTTTAAAATTCATAGGTTGTTTACAAAAATAGGACCTATAAAAATTTTAAAGAACAAAGAAAATAAAGAATTAAACTTCATTCAAAAGCACACTTTATTCAGAATTTTAAAACCATTAATGCCTGATCCATTTAAAAAAGAAATCTTTATTAATGAAAAATGATAGCTAGGGTAGTCCAGAAATAAAGTAAGAAAACAAATAAAATAAATGACTTACAAAACCATTTCCAAATAATTTTTTATTGCTCCATTCAGTTGCTAAAATTATGTTTTTGTCATCATGTGGTATTCATTTAAAATCCTGCCCAATGTTTCCACACTTTCTTGAAATATTTCCTACAATGATACAATGTAAATAAATATGAAATATTATCGAAAGTTCTGTAGATTTTATCTATTGACACATTAAGTTTTGTTTTTTCAATTTAAGTGTGCGTCTCTGAGACATCAATGAGTTCATTCAACTCTGATGGGTACTTGGCTGAATTAGGGGAAAGGTTAAGGTAAAGTAAATAGAGTTTCCCTTTCAAACCTGACGGTCTATGGGGCAAGTGAAGTAGAGTTCACTTGTTTCTGTGACCTCAGCATATGAAGAGATAGTGTGGTCAGCACTATGCCCAGCCGCCTTTACTTTCCCTAACGTGAGTTAGGTACCCATCAGAGTTGGGTGGACTCAGGGACGGTCTACTAACTTGAACCCCGATTTGAACTCGAGACTTACGGGTTAGCATTCCAGCTCTCTACCGCTAGACCACTCCGTCCCACAAGGTTAAGATAACTGGGCTTATATTAAGCTTAGCACTGATCACACATTCCCTTCAAATGCCTAAGTGACAAAAATAAAAAACTCTACTTCTATGTTCTCCTTAGACAATGCACTATAAGGTGTTTTAGTTTACTTTTGACTAATTGAAGCAAAAAACAACAATCTAGCAGGTCTTATACACAATGTCTCCTTTTGTTTGCAATAATAAATACTAACCAAATCTTCTCACAACACTTTTTATGAATGTCTCTTACCTCAGATATTCCATGACGATAATACCAGTGCACATAGGCCCGAGACTCAAGTTTAATCAATGCTCTTGATAAAATGGTCTGCACATGGTCTAAGAATCCAGTAGAGTTAATGGCCAGAGTTAAACTACGACTTTCTTTTGAACCTATTGTGTTGGCTTTAGCTCTCCAGTAGTCAATAGGGTAAGGATTCCAGTCAACAAAATTAAGCCCCCTCTTTATTTTTCTTTCCTGTGTTGTTTTCATAGTGGAGAGGAAAGTGTTATCAGCATCTCCACGAGCTACCACTGTGGCAGAGAGAGCTCGTGTGGGTTCTCCATTGCTGTCAAACTTTGGATTGTACTGTAAAATTTTGGACGTCAATCCTTCCCATGAAAGTTTCTTTGATGTGTGTTGTGTGAGAGTGATGAACTTTGTAGATGGCATAGGGGTCAAAGTTCGAATAAGCTCCCATGGCTCTTGTCCTAAACTCAATCCCTTCGCAGTTGATAATGAATTTGTAGGTAAAAAAACACCACTTAGATTGTTTGCTATAGTCTTGTTCACATCTTGAAACGACAACTGGCCATGCATTTCTAAATTACTTGATTCACCAGCTTGAAGCAGATGATTAAGATGATTGATATAATAATCATTCGGAAGCAAGATTATTGAATCAGAGTAACTCTGCAGCCAATGCAGGCCTAAGAGAGCGTTATAGTTTTGAAGAGGGCTTTCACCACTGGCACAAGGTGCTACAGCACAGGACAAGATGTTGCTACATGGATAGCTGTCTCTCATTAGCTCTATCAGATGTGATCCTAGACCCGAGCCAGTCCCACCACTTAAACTGTGGTATACAACACATCCACTGTACATGTCACATCTTTCAGTTTCTTTTCTCACTGCTTCCATACTCTCCTCCATGAGATGATCATCCCCTTGAGATGTCATACCAGTGTATCCCAAAGCAAAGTTAGTCCCTCTACCTCTTTTCCCAACAATAATATTTTTCTCACGCACTTTAAATGTTTTGGGAAGAGAGTAGATAACTTTAGACTCGCTGTCAATGTGAATACTTCTTTGCCATCCATCCATTGATTTGAACAAATGCTCAGCTCCTTTGTCACAGCTATTAGAGTAGTTTTTCCATAAAGGAATGCTCATTTGGTTTCCACACTGACCAATGTGAATGTGAACTGTTGACATTTTCACTCAGTTGTTTTTTTATCTAAACAGAAATAATTAAAAAAAAAATGAAATGCACAGGATTAGACTAGATCAGACTGACTTGACTTTTAAAAATGTTTATTTTTTTATATTTCAGACTTCTCTATGTGGGTATATTTTGAAAACATTGTTTTATTAATTGTTTGAAGTTAAGAAAAATAATCTTTGTAATATTCATGTTTTGAACATGAATATTACAAAGATTATAAACAGTTTATATGATTTAGGCCTACCTTTTTGCATTTTCAAATATATTGTTGTTGTTGTTATAATTATTATTAATCTCAGAGGGCATGCTTAAGCCACACTCCTAGGCCTAGGGTGAGGGAGGTTGACTATTTTGTGACAATGTGTGTTGGTGGTGAAGGGTGAGGGTAGGGATGGGGATATCAGACAGTGTGGCATACATTACAGTTTGAAAAAAAGTAGGCCTAATATCTTAAGCCCTTAAGCTGAATTTTTACATATTTAACAATAACTTTGCATTTTTAGGAACATTTAGTCTATGTAAGTTGCAGGTGAAATGTGAATTTTACCTACTCTGCCCCATGGAACAATATGACCATGTCTGACAGAGTTACTTTGCTTTCCTTTTTATTTAAGTTTTTTTAATATGTATTATAAAATTGCTTAGATTGAAAACTGTGTAATTGTAATAATCAGAGCTCAGTTACTATATGACACTATATGTTAGAAAGAAATTTTGTTTCATAAAACTAAAATTGCTTGTTGTGGGTCAGGTAAGCTGATGTGTGACATTATACATTATTTTTGGGATGTTGGACTAATACTATTATAATACTATACTGTATATTCATAATATATAATATAGATTATATGATAGTGTATGATATTGTATAACTTACTAACGTATGCCAGAGACTAGGTGTAGAGTGTAGAGTGTAAAGTCACAAAGTGTAAGTAGATCTAGTAAGTGTACAGTGTACTAGTGTAGACTCACTAGTCTAGTTAACTACTAAGAGTCTAGAACTCTAGATCTAGTCGCTAGAGACTGTTCTAGATTCTAGATCTTAATAAAATAAAAACAAAACAAACCAGTATTGAACATAAAATCAACAAAAACATACAATGAAATAAGATAGAATGATAGATCTAGGTTCTAGAATAGATCCAAGACTGTAATCGAAGTGATTACAGTGGTTACAGAATATAGAACTCTCTAGTTGCTAGGTTACAATTTGTATTAGATATAATTAAACGAAAATAAAATGTTTCATAATTTTTAGTTGTCATTGTAGAATGTAGATTCTAGATCTAGATCTAGATCTATGTAGAGAAAAAAAATATTGGCGACCATTTAGGCCTAGATCTAGATCTAAATCTAGATCTAAATGTTTTCGAAAAAAATCTGTTTTAAAAATGTATGTTACATCACAAAAGCCAACCCTACCACCAAACAGACGAGACATGCACACAGTGATAGTCGTTTGTCACGGATGACACCTAATCAACTAATTCTTCAAAACGTTTTACATTTACATGCTTGTATGTGATTGTATACTACTACATAAAGCATATAGGGGCGAAAATAAAAGAAACTATAACCAGTGTCTGTCGCCCCCCCCCCTCCCCTGGAAAAGGAAATTTAAGAATGAACTATTCAAGTGCGCCCCCCCCCCCCCCGCGGCAGTGTTTCTTCCACTTTTTTCTCCGGGGGGGGGGGGGGGCACTTAAAATTTTCGGGGGGGGGGGGGCGGTAGACTTTCTTCGGGGGGGGGGGGGCGGACACTGTTAAAAGTATATATTTTCTATATAAATTATATAAATTTCATTTCGTTTGGGGGGGGGGGGGCGGTAGAATTTATTCGGGGGGGATGCCTGGAAGAAACTCTGCCCCGCGGTGTTAATTTGTATAATTTTATCAGTACAGTCGTAGTGTTTATTACTTCACAATTATGATAGGCCTAAGTAGTAATACACGCAAACAAATTAAAACATGCACATATTCTTCTCCGTAACTTGAAGTAATTTCAGCCGTATTTTTAATTTTTTAAAATGGTATCATAAATTATTTATTTGTTTTTAGACTGTAAATTCATTTGTTTTTATGGATGAGCACACAAATTATTTTGTAAAATGGTGACTATAAAAAAATAAATTATTGTAAAAATCTATCTAGATTCTAGATAGCAAACACATTCGGATCAGGGGGTGGAAGAACAGAAAATACGGAAATATTTCCGTCCCCCCCCCTCCCCTCAGAAAATCTAAGTGCCTCCCTCCACTCGAGATGTGCTTGAAAGAAACCCTGCTTCTATCAAACATGTGAAATTATAATAATTATAATATAATAAAGTAAAGTTATACGATGTATCTTTTTTTTTTTTTTTTTTTTTTTTTTTTTTTTTTTTTTTATATTTAAAAACCGAAATAACTATTTTATTACCAACTAACAATATTTAGCGAGCTCTTTTGTATTGAAGAATAGTTATCTTGAAGTAGAAGTAAACTTGAAAACAAAAAAGAAATTTTGTTTTTATTTTCTTAATTAAGCTTTATTTCTGAATAAATGAGACTTTACGTCGAATCACCTAGATTTTCTACTTGATACGGACGCACTTAAGGCTTTTATCTTTGGGTTGTGTAAACATTTTGTTCATTTTTTTCTACTGTAAAAGGCTAAACTTAAATTCGAGTTAGTAGACTACTGACTAGATCTAGTAAAACAGTAGTTCTTTGATCTAGATTCTAGAATCTAAATCTAGATCTAAATCTAGTAATCTAGATTTCTAGAAGAGTCGTAGCTAAGCTTACTAATACTAAGCTAGATTCTAGATCTACTACTGTCTAGTTTAAATTACTAGATCTAGATCTAGTAATCTAATTATTAAAGTTATTAGGCTAATATTTTCTGACTTAGACTATGACTAGAATTTTTTAGATCTAGTCTAGATTGTAAATGTGAAATCAGGCTAATAAAATTAAAAGTAAAGTAAAACTAAAAACTAATCCCTAAACGCCTAAAGGTCTCAAACTGAAACACCAAAATTCACATTCTAAATTTAAATTAGGCCTAAATAGCCTACTATGTTAACTTAACTTTTAAGACTTTCTCATGGGCCAATTTTAATTTAATAGCCCTTAAAATGGGTGATAGTCCTAGGCCTAATAATTATAAATAACTTAATAACAGTTAATTTCTTGTTGTACCAACGTTCAACACAATTCTTATTACTATGCCTATAGTGGCCCTATAGTCCCTAATAAAATTGTAGTCTAAAGTCTAGCTAACTAATAGAAGGCCCTACCAAGTGAGGCTAATAAGTGAGCATTGGGTTTCTAGATCTAATTTTTAGTACCTGTAAATTAATTGTACAAGCCTATCAATATCATTGCTTAAATTAGTCTACAATGAATAACTGTACATATAAAATTGGCATATGATCTAAAGTAACTAGATTCTCTATATATTATTAGATGCCTATCAGTACATTTTTAATAGCCTGATTATTTATTCTAGATTAAAGTATGCAGAATCATGTCAGAGTTACCAACTGATATCAGCAAAGGGAGTAAAAGTGAGGCTTATAACAAGGATGAGCCCTCTGTTGTCTTTAAAAAATTACAACACAAAGAAAATGAGAAAGAAAAGGCACCCCCATTTGTTAACCCCATAGATATTACAGACTGTCATGGAAATACCAATATGGATGCGAATCGACAAACACCACAGAAAAGATTCACAAATGTTGAGCAAAAGACTCCGTCAAAATCATTTAGAAGGTCGCAATCTAAAACTCCAAGAAAATCTTTTCAACAAAAGTCACCTGCAAAGAGCACACAAAAAACACCCAAAAAGTCTGTCACTCCTTCAAAGGGAAAATCATCGGCTCATGCTAATAAACGACTGATTGGTGCTGAAGTTTCTACTGAGGATCAAACTCCAACAAAAAGGTGCAAAATAAATTAAAATATTCTTTATATGTATAACGATTTTTAAGTTTTTTAATACATATTTCCATTTTATCTTTTTTTACTTAAGAAATATTTTCAGACATCTAGTATTTCTGAGTCAGATATTTTTAAGCAGTTAAAACCTATTATAGGCTATAACTTATTGACGGTGACCAGAAAGATGCGCAATGGAGAAGTGTGCACATGCATTTTTGGTTTCTTAATTCAAACATTTATAGACACTCACAAAGAATGACCACATGCACATTGTAGCATAATAAAACACTTTTTTATGAAATATAATGAAATTAAAGTGTATTGGCATAATTGGTTTGTATTGGCACATTTTTCTGTTTGCGCATTTTTCTGAGAACCCATATTGACATGTTTTGAGACTTAGGAATTGGAATGTAAATACAAAATACAATCTTATTGTTTAAATTTAGAAACATTTATTATTTAATTGTCTTTTAAAAGTGTAAAATAAATCTAAATGAACATGAACTTCAATAAAAAAACATTTTATCGTTATTGTTTTAAAACCTTTTAGGCCCAGGACAAATATTTCAAACAAAAATGAAAATAATAAAGAAAGTGAATGTCTAGATGCAAATGAGGCCACAGTAGATGAGTCTTTGGAAAAGAAAGCACGTAAAATCAACATGACTGCCAAAAATGTAAAATCTGTGATTCATGTAAGCCACAAAATGTATTTTGAAACAGCGCACAAATTTTAAAAATAATATTAAAACAGTTAATATCCTTAAGTATTTTTAATTCCTGGATTTTAGAGTTAAATACTCTTTTTCTCCAGCATGTGCTTACTAACGAGCTGGTGCTCAATATGTTCAAGAATGTTTTAAGATCGGAAGAAGATGAGACTGGTCCACAGGTGGAAGAAAACACCAGTCAAAGCTTCATACCAGAAAATTTGGACTGTGTGCCCAAAATGACAAGGGCCAAAGTAAAGCATATTTTAGAAAAAATTTGTGTAAGTGGTTTATTGATTTTTAAATTTTCTATTTCATAAAATACCCTCTGCTAAATGAAATATTTTCCTGTCTGTTTATTTAATTTAATTCTTGACAGCAGTTGGTTAATAATTGTCTTAAATTGTTTAGGTCATACAATTTATCTTTATAAAAAAATTAGAAACAAACTAAAAGTTTTTGTTATTCTTTTAGTAGTTTAATAAGTAAGTGTAAAACTTGATTTAAAAAAAATTATATTTAAGGCCCAGTCACCAATGAAAATAACAAAAGGCGGTCCCAGCATACTAGATGTTGAGTTTGCTGAAGAGGAAGATGATGATGAATATAACCCTGAGAAAGATGAGGAGGTAGGGTTGATTTTAATACAATATTTTTGTAATACTCAAGATGCACACAATTATTCTTACATTATTTTATGATTTATACAAATGTACACAATTCTATATTGAAATGACTTTAGATTTTACTTTAGTACTTCATACTTAAAACTTTGTTTTTGATTAATCAAGTGCCATGACAGTGATGATGATGAAAGTGTCACTTCTTCAAGAATGAGTGATTTTGGTTCACCTTATCCCAATACTCCATCAACACCAGTTATAAGGCAAAGTGATCTTTATAATGTAAGTTATAAGTAGTAAAATGTTATTTTATCATTCTTAATATTGTATGTTTGCTTGAAGCCATTTGACTTGTTTTTGTACTCATTGCATTTCCTATTTTCTTAAATTATATTTATTATTCCAGAAATAATTCAGATAAGAAGCAATACATCTTGTCCCATTTTTTAACAACATATTTTGTCACCGATTGAAAAAATAAATTATATTTAATCAGTTAAAAAATGAATATTTTGTTTCTATATTATTCTTATGTTGGTTTATTAGTTAAAATTGCAGGAACCTTAATTATCATGGTATCTAAATTCTATATGAGCTAAAAAGAATTTGAATTTCTTTTAGATGTCGAGCACACCTATCCAGTATCCATCTTGCTCCTTCACAAACAGTGGAACACCCAAGAATTTGGCTGCTGCTTTCTCAGCTAGTTCCAGTACACCTAGTGAATTAGAGCAAGAAGGGGTATGTAATTTAATTGAAAAAAGGTACTATTTTGTTAAACGCATGATTTAATACGGCCAAACATGACAAGTTTTAATTCTGATTTATTAAAGAATACTATTTTTCTTCATAACATGAAACACTGGAGTCATTAGTATATTTTTTATCTTAAAACCTTGTGTAGGTGGATACTATTGCTCTCCGCACCCGCTCCAAATTACCTTTAACAAGTACAACCATCACAGAAATAGAGAGTGCATTTGTGGCCCCTGATATTACACCAGATTTGTATCATACAAATTATGAAGACCCTGAATATTACCAGTTTCTGTCTAACCTTTACAAACCTGCAGGTATGTATGAGGCTTCATTCTTAATTTATTTTCCTAACAGAAATGAGGAAACTTATTAGATATTGCATTTCTTTAATTGCATATTTTGTAAAATATATTATCTTGAAGCTGGATAATTGTTAAAAATCTCAAAAAGATTTGCAGCAAAATCCTACAATATTTATTGATGAGGTTTAAGCAATACAATTATTTAAATGCCAATTTTAATTTCAAAACTTTAATGAGGCTTGCTATCCTTAAGAATTTTAAATCTTTCTAAAAAGTGTGCCTGTCATTATTCCATAATAAAAATCAATTCTTATAATATTCTTAACTCTAAACTATGTATTTGTGTATTTCTTGTCACAGATGAAACTATAACAGATGATGATGCTGATGCCAATGACCCAGAGTTTAACTACTTTGCTGAAGCCGAAAGAGAAAAGCCAGACGCTGAAGATTTTAGAGTTGATAAGTTCACGCAGATTCCAAGTACATACTTTCTTTTTAAACAATATTATTTTTCTATTTAATGACAAATTATATGACTTATACACATTTTTTGTTGTTATTTATTTATTATTTTCATAATGATTTTTTGCTGACCAGTGGTCAAAATTTGATGGTTTTGCATTTTCTGTTAGAGCCTTATCAAAGTTACTTTTTTAGTATTTACACATGTTTCTCCTCATACATTTCCAAATTTAAACCATAACTATGATATAGCCACACAAAAAAACTTATTATAATGATGTTTTGCCCACACACCCATTAACTGAATTTGTTTAACAAAATTTATCTTCAACCATTGTACAGAAAAAGAGCTGCTCCACCTTCTAGATGGTCTTGAAGAGTTGTTTGAGGATGAAGTCTTGCCCCACCAGGCCATGGCCAGTGCCAGTGAGATGAATGTTAACACAATAGGAGAAGCCAGCATGCAGGATAGCATCCAAGCCAGCCAAATGAGCCAGCCAGCATCTAATGCATGTAACTTAGTGGCTGAATTCAAAACACCAAGTGCCCCGCCATGCTTAGATCCAGTTCAAGAGTTTAAGACACCAAATGCCCCATCAAGTCTGAGTTACATCCAAGCTCAAAGTTATGAAGAATCACCAGGCAGTACGAATAACTACCTCGATCCTCCAGCCCAAGTCAACGTAATAAATTATAACAGGTTTGTTTAAAGTTGTATATAGAGCCTTGTTAGCAGTAATACATTTAAATGTTGAATCTAGAGTAACATTAGGTTGACCTATTTTTAAAAATGTTTAAATCTTATCAGGGACTTAATATTTGAAATAAGCCAATTAGATAAAAACAGTATAAAGAAAAGCTAATAATATATCTTATCTGTTATACTTTTTAATGTAAAATGTTTCTATTTATTTTGTCATCAGTTTCACTGAAATGCCATATGAAGAAGTAGCTGTTTCTCATGAACATAGAGCGTTAATTGAAGATAACATGAGAAAGGTATTTCTATTACTTCTAATTTTATATTTTGTAATGTTTTTATGTCAACTACCATGGTAATTACCCTTGAGAATAAGCCGCTTCAATCTAGAACTTTTACTGAGATAAACCCATCACATACAAAGCATCAGTTTTTATAAAGAACACAAAATATAATGGTTTAAAGCTTACTTACACCATGTCCCATAACAAATTTCAGCATATCCAACTACTGGCTCAGAGTTACATATTATTTCATGGTAAGAATCTGGAGTCATCACTGGACAGTGTACCAATGGAGTTGTTGGTGAGTAACCAAAGAGAGAGACGTATTTTACATAGTTTATTGTCCCAATCAACATAACTTTTTAAATCTTTACAGAAGCTAAATCTTGCATTTTGCTTATTTCCTTTTTATAATTCACGAGCTGACCCACGACGTAGCATATGCCGCTAACTAGTTGTTTTATCTTCTACTTATCAACAATTCATAATTCACTACCCCTATAATACATTGGAATCACTGTAGACATCATCTGCAGGAAAATTTGTTCTGCCCTGCTAAAACATTTAAGACTGTCAGCTACAGTACCTTGATATTCACTGTTCTTCCGTTTAATTGTAATTTAAAGTCTGAGTTATTCACTGTGCATCAAAAAGTTGATTTTTGTTTCATCTGATGTTGAAATTTTCCCCCCATCAAAATGACATTTTAAAATGGATTTCAGAATGAGCTGAAAAATTTGAGAGAGCAGTCCCCAGCTGGCCAGAAAAGTGTTTTTAATGTCTGTAATCTCAACCCAGCCCTGGAGCTTTTGGAGAACTCTTCTTTGTTTGAAGATGCTAATACTGATATACACATTTCAACTAACAAAAATGGTAAGATTGAGCAATATTATATCGGAGTGAAGCACACAGAAATATTTTAAATAACTAACATAATGCCATTTTATTTGTCTTTTAAATAGATTATTTCTCTATTAATGTTAATATTCCTTTTCAAACAATAAATATTGATTCAAATTTGAATAATTTTTCTTATAGCATGTGGACTGACAAATACCCAACAGTTAGCTATCTTCAACAGTCCTGCTTTTGTTTACCCTTTCCTGCTTCCTTCACTGAAGAAGAATGTTAAGACAGATCGGAAGTATAATAAATTTCTTCAAAGTGAAGACAAGTAAGTGACGTTTTTTAAAAAGTAGTATTATGTACATCAGCCAATCTGTACATAGACCAGTTTTATTAGAGAGTAGAGTAGGTTCAGTTTTGGACAGGGTTAGGAAGGTGATCTCAACAACATACAACTTTAACATAAAAAGGTTTTTGATTGGCTCATTGTTACAATACTTTACAGAGTGCTTAGTTGCTTTTAGTTAATTTTTTTTTAAATGATTTAAAAATCAAGTCTATTGCATGAAAATGAAAAAAAAAGCATTAATTGTAATTTACAGCTTGATAGCTCTTGGCCTGGAGCAGTTCCAGCACTGTAAAAATATCCTGCCAGTTCAGTTAATACAGAATTTGCTGATCAGAGGCAAGGACTCAAATAAAATTCATTTCCGCATTCAGTTCATGTCTTCCCAAAAAGTTGGAGATAATGCAATCAAGGTGACTGTTATTATATCACATAGATTTTCTAAATTAACAACTTATAGCTAATTTTTCTTGCAACACTTCCTTTTTTTTTGTTTTAACTTATTATTGGATAAGATAAAAAACTATTGATGGTGGTTTAACCTAAATGTATTTGTTTGGTCTGCAGTGTGTAAAAAAAACTGGCAAATTACCTGATAATTTCCCCAAGCCTGTGGTAGACACATTTTATCCCCAGCCACCTAGGGATCAATTCTCTGTTCACTTGCCTGGTTGGTGCTTGGTAAGTTAAATTAAAATCAATTTAATAATAATGCTACCTAATTGTTCAAATAATATATTAAAAATTAAAAAGGCATTATTACTCAGAAACTAGTTGAACATTTATAACTAAAAATCCTAGCCCATTAATTGATTTTTAAATTTACATTTTGAAATGCAACTTTAATTCAATTTAATTTCTCTCAGGCTTTGAGAGATAAGATGAATAAATCTTCAGTTACAGTAAGTTACTTCTTATTGTTCATATCAAATTTTTCACAAATTTTATAAAATTGTAAAAACTTTGGTTTTGATTTTTTTTTTAATTTAAATTTTGTTTTCTCTAATTTTATATTTCACAAGCTTTTAAATTCATTATTACTTTTCTAATTGGTATAAGACTGAAATTAAATTTGAAACAATATAAAGTAACTAATATTAAAAATTGAAAATAAAGCTATAACTTAAACATTAAAAGTTTCTTTTTTACTTTAATTTCATCTGTCAAATATGCATGCTTTTTACACTTTTTTTTCTGAATTCTTGTTTTAGTATAAGATTTTCTAAATTTTCTCAAATGTATATCTCAGTTATCATGCTGTTTTCCCAGAATGCAACTTTACAACCTTCAGTATCATCTGAAGCTGGTCAGGCAGTAATAGTTGCCAAGCAACCAATAGCTGTACTAGAACAAAATAAATTTAGCAGCAGCTTACAAAAAACTGCATCTACAAGCAAAAGAGGCAGAACAAAAAACAAGCTAAAGAGGTAAAAATTTAGTAAAAAATAAGTTTACTTTCAGACTTATCTGCATTGGTGGAGTTTCTTTTCTTTATGTATTCTTGTAAATTAATTAAGTAATAGTAATGTTCAATTGTTCCAAATGTATTATCTTTTTTTTGATGAATGTTTTACTGGTTACTAAAGATGTAATCTTAGAACGAGGTTAGATATTTACTATTAAATGATAACCCAAAAATAAAACAATTTAAAAATTGCTTTTTTTAGAGCAAGCTTATTTTACATTTATAGCAATTCATTTGGTACCTATCAAATTTGTATGACATGATTTTTAATTTTTTTGATACAAATTTTCTGTGACACTTAATATCCATTTAAATTCAACATATTTATGCTTTAGTATAACATTCTATATTATGAGTTTTTTTGTTAAGTATACCACTAAAACAAGTGAACTCTACTTCATTTTCCCCATAGACCGTCAGGTTTGAAAGGGAAACTTTACTTTACTTTACTTATACCACTAAATTATGAGTTAAATGTTTAATATATTTTCAGCATAACACCCCAAGCCATGCAGCAAACTGATAGCAGAATTCCAGGTTTGTCCACCTTTATCTTGCCCAGTTCCATGGCACCAGTCTCAGGAATCTTCATCCAGTTTGGTAACTCTGCCAAACCCCTCCCATTTATCTCTCCATCGGTACCAGGAACCCCTGTCCACTCAGCACCTGGCTTATCAACAGCTGAAACAGCATCAAAATCAAGAATCACGACGGAAACTATTTCATCTGACAGCGCTTGCAGTAACCCAGGAAATTGGAAATCATACTCTAACACTGTAGCTACTCAAACATTGGAGCCGTCTTCACCAGATATCCTTGCTAAATCTATGCTTTCTTGTGGCATTGCGGAATCCCCAATCTGCCCATCTCCATCCAACGCTGTTAACCCTTCTATGGAACCATGCTCTACATCAACTCCGACCCCTTCAAGTTCGTGTCTTAAAAATAATATCGTCCGGAATCTCAACTCAGCGTTTGATGCTGCCAACAATTCGCCGGCCGTAAGTGTTCGCTCACCGGCGCTCAGCATCATCAACCACAGTGAGGCTAGCTCGCAAACTTTATCAGAGCAACCCATCCCTAAAGACAATGCCAACCGCAATAAATCCTCAGAGACTGACATGGAGGTCACGTTGACCTCGGAGAATGTCAACACAAGTCAGAGTGGTCTCACACAGGAAGTGACGTCAGATACTGACACCATGTTAGTTGTAGACACCAGCTGTGACATGGCTTCTCAGGAATCAGTGTCGAACAATGTTGTCACTGATAAGAAATCCACCAGTTCATCAGTACAGTTAGATAACAATACACCAGTTTTACCTGTAGAGACAAACTTTAATACAGAGTCTAGAGTTATTGTTGATGTATGTTTACAAGAACCTGGGACAAGTAGTAATGTTTTAACTAATAAAGAATGCACAGTTGTCAGTGATGAAGAGGTGAATTCTGGAGGACACTCAAATCCTGTGAGTGACCAGGAAGCTTCTCCTGAGAAAAAAAAGACTATCAGAACACCTTCCCCCAAAAAAGTAGTCAGCCACACTCCTACCAAACTCCGACCTTTGGCACCTAAACAGGACACACCAAACAAGACCAGCACACCATATGTCCCACTGCCCAAAATCAGCCCCAGAAGGCTAGAGCTCAACAAACAAGTTCGTCAGATATTGCCGAAGTCTTTCATCTTTGAGCCCAAGTCACCGTCGCCCACCAAAGCTGCGGCGCTGATGCTGAAGAGGAAGGCCGCAATGGTCTGCCAGAGACAGAGCCCCATCAAGATTCTACCCAAACAGCTGCCATCAGCTGAATCTCCGTCCAAAACCAGGTCAAGGGTCATCCTCACGCCATCCAGAATGTACACCAGATCCCAACATACAAAAACCAAAAATGCAGGTAAAAAAACTGAAATCTGACATTTATATTGTAAATAATCTATACATAACATTGTATTCTTAAAGTTTAACTTGCAATCTGAGCATTATCTTACATTTACAAGTCCTTATCTGAAATTTCATTTTTTTTTTAAATTTCTCTTGTAACTAGTTAGTTAAAAGCATACAAGAACAAATTTGAGACTTAAATTAAAACTTTATTTGATAAAGTTAAAAGAAAAACAAATTTCCCAGTCTGTGTTAAAATTTTATTGTACATTCTGGTTTTTCCAATCATTGTGGACTAAAACTATGTGCATTTTTACTTTACAAATCACTCAGTTATTATGAAGTAGATAACACAACTTAGTTGCTCACCTCTTGAGATAAGAAAAGAATAACAGCTAATCCAATGAAATATTTTACAGCTATAGCATGGATACCAATACAAAACTTAACACTAGAAGTAACTCTGCTTAGAAAGTAGAATGCTTGTTTCTATAATTAACACTTTTAACAGGCACAAATAATGCACTAGCAAACTTATTTTAATACCTAATACACCAATCACCTTATGTTGGAACTGTTTTTTTAGTTGAGAAAAGTAGCCAGGATGAAAGCAAGTACAAGAAACAAGATGAGACTCAGGGAAAAGATGTGTCTGATAGTGGAGCCAGTGAAAAAGAAGAATCAGGGTTATCACAGGAAGAAGAGGAGGAAGAAGATGATGTGTTTGGAGAAGAGAATCAGCTAGACGACCTGATGGCTGCATGTACCACCATAAGGTCAGGGACAGCTGCCTTGTCTGGCTAATCTTAATTAGCTTTTATTGTTTACTACAGAGTTAATTAATTCTACTTAGCGTAAAATAATTTATCAAATTTTTAGACTTAAGACTGAGTTTACTTTACTGTACTTAATCTGAAATAAAAATAGCTTTAGAATGGGTTAACGTGATCAATTAATCATGATTTAAAATGAAGTATTTAAAAAAAAAGGTATTTCTTATTATGCTGCTGAATTGTTTTAATAAACTTATGTGACCACTGATTTTATGTTTGAACCTGTACTTATTTGAACTAAATTGGGTTGCACATATATGTATATCCTTTACCATAAAAACACAAGATATTTTGACAACGTTTTAAATATTTTGACAGCATCTTACTATTTAGACAACTGTGGCCATTGTCTTGTTTCATGATTTTTTTTTCCTAATATTTATAGGTATGATCCCAAGAAGGGAAGTAACCAAGACACAGATACAAAGAGCAAGGCCCAGAAGAAAAGAGATATCAGCTTAGCAATGTTAGATGCTGACATTTTAGAGTGTGATCCCAAGGTAAGAACTAATTTAAGATAGTCAGACATTCATCTACTTTAAGTATTTTTGTTATCGTATGTGTCTGTTTTTGTGTTCAATTGTCAAGCCTAAAAAGTAACTCACCAAAAATGATACCATTTTTAACCTCTCTTGTAGTTGTGAGATAAAAGCTAAGAGCTGTTGACAGACTTTTGTTTCATTAGAAGTTTAGTTCCACATTTTTTTTTTCTTAAATCTTTGAACATCATTTTTCATAAGTTAATAGAAAATAAGTGAGTGTAGTAAAACTGTGTTTAGCTAAATGACTGTGATTTTCTTTAAACTTTTTTTGTCAATTTTTTTTTTGTCAATTGAGTGTGTGCTTCAAAAAATTGTTTAAAATTTCAAATTATCACTGAGTTTTTTTGGGTATATTTAAAACAGAAAGACGAACGTGACACAGAATATGCCCAGTATTACTTCAACCGTGTGAAAGATAAACTTAAGGATGACCCAGGGCGTTTCAGAAAGTTTTTAACTTTGCTTCATGACCTGAATAAAGATCATGGGAACCCAATAGAGGTAAGTGTCAGAAACTAGGATTTTAAAGCCAATGAGTTTTTTTTATTATTATTTCTAATGTATAATATTTAAGAGTAAAACATTGAATCATAAAAACAATAAGTTAAGGAAAAGTATTTTTATTTTTAAAGTTTACTCATTAAAACATGTAGCTTAGAACAAAGTTTTATAGTAGTAGTTTTTCTTCTCCCCCTAATTACAGTTTAATCATTAATTAAAGCATGTAGTAGTAAAAAAAGTAAAATTGAAAGTGTGGAAATTCTTTTTCTCTCTCACTTATATATACAGTAATTTTTATTCCACTAATTTTAACTAAAACCAAGTTTTATTCAGAAACATATCTACAAAAGCTTATAAAATTTACAAAATCTGGTGGTTTTATTTTATAAATGCAGAACTACTGTCTAGAACTAAAAATATATTTACATATTACATCAGTAAATAAAACACATAATTTGCATAAATATGTTAGTCTCTATGAAAAGAAATATGTTAGTCTTATTTCCCATTCCTTGTTTAACAATATGTCTTCAGACGGTATTTCACTATTTTTTTCACAGCAAAAATTAACATTTTTACCTGATATTTTCCTACCTTTTTTTGCATTAGTAGAAGCTGAATTTTCCTCAATGAATTTTAGTTCCTTTTTTTTTTTGTAACTAGTATGTAAAAAAAAGTTCAAAATGTTTTGCCATTTATTATTTGATGAAGTTTTCATAGTTAATAAGTATGTACTAGGTTGTGTATTATAGGTTATAAGAGTGTACAAGGTTGTGTAGTATAGTTTATAAGTGTGTATGTGGTAGTGTGGTAGCTGGAACTGTGACACGCGTGGTGTCAACATCAGTTGGAACTGTGACAAGCGTGGTGTCCACACCAGCTGGAACTGTGACACGCATGGCGTCAACACCAGGTTTCTTGTTGTCATCAGCTGTTGTTTTTGAGCTGTTCATTTCTGTAGAGCAAGTGTTAGCAGGGACAACCTGCGTCTGTTTCTTCCTGTAGTTGCGACAGTACCTTAGGTTAGACACCAGCTGTTCCCGAAACTTGCGCCCGGTTAAAATGTATAGGAAAAAATTGATGCAGTGGTTAGCAATCACCAGGACGTTAACCAGGCTGGCGGTTAGTGTGTACTTGGCCAACAGGTCAAAGTCGGTTCTGTTTGGTGTTGGTTTAAAGTTAAACACCGTGGGTCGTATGATGGTTAGGATAATCCTCGGTGCCGTTAGTGCCACAAATGTGAAGCTGACCGTAAGGAGGGTGATGGTCAGTCTGCGATTAACTCTGTGACCTGAAGCCAGGCTGTCGCTTTTAACGGAACCTCTCAAAGATGAGTAAATCTTAACTGATTTCCTGTGGTTCCTTATGATGAGGAAGTTGAATATAATCAAGCAGGCGAAAGGCAGAAAAGAGTAGTTGGTGCCGTCTATCCAGGGCCATACCTCCTCTGTGAAATGTTGGTACTGGCTGTATACAAGGCACATATTCAGTCCTGTATGTTCTTGTACCACCACTCCCATGGTGAAGAAGAAGTGACAATTTATTATGAACATCACCAGCATTACAGTAGCTATGGTGATCCTGGCATGCTTTGGTGTAGACCACCTCATAGCCTTGAGTGGGTAGGTTATTGCGATGAAGCGGTCAACAGTCATGGCAACGATAATCCAAGCACTGACGCTGTAGCTCCAATATGACTGGAAGTTCAGGAACCTGCATAATTCTGTACTGGAAGAGCGCGGGTCAGTGTTTTGGGTCAGCAGCCAGCGGATCAGAACTGGACCAAGGATGACGGAGAGGTCAGCTAGAGCGAGCGCCGCCATGTAGTTACAAATAGGCAGGTTGGTGAGCCCCACCATTACGATTAGTGCCAGGATGTTGGCGGCGCTTCCAATCACAATCTCAGTAATGTAACCGTAAGTGTTGATGGAGTTGGCCAGTCGGTACTCAGGGAACGTCATGAGGTGTCTCTCTAGCAGCTCTTGTAGCTGCTGCATGCTCAGTGGGGTGCGGGTGGTCCTGTCAAATGTGGTGGTGTTGTCAAATATGGTGGTGTTATCATATAGAGTGGTGTTATCAAATGTAGTGGTGTTGTCAAATATGCTGGTGGTGTTGTCAAACATGGTGGTGGTGTTGTCAAACGTGGTGGTGTTGTTGAAAAGGGTGGTGCTGTATGCTCCTAAGAAGTTCATGTTTAACAAGCAACTCCAGAGTAATAAAGTTATCTTAGTTCTAGTTAGTCCTTCAATGAAACACAAGTTATTTTCACATTAGCTTCACTAGTACTGTAATTACATTTGAACAGATTATTGTCAAACTTCTACAGTGAAATTGTACACAGAAGTGTAGAAGGCACTGTCACTGGATTAAATGTCTAGTGCAACTGATGCTATGTTGCTTGTAGTCCTTTACATCCGATTGGAGTGTTTAACTTGGCCTTTTTTTTGTTTTGTATGGGTTTTCTACACATAATAAAAACCTAAAGGGCTGTTTGGGTAATTTTCTGATTGCGTGTTTTTTTTATCTTGAATGGGGCCCTCAGGAGATTTATAGCATCCATAACTGGGACGGAGGCCAGGTTTGTGTGAGTGTGTGTGTACGTACATGTGAGTGTGTGCATAAGTGAGTTTGCTTCATAAAGTTGTTAATGGCAGGCTAATGGGAGTTGATGTTGAGACATGTTTATGACTAATCTACCAGCTTTGTCTACATAGTTTCATTTTGTTATTAAAATAAATAACAGAGCTTATGAAATCCCTTTGTATTCTAAATACAACTAAATTGTCTAAATGTCTTGAAATAGAACTGCACCTTAGGAATTTTTGATTCTTTGAATCATGGAAGTAAATAAGTAATGGTAGTTATGCTTTTCATTTTTATTTTTATGTGTACATTAAATGAAACAAAATATTGATTGAAATATTACATGTAAGAAACTGGTATTAGAAACTTAGTTGTATAGAATTAGAAGATTACATTAAGTAAGTTTTTATTACAGTGCACAAGTTTGTTTAGTCTGGAGGTCAAAGGTTAAATGACATATGCTTGAATCTCAAGCCATTGTTACTTAAGAAAAAAACACTTTTAGGGCCATTATGGCATGTCAGTTGCGTGTTTCCTGCTAAGGTTAGGTCATAAACTCATCCATAAGCTGCACCATAAATACACCAATGGCTGGTGGTGTTTTTTTTGTGTTGTCATTTCATTTATAACCTAGTTTTTAAATCTCTCATTCTCTGCTTTCCAAGCTATAAAGCAAGTAATACTTGGTAGTTTTTATGATTTAAGATAGTTGTTAATTATTAAAATTTATAGAATAACTTTCCTCAAACATAATTGGAACTTAAGTTAAAATGTCTTATGGAATGTAATTCCATCAAAGTTCTTCTTTCTACAATTTTATAAATAAATGTTTAAAATATGATTACATATCTGGTGTAAAAATAAAAATGTTATTAAATTTCATCAATTAATTTTCTGTGTTATTATGCCTTTTTAATAATAACATGTAACAAAAAAAATTCACCTGAAATGCTTAAAAGAAAAGGGGTCTTAGTTCTTGTGTTCAATTGTGTATAACTGAGGAACCCTTGAAAATGTAACAGCTGTTGTGTTCACATGTTTATTGTTCCTTATTATTTTCATTCCAAGTTTTTTATGTTCTAACTTTAGCATAACATTTGTTTAAACATCACACTGTGTTTGAGAACTGACTAGTTACTTTACATGACTTAGTGTTTATTTTTGTTCTAGCACCTTGTTCCACATTCAGATAAAAAATAATTTCTGTATGGGATTCTTTTTGCCACACTTGTGTTTGCAATTGCTAATACATTTTATAATTATAATAGGCTGGGAGTTATGAGGTTAAATCAATGCCCAGGTCTGAGGGTTAAGTGCTAATGAGCAGTTTGTCTCCCTTGTTTGATAAATGGTCTTGGATAATTTATTACTCATGATCTGTGTGTTGGTACCCTGGGGGTCATTCCTTGTGTTTAACCACACTGCAATTATAACTACATTAATGGCAGATTTTTTATGTTATGTCCTGTCCATTGTAGATCATATCAAGTTTGTGTGTTGTGCCTGGTTTTCATTGTTACCCCTTAGTGTATAGACTCTACCTGCGTAGGCACAAATTTTGTTTATTAACAGCTGTATACAGACCTGGTACTCTGTGTATTATTGACACAATTTTTGTTGATCAACAATTGTATGTAAGCCTGGTACTTTGTGTATTATTGACACAATTTTTGTTGATCTACAAATGTATGTAAGCCTAGTACTTTGTGTATTATTGACACAATTTTTGTTGATCAGCAATTGTATGTAAGCCTGGTACTTTGTGAATTATAAGCATAATTTTTGTTTTATCACCAGCTTTATATAGACCTGGTACTTTGTGTATTATAAACACAATTTTTGTTGATCAACAATTGTATGTAAGCCTAGTAATTTGTGTATTATTGACACAATTTTTGTTGATCAACAATTCTATGTAAGCCTGGTACTTGGTTATAGACAATTTTTGTTGATCTACTATTGTATGTAAGCCTGGAACTTTGTGTATTATAAGCACAATTTTTGTTTAACTCTAGCTGTATACAGACCTGGTACTTTGTGTATTATAGGCACAATTTTTTATTTATCTACATGTGTGTGTAAGCCTGGTACTTAGTATATTATAAGCACAATTTTTGTTTTATTTCCAGCTGTATGTAAACCTTGCACTTTGTATAATAAAAGCACAATTTTTGTTTTATCACCAGCTGTATGTAAACCTTGCACTTTTTATATTAAATTAATTAAAAGCACAATTTTTGTTTAATCACCAGCTGTATGCAGACCTGGCCACACTATTGTCTGACCACAGAGAACTTGTGGATGACTTTGCTGGGTTTTTGCTCTCCTTCCAAGCTGTTGAGTGCCAGTGCTTTGTCTCCAGCATGGAGTATCAACAAATTCGCAGTTTCCTACGACGTCTTGAGGTACAATTATTTCATTTTCATTAAACTTTTAGCTCTTATGATGACAGGAAAGCACCATATCATGTAAAATCTTTAATCTCCTCCCCCTACCCTTCCCTTACCGCATGTCATACTTAAGTTCAGAGTTCTACCAGGGTTAGATTGGGGTTTCTAGCAACAACAAAAATAGTCTTAGTATACCATTACATCCTTCACTTGTGAGAATGTTTTTAAAATTAAAAAAAAAAATTCAATATAAGACTTACCAATTTTCTAAATAGAGAAATAACTGGTTCATGTTTTAAATATTTTCTTTAATAAAATTACCTGTTTCTTTTTTCTTTTAAAAAAAACACGCTTTTTTTTTCAAGATTTACTGTGGTACTTCAAACCAAATGTACCAGCGTACATTAAAAATGATGTCAAAGTGGCTCAACCTCAATCAAGATGCCCAGACAGACCCTACTCCCTTCAAAGATCGGATTGGGGCTGTGCTGCGTCATGTGCCAGGTGTTATGGATGACCTGTTCTCTTACTTCTTTGATGGCCCCTTTTATGACAGGTGAGTCATGGATTTTGTTCTCTTACTTCTTTGATGGCCCCTTTTATGACAGGTGAGTCATGGATTTTGTTCTCTTACTTCTTTGATGGTCCCTTTTATGACAGGTGAGTCATGGATTTTGTTCTCTTACTTCTTTGATGGTCCCTTTTATGACAGGTGAGTCATGGATTTTGTTCTCTTACTTCTTTGATGGCCCCTTTTATGACAGGTGAGTCATGGATTTTCTTCTCTTCTTTGATGGCCCCTTTTATGACAGGTGAGTCATGGATTTTGTTCTCTTACTTCTTTGATGGCCCCTTTTATGACAGGTGAGTCATGGATTTTGTTCTCTTACTTCTTTGATGGCCCCTTTTTTGACAGGTGAGTCATGGATTTTGTTCTCTTACTTCTTTGATGGTCCCTTTTATGACAGGTGAGTCATGGATTTTGTTCTCTTACTTCTTTGATGGTCCCTTTTATGACAGGTGAGTCATGGATTTTGTTCTCTTACTTCTTTGATGGTCCCTTTTATGACAGGTGAGTCATGGATTTTGTTCTCTTACTTCTTTGATGGTCCCTTTTATGACAGGTGAGTCATGGATTTTGTTCTCTTACTTCTTTGATGGTCCCTTTTATGACAGGTGAGTCATGGATATTTTTAACGTAGTCCTTCACAGACTGCAGAATATTAACCCCATACAGATAATACAGAGAAATGTCAGAAAAACTATTTTAGCATGGCCTAAAAAAAATTTTGATACCATTTAACATGTTTTTTATGTCACATAAATACATTTTAAAATTTAAAATGTAAAAAATTTTTTGACACCTTGTTCTTATTTTGAAAAGCTTATTTATTATTAATATTTAATAAGTTTAATAATATCTGCATGACTGGTTCATTTAGTGTGCATGATTAAAGCTTTTAATTCGTTTTATTTTTCATCATACTAATTTATTATGGTTAAAGTGGCTTGACCAGCATCATAATGTGATAAGAAAAAAAAAATTCCGTCTTCCCCAGCTGCTACCCAGAGGATTTTGAAACAGTTGAGCTGGATGAAGATGACGACATTGATGAGCTTGACAAGTTTGAAGAGGTGGTCCTGCCTGAGGGCCGGGAGGACTACAACACCAAGCTGTGTCAGTGCCGGTGTCACGAGGACACACAGGATGAGAAGTTGCTGAAGCGTAGTCGACACTGTGTGTCTTGTAGCCTGAAGGTAAGAGTTTTTTTTTTCTAACTGAGGCCTGAAGGTGTTTTGTAAGGTAAATGTAAGATTTGTGTAACATTGGGATATGTAAGATTAGTGTCACATTAGGATAGGTAAGATTAGTGTCATATTAGGATATGTAAGATTAGTGTCACATTAGGATAGGTAAGATTAGTGTCATATTAGGACATGTAAGATAAGTGTCACATTAGGATATGTAAGATTAGTGTCACATTGGGATATGTAAGATTAGCATCACATTGGAATATGTAAGATTAGCATCACATTGGGATATGTAAGATTAGTGTCACATTAGGATATTTAAGATAAGTGTTACATTAGGATATGTAAGATTAGTGTCAAATTGGGATATGTAAGATTAGTGTCAAATTGGGATATGTAAGATTATTGTCACATTGGGATATGTAAGATTAGTGTCATATTAGGACATGTAAGATAAGTGTCACATTAGGATATGTAAGATTAACATCACATTGGAATATGTAAGATTAGTGTCACATTGGGATAGGTAAGATTAGTATTACGTTGGGATATGTAATGTCAATGTTACATAGAAACTACTAGTTACTAAACATATTTTATAATTATTTTGTATGCAGTAGGGTACACTGAAATGATTAGTTAAACTTACACATTTGTCTCCCTGCCAGATGATTGATGGGCGGCCAGTGTTAAAGACCACCCACCATGATTACTTTGACGTGTCCATAATTTACCCATTAGAAGAGAAGGAGAAGTTGGCCAAAGCTAAAAAAGAGGCCGCCCAGTTGGCCCTGGCCAAAGCCAGAGCCCAGAGACAGCTGAAGAAGAAGAACAAGAAGAAAAGGGACCTGGCTAAACTCAAGTCAAAGAGTGGGAGAAAGGAGAACAGAAAGAAGCCATGTAAACTGGAGGACTTGTCTTCAGATGCAGGTGTTTCAGACAGCGCTGACGGTGCTGTCTTGAGTGATGTGAACACTGTCACAGAGCCAATGGACCAGAACAGTTCTAACCCCGCACCACCACTCACTAAAGAGAATCTAAGTCAAGGCTCACCTGATTTAAAAATGTCTGCTAGAAGGATAAGTTTAAAAAGTGTGGCTGAGACAGGATGTTCTCAGACCAAATCATGTGTAGCTGGAACTGACGGGTTTGATGATTCCCCATTTCTTCATACGTGCATAGAAAAGGAGGGTGAGGTTTGTGTGACCTCTAGGACATTGTTTACTGCAGCACCATCTGCTGGTGTTAGAGCTAAACCTGTTTCATCTACACAGCTGCTCAGTGACTCTCAGAGTAATGCTGGGAACAGCCCTGCTCAAGGCAATTTAAAAACTTCATCAAGTAGTCTTTCAACACAAGGCAATTTAAAAACTGTTGCTTCATCAAGTAACCTTTCATCACAAGGCAATTTAAAAACTGTTGCTTCATCAAGTAGCCTTTCATCACAAGGCAATTTAAAAACTGTTGCTTCGTCAAGTAGTCTTATGCCTCAAGGAAATTTAAAAACTGTTGCTTCATCAAGCAGTCTTATGCCTCAAGGAAATTTAAAAACTGTTGCTTCATCAAGCAGTCTTTTGCCTCAAGGCAATTTAAAAACTGTTGCTTCATCAAGTAGTCTTTCAACACAAGGCAATTTAAAAACTGTTGCTTCATCAAGTAATCTTTCAACACAAGGCAATTTAAAAACTGTAGCTTCATCAAGTAGTCTTTCAACACAAGGCAATTTAAAAACTGTTGCTTCATCAAGTAATCTTTCAACACAAGGCAATTTAAAAACTGTAGCTTCATCAAGTAGTCTTTCAACACAAGGCAATTTAAAAACTGTTGCTTCATCAAGTCGTCTTTTGCCTCAAGGCAATTTAAAAACTGTTGCTTTGTCAAACAGTCTTATGCCTCAAAGCAATTTAAAAACTGTTGCTTTGTCAAATAGTCATTTGTCACATGGGACCACAACACCAGCAACATCTTCTACCTTGCTCAGTGGCGCTAGAGCAGAGGTCCCATCACCAGCCACACCTTCAGTGTGTGTGCCACCTGACAGAGAAACACCTGAACCAGCGCCGCCCTCACCTGTGACACCAACAGTTTCTGAACCTTCCCAACCACCAGTGAAGAAACGCAAACCTGATAAACCAAAGAAGAAAGAGCAGGTCTCAAAGAGATCACAACCTTCAGAAAACATGAACATTGAGCTACAGAAAACTAGCCACCTTGGAGTTAAGCAATCAACCCCCACACCACTCCTCACACACTCACAGCTAGCCCTAACATCATCCACAGCAAAACCCAATGAAACAAAAAAGAAATCCAAATCTAAAAATTCTCTGGATTTCTCTTCAGATCTTTTAGCAACTCAGTCTGGGTCTGTCCAACGTGCATCAACACAGGATAAGACTATTTCAAACACTCCATTGTATAGCTCACAACTACCAAATCTACCACAGCCTACCTCAGTGCAGCAACCTCAAATTATCTCCAGTCCTAGGTCTGTCAAAAGAAGAGAGAAAAATAAAAAACCACCCAAATCTGAAATGATAACGGCGAATGCTACAACATCCAAACCAGTCAGCCTGACCAAATCTAAACAAACGAAACCAGCGCAAAATACTGTACCCAGTCAAACTTCATCACCACTTTATATACAGCCTTCATTCCACAATACCAGGGCAGCACCCACATCTATAAACCCAACCAGGTTCAGCATACCCTCCGCATTGAGTCCCCACAGCATGCAGCTAACGCCAAGGACCATGTCCTTCCAGCCCAACACCCCACAGATTGTTGGCATGAGGGTCCCTGTCATGATCATGTTAGAGCCCCAGGTCACGCTGAGTGAGCCAGACAAGCCTAAAGTGGAAACAAAAAAGCGCACAAGAAAACCAAGAGAAACAAAATCCACAAGCTCCCGCTCCAGAGCAAGAAATGATTCACAGAAAAAAAGTGTGGAGAGTTCTCTGGATAAAAATCAGAAAAACTCTGTGATATCAACAGAACCAACACATTCTGTCAGCTTCTCCGCTGGTGTTACATATGTGACTAACTCTACTTGTCCCAATCCTCTATTGAACTCTTCACAAAATTTACAGGGCTTTACAACTCAACCCATCTTTACAACCAGCTCCCAGCAGCTAGCTGGATTATCAGGTTATGTTGAAACAACCAGCTCCCAGCAGCTCGCTGGATTATCAAACTTTGTCCCAACAACCAGCTCCCAGCAGCTAGCTGGATTATCAAACTTTGTCCCAACAACAAGCTCCCAGCAGCTAGCTGGATTATCAGGTTATGTTGCAACAACCAGCTCCCAGCAGCTAGCTGGATTATCAAACTTTGTCCCAACAACAAGCTCCCAGCAGCTAGCTGGATTATCAGGTTATGTTGCAACAACCAGCTCCCAGCAGCTAGCTGGATTATCAAACTTTGTCCCAACAACAAGCTCCCAGCAGCTAGCTGGATTATCAGGTTATGTTGCAACAACCAGCTCCCAGCAGCTAGCTGGATTATCAAACTTTGTCCCAACAACCAGCTCCCAGCAGCTAGCTGGATTATCAAACTTTGTCCCAACAACCAGCTCCCAGCAGCTAGCTGGATTATCAAACTTTGTCCCAACAACCAGCTCCCAGCAGCTAGCTGGATTATCAGACTTTGTCCCAACAAGCAGCTCCCAACAGCTAGCTGGATTATCGGACCCTGTCCCTGTAGTCACACTGACCTGCGCCTCCCCCCCACCTAACCCAGACAACAGTTTTGTACCTTCCAATATCAATCATGAACTCCACACCTCTGACACCTGCAGCCTTTTCCATTTCTCTCCTGCAAAGTTCAAAGGAAGCAAAGTTCCAGATATAGTCCGGGCACATCTAGAAAACCTCTCCTTTGGTGGTTTTGACGAGTCTCTTGACTTCACAGCCCATAGTTTGGCCCACGCCATTTCTCCCAACAAGCTTGGAGACACAATGTCCAGGTTTGATTTACTGGCTTATTTAGAAAGTGTCAGCCAGTTCAACAAGGACACGGGGATGAGCACGGTCACAACATCGAGCGGTGAGAGCCGGCTTTCCTTCTCTGGGGTGTTGGCCGAAGTGAACAAAGGAAAAGTTGAAGAGAACAGACCGTCAGCTTCTGAAGCCATTACCTCTCCTGCAGCTGGAGGTGTCTCTCAGTCTTCAGCTCTTCAGACACTGAGACAAAAAGACATGCAGTCTGGCACTGGAGCACATCACCGTGCTCAACCAACAACACAGGGCTATGAAAGCACAGCGCAGGCATCAGCACTGTGTGTTGACAGAGTGGAGTTCCAACGTCATAACAGTGAAGAGTCACTAGCTATGGAGGGTGATTTGGACTGGACAGAGTAAGTTGACAGACAAGTCATGCACTTAATTTTTTTTGTAGCTATCAACAGGCCTACTTTTCTTTGTATTTTAATTTTATAAAAAGTACTTGTTTAGAAAAAGAATTACTTTGATTTAGAATATATACTAATTACACCATATAGATAGGATTTTCTTCTGGGTAATATAGAACAGTATTCAGGCTTGTTTTTTCTGCTGGTGTTAAGGTTGGGGTTAGAATTAGGATTATGGAGTTAATCTAAGGGCAGCAATATATCGAACATAGGTTCCATAAGTTCTATCAGCTTTCTTAAAAAAGAATATTTGATTTGCTTAATGACTTTATGATTTAAAAAATTGAACATGATTTTAACACAGTTGAATTAGGATTATAGAGTTAATCTAAGGGCAGCAATATATCGAATATAGGTTCCTTAAGTTCTATCAGCACTCTTAAAAAAAGAATATTTGATTTGCTTATTGACTTTATGATTTAAAAAATAGAACATGATTTTAACACAGTTGAATTGTTTTTTCATGCCAGACATTGTGATAGAACCATCTTGAACGTAGTTACAGTTGAAGGCATCACCAGTGAGTCTGTCAACAAAATCCATCTTTTGTTGCCAGATAGATCTGTTGATGAGGTGAGTCATGTGGTCTTTTTTCTTTACCCAAATAAATGAAGAGGTTTTATTGTCATTTTCATTTTAACAGTAATCTCCCTTCATTAGACTTACTTGCTTGAATGATCCATCACTCCCATATAACAATGGAGTTACAGTTATTTCCCTTTATTTTCTGTTCCTTAAACCCCAAATTTTATTAGCTTTTAGAATTAACTTATGTCTGTATCATAACAGCATACCTCTTAAAGCCAGTAGACTGTTTTATAAGTTTTACATGGAAAATCCATTAGCCAAAACATTATTTGTCTACCTTTCATGTATAACAATAAAGCCCTTCTAACACATGGACTTTTTGTATATAATTAACCTGTTTGTCCCCCTCAGATTACCTCAAGAGCTGAGCTGTTACTAAACATGTTGCAAGAGATGAGTGAGAGTGATGCGGGCACTGAGGCATCTTCATGTGATGAGTCTCGTAATTAATTAAACTTGTTTAAGCTGACAACTTTATAATTAAGTGTTAATTAGTTCTATGCATCAGCTGCACCATCATATCATGCACAGTGTCATAAGTAATTCTTTCTTTTCTATGATGGGAGACAACTCTGTGTTCTCTCCCCTTGTTGAATATATTCCTAATTTTTATCAAAAACAATGTAAATGTAAGTCAAAGAATGTTCATAGTGATGTGTGTTAATTTTTAAAATCACCAGGAAGAAACTTGTTTGTATAATGATTTGTTTTGTTTACACTTGTTTGTAATTTGCTAACATTTTTTCCACAACCCTGTTTTATAAATAATTGAAAATAGAAAAAAATGTGCTGTCGATATTTCTTTTTTTAAATGTTTTATTTATCTTTTAAAAACAATTTTAGTCTAGTTCCAGTTGCTGTTCTTGAATTTAGTACAGTTAAATTAGTTTAAAGTGTTACATACATCTTTTACTGGTGAAGAAACTGTGTTTAACTTGGACTTTCTGTTCAGCTGGACTGAGTGGTTTGAAGAACTAAATCTTGACCTACTGACCTTTCAAGAAAGTTCATACTGGTCTGTTTTCTTAACAGGCGGGTAAGAAAATGTACTTCCTGTCCACTTAAAGCAGTTGTAACACTAGTAAAAAGAGATTATTTGTTCTATGAAGAAAAAAACCTGTGACATAAAGTAGATGTTACACTAGTAAAAAGAGATCATTTGTTCTATGAAGAAGAAAAAACTTGTCATATAAACTAACAAATTTACAATCTCTCTGGTCCAAGATGCTGAGATAAGATCTAAGTTGGGAGGGAGTCATTAAATGAGCAAGGGTTGTGATGGAACACTTGCAACTGTTAAAATCATACACTTGGTTATCTCACATCTAGTTATGTACAGCTTTTAATACTTAGAACATCATTTACAGTCTAAATTTTAATGTTTGATTTTAAAAGACTTGCATAAACATATACTTCGTTATCAAATACAGTAATATGAAATCATAGAAATTGAACAGAAAGAACAATAGTTTAGTTGAATAACTCATGAAATAAATACAGAGTATATCTACATATTTTTTGTGGAGATGAAAAACAATAAGCACATGACTCTTTTTAAAACATAAAGAGGATTTATGACCTTTCTCTAGACATATTTCATATAAATTGGCCAGAACTATTTCCAAACCATTTAAATTTTCCTGAACTGATGAAAGACCTACAAGAGTTAGATAAACTTGGGGTGGGGGTGAGATGACACCTTAGAAAAAAAGCTTCCAATCATGTATTGAATCTTTTACTTATAAGCAAGTACAGAGATGGAGCTAACACTACACTGTAGTCCATCACATTTAATGTGTTACTTTGAACAATTTCACCCTTAGTCCTGAAGTTTGCACTAAATTTAGACAGTGAAGAGTATATTTCCTGGTGTTTCTAGTATGGTTGAGCTACCGAGCTTTCATCTGTCCGGCACGCTACACACACACAACACACACGAGTCACTGTGTTAGTCACTACTATACACCATGCTTTTAGTAAGCCTGAAGCAGAAACACGCAATATGGACCCTGGAGCGCTTCTTTCAGACATTTTTCCTCAGAGATTCTTTGAAACATATATAAAAGCCATATATATATATCAAGATTATATTAAAAATATATTTATTATGCTATAACCTGCACCCACCCACCAAAGGCTAAAATAAGGTCACTTGCCTAATTATGGGAATCACCTTCGTGTTATAGGGAAGAGTCTTGTTGATATCTAATTAAAAATAACATCAAGTCTGTCAGTAACAGTGTTTCTTTCGGACTTTTTCTTCGGGGGGAGGGGGGGGGGTAGGGCTCTGCTCCCCCTCGAAGAAAGAAACTCTGGTCAGAAACAGTCTCATCTACATTCTTTGCTGGCACTTCGCCAGGTCAGTTTTTAGAAGGAGAAAAAAGTACAGACGCCATGTGTGTTTATATAATACAAAAACAAAGAAATCTAGATACATTTGGTATAGGGCCTACACTGACTTTACCATAGACGTGCTTAGAGTTTTGTTTATTGTTACGAAAATGGACATTTTAAACTGTTTACGTGCTAAGTTTAGTATCGAGTTTAAGTTAAGGGAACACCATGTTAGATTGGGAATGAGAAGCGACATGTCTTAGCTGACTACAGGCGCTTGTTTTCTATTATTACCTTCGTGATATGAAATTTCAAAAAAGTATAAAGTATATAGTGTAGCCCATTGGCATGTAATGGTTATGTCATTTTATTAATATCTCCACCATTATAAAGCCTCATACAATTTCAACCAGTTAATTATTCTAATTAAATATGGCAGTTAATTATTTTCTAAAGTACACAACACAATCCTACTAATTATCCGTTAACTAACTCCTAATTACTGACTTTATAAATATTTACAGGTAATTAAAAGTTATGTCCCGTAAATTTGGAGAGTTGCCTTTACCTAAGACTTGATTGATTGATTGAATGTTTAGACAATTTAAAATGAACCAATTGATTCTACAAATGGCATATCAGATTTATCTGACTCACAGTCGATGAGATGAATCTAATTTTCTTGGCTTTTATTAGAGAAAACTTTGAACATATGAAGACATTAACACAGTGGCGGAACTAGAAAAAAAGGGCCACCCCGCAAAAACTTTTTTTAGGCCCCCCCCCCCCCATATATATAGTATATAGGCCTTTATATATATATATATATATATATATATATATATATATATATATATATATATATATATATATATATATATATATATAAACAAAATACGAACATAGGATACTCATTGGCCTGTTCGGGATTTGAAAAAAAAAGTTTTTTTTTAATTAAAGCAAATAACTTCATCACGTCATGTGTGTATGTGCATTAGTGTGTTTTGAGAAAATCAGTTTTATTTTATTTCTACTGTAGGTCCTTTAGATATAGGTCGCCCAAAAGAATATAAAACAAGAAAGCTTTGAAGAAGTTATGGTGTCTCGTGTTATGATTATATTTATGCTTTTTTGTATTTATATTATTAATTTAAATACATTTCCTTTTTATACAATGTGATTCTTTAGTAAGTACTTTATAAAAAGTAATAATATAGAGAAGTAATTGCTTTTTAATTTGTTTGGTACAAATCTTTTCAAATGAGTTTATGAGCACACCTATTTGACTAATCAAAAAAGGGAAATAAGTCATGGAAGTAGTTTGTACGTTTGTTTATCTTTGCTAAGTTTAATTGTAGGAGAAAGAGGACTCGGCTTTCACAGTGGTTTAAAAACAAAGGGGAAAAGAATATAAAAGAGAGTGGGTAGTGTCTATAGAATAAAGATAATCCAACCGCAGCTACGGAAATCGTTTTACAAAACAACCATCAAGTCAAAAATGCAAGAAAATTAGATTTTTTAAACTATAAAATAAATTGTTATGGTCGGCTTTGGGCCCCTAAATGGCGTGGGCCCCCCCGCATTGCGGGGTCTGGCGGCACTATAGTTCCGCCCCTGCATTAACACCAAATTTAAACATGGCTAATTTAGGGACATAATAGTCTCATATACGCTGCTGAATTTTGGGTGTAGTAAAAATTAAAATTGTAAAACAAACAAATACAAATTTTGTTCATTTTAATAATAAAGTACTTTAATTTTCTAATGTCCTTTGACAATAAAACAATTATCTATTTAAATGTATCTGAAAATCAGTTTGGAGTAGGCCTACTTAATTTATTATACGTTTTCTAGGTGCATTTTGGCATTATTTTATTGACTGAGAATTTAATCTTAAATTGTTTCCCCTAAATTAATATAATTCCGATTTTCACGGGAGATAATAATTTCGTTAGTCGCGCACATTTGGTCTCTCTGTCTTTAACTTTGTGAAATTCGTCTTATAACCTTATACGACAATCCTCAAAAACACATTTTCAAGAAAATATCAAAAACAAACTTTTAAAAATAAGGACAAACCATAAAAACGTCTTTTTAAATCATCGTCAAAAATGCAGACCCCCACACCCTAAAATGATGTCACACCACAGCCTACCCCCCCCCCCCCCCCCTTCTACCTCAAAATTACAGTTACATTTTTTTAGACATCGATACTAACTGCGCTCGTTCAACGTATACTAATTAATTTCTATTCCGTTTACAGTGTACTAAAACAGATTTCTAAAACGCAAAATAAAGACAAAAATGTAGTTAATAGTTTTTAATGCAAAAGTGTGACGTCACACTATCTAAACCCCACTCCCCCTTTCCCCCATCACACATCGTCAAAAAAATTAAGACCCCCCTTTCCACAGGGATGTGACGTCATTTTTGAAAATAATCTTTTCAGACATCAAAACCAGAGTTTCTTCCAGGCATCTCTTCGGGGGTGGGGGGTGCATCGCCCCCCGAAGAAAGTCTACCGCCCCCCCCCCCCCCCGAACGAAATGGAATTTATATAGGAAATATATACTTTTTACAGTGTCGTCCCCCCCCCCCCCGGAACTTGTTGTCCGCCCCCCGAAAATTTCATTTTCAAGTGCACCCCTGGAGAAAAATGTCTGGAAGAAACACTGATCAAAACCGCATTTGATAAGACGACACAACATTAAAATCTCGTTTTCGATTGCTCGTGCAAGCCTAACTACTGCTCTTATAAAACACACTTATTAATGATAAATGCAGCAGTCGGTACAACTAGCGATGACTTATCCTATGTGTTTCGTTGCACGTCCACATTTATCAAAGACGTAATTCTTGCGCGCGTGCAGAGAATCATCAAGCTCACGACTAGCTTGATGTACCGGAAACTCCTTGCCCTATCCGTTTTACATCTAACAAGAAGCAAGGGGGATAAAATAACAGTCAAGCGCGTTGTTTGTTTTCTTAAAACATTGAATACACTTTTATCATTAACCTCGTCTGCCCGCTATACCAGTGACGCGATACTTGTCCGCAAAAACGAAAGTAGCAATACAAGCCCACTCTTCTTACGTCATCAAGTGCTGTGAAACAAAGGGACGTAACCGCACGCAGAGTTGTGCTTAAGTAGTGTAAGGGCAGTGGTAGGCCTATGGTGATTTCTGCGCTAGTAGGTCTAGCCTAGGGGTTTTTTAAAAGAGAAAACTACAGGGCCTATGCATAGGAAGGATTGTGTTTAGGATTAAATTCTAGCCTAATGTGTTGTAAGAGATAAAATAAATATAACAGCCCGATTGTTTATCTATTCAACAAGTGACGTGTTGACAGTCCGGTGATGACACTGTTATTGTTTCATGACTCATGGGAAGGATGGTGTCAGTCTTATTGGCATAAAGCAACACATTTAATTCTAGGGGCCAAGAGTTTAGACCTACTAGGCTAGAATGTCAGTGGACCTTGTATGACAATTGAACGCAAGCATTGGGATTTAAAACGAAAAGTTGTTAATTGATTTTAAAAGCATGGCTTGGCCGCGGTGCTTTCAGTATATCACGTTTGAGTCGTTTTTGCTAACGCATAGCCGTTACGATGATTTTCTTCTTCCCATGGTGAGTAGGCGATTGTTCTACTATTTATTTAGAATCTAAATAATTTAGATCCATAATAATTTTAAATTATATTTAATGTAGTTAAGACGGTATGGGCGGACCGTAGAGCACACGACTGCTAACGTAAAAGTCACACGTTCGAATCCGTGGCTTAAGTCCGTAAGACGTCATTGTGTCCATGGAAAGTAAAGGCGCAATGTTGCATGCACTATCCCTTCTTCATACTACTTCATATGTCGAGGTCACGTAAACAGGTGAACTCTACTTCATTTCCACCACCCCCCCCCCCCCCCCCCTCATGTTCGATAGGGGAATTTTTCTTAAACATGAATGATACAGGTTTAAAAAAAAAACTCGGTGTATGATACACATTTTATTAAAACACAAAAATATAACGCTATATAACATTCTGAAGAACACCAACCTTCATACTATATGACTTTACGAGCTGACCCGCGGCGTATCATACGCCGCTATTTAGTTGTTTTATTTTCTACTTTTCAGTAATTCATAATTTGTGAATTCGACAGTACCAATGCTGCCACTGAAAATATTTGTTTTAAAATACTAACCCCCCCCCCCCCTTTTTCCCCTAACCCCGACCCTACACCCCCCCCCCCCCAGTGAAAGCAGCCTCCTCTTAGTTACCTCAAACTAAATTATCTGCCCCTAATAGCCGTCACTAAACCCGGCTCTACGATTTGTAAACATTTAGCGTGACCACAACTCACCAGACCATGTGGGGGTGGGGGTGGTAGTGATAGTGATAGAGAAAAGGAGGGGACTGTAAGCGCGCTTGCAGCTTGTTTTCTAACGGCTCCCAGAAGAGAATTATATATACCAGGCGACCCGCAGCGTATCATACGCCGCTATTTAGTTGTTTTATTTTCTACTTTTCAGTAATTCATAATTTGTGAATTCGACAGTACCAATGCTGCCACTGAAAATATTTGCATTAAAACACTAACACCCCCCCCCCTTTCCCCTAACCCCGACCCTACAATCCCCCCCCCCCCCCCGTGAAAGCAGCCTCCTCTTAGTTATTTCTTAGTTACCTCCTGTAAGTTTAAAATCGAACTAAATTATCTGCCCCTAATAGAAACCCGGCTCTACGGCTCTACGATTTGTAAACATTTAGCTTTGTAAACATTTAGTGTGACCACAGCTCACCAGACAATGTAGGGGTGGGGTGGGGGTGGTAGTGATAGTGATAGAGAGAAAGAGAAAGAGAGGGGACTGCAAGGAGGCGCTTGCAGCTTGTTTTCGGACGGCTCCCAGAAGAGAAATATATATATATATAGATAGATAGATAGATAGATGGGCAACCCTTCACCATCTTTCTTTCTCACACACACGGACCACATACAATTTCGCCATATGCTACCTAACTGTGATTTTTAATTAAAAAAAAATCATTACATCATTTTAGAAAAGATCGCGTTACTTTTTCGTTGGAATCATTACAAAGCCTTTTAGATCTATTTTTTGTATGTGCTTAAAAACATAATGTAAACTTCTCGATCGAACACTTTTAAATATCAGGAATTTTGGGAAAATTAGTTGACACCACATCATATAATATCACTCGGTCATACCACCCCCTAATCCGAAAGTACACACTATAACAAAGTGATACGTCACCACACCCCCTCCGCATTAAATTAAGGTTAAAATAATACGAGTGCGTGGTAAACTACCTACATTTTCTAAATGGTAAGAAGTTCATGGTTATTGATTGTCTGGATAATTTACTAATATAGATCTATGAAAAATTTATACAAAGAACATTTAGGTCTTCTGGCATTTTTTTAAAGGAGTAAGAACACCTGGAATGATGGCCCTTCTATGGGTATTAGATCTAGATCTAGGTTTACTTGATTTCTTGAATACTTTTTATTTTATATATATATTCGGCTTAACTGTAAAAATGTACCCATATTAAACATAGACCTAAATGTAAGTGGGAAACATTCCCGAGGAAGAATGAAGGAATAGAGTGGTAGCCTCCAAAATTAACTAGCTTGCCTTACAACCATTTAGTCACATATTATATATATATATATATATATATATATATATATATATATATATATATATATATATATATATATATATATATATATGCTCTTGTGTTCACCAAAACACAGAAGTGCTGGTAGGGCTACTCAAACAGAAACAAAATTAAATTATATTAAGCACAAACATGAACTTTGAACCTGAATCTTGACATCTAAAATGAGCATTGTTGGTTTTTTTTTTCAAGAGTGTTTGAGTTGGCTTGTTCAGATTAACAATCTGATATTGTAACAATACTGTTGTTTAACAAAAGCTGCGGTTCTCTCTCATTTTTTTTTTCTCTCTACGATACCTCTTGATGACAGGCTCGTAGTTTGGGGGAAGGGTGGGGGGGGGGGCGGTAAATGAAAGCCGACCCATCGTGACCCAACGTGCAAGCCTTCGCTTCGTTTTCTCTACTGCCCACACCAGTCATCACACCCGACTTTCTTTTGTACATTAATTAAGGCCTAATTAGCAATAGCATTTACGGGTCTTCACTTAATATTTTAAAGATGATAATCCACTTTCGTTTCCTGAGAGTAAAAAACAAACGGAAACAACAGTCATTTTAACCACATTAACTAATGATAAGCGCAGCGCAACTCATCATGGTAGCTTTCAAGTTGTCAGACATTATTTTTGAACACAGAAGGATAAATGGATGAGACAAAAAACACAGCTTCCGCTCGTCCATCAGAACAATAATTAATAGCAAATCTCCTTAAAAATGATATATATATATATATATATATATATATATATATATATATATATATATATATATATATATATATATATACATGTATATATACACATAAGTATATAATACATATATAATACACACATGTATAGGTATATATAAACTTATTTGTTTTAACCCATAAAACCTGAAGTAATGTTACCATAGCCATATAACTTCCATATTCGATTTCTAACACTTCTTCACCCCCACCCAACACGAATACAACACAATACAGTACTTTAACATCTTCATCAGTGTTTCTTCCAGACTTTTTTCTCCGGGGGGGGGGGCACTTGAAATTTTCCGGGTGGGGGGGACTATAATTTCCGGGGGGTAGGTCACTGTTAAAAGCATATATTTTCTTTATAAATTCCATTTCCTTCGGGGGGGAGGGGGCTAAGTCCCCTCGAAGAGATGCCTGGAAGAAACTCTGATCTTCATTAAAAAAACATTTGTAAAGCCTTTTAACGACATTCAAGTTTTAGTTGTATGGCAGGCAAGTAGGCTATAGAAACATAAGCGCAGAACTCTAATTGTTGATCCCTATTCCCTAAGCGTTGTACTCTAAAAACGTAGGACTACGTAGGCTTTCAATTTACAGGTCGCTAATTGCTGACCCCTAAGTAGGGACCATCAGACCCCTTATTTTAAATTGTAGCTTAATGTGACGCCCCCTCGCTCTATTTAGCGCACGTTTAAGGCGTGGCTATAATCTGACCACCCTAGTTAGGTTATCAACAGATCAGACAACGCCGCGAGACACAAAAAAAAAAGTCTCGCACAAAATGTAAACAAACACTTCTCGCGAGATGTTTATTGAGAGTGTCGCTAGAAATACGAGAGCTTTGTTAGTCCCGTAGGAAACTGATACAAATATTGGGTATTTACAAACCACGGGCAAGCAGAGTTTCTTCCAGGCATCTCTTCAAGGGGGCTAAGCCCCCCCCCCCCCCGAAACATTTTTACCGCCCCCCCCCCCCGAACGAAATGAAATTTATACAGAAAATATATACTTTTAACAGTGTCCGCCCCCCCGAAGAAAGTCTACCGCCCCCCCCCCCGAAAATTTCAAGTGCCCCCCCCCCCCGGAGAAAAAAGTCTGGAAGAAACACTGCAGGCAAGCCTCTACTTCAGGAAATATTCAAATTTTAACATTAGATCTATAACCTGCAACTTAAGCATGTCTACTAGAGGGAGAGAATAACAATATTTTTTCTTAAAAGATGTCGAGTGATTTATTTCCTATCTTATTGCACAGACAAATAAAAAAAAAAACAACTGGTTTCCAGACTTTGTGATTAAAATTTAGTCGGTCCTCGCTAGTTCGCTGTTACTCCCCCACCCCTCCTCCACATTCCGATGATGGTTGTACAGACTCTGGCGTCGTATTACTGTAAGTAGTGTAAGCGTAACCCTACCCCACTCGCCGTGCTGCCTATCTTGATAGAATAATAGCCTGGTAGTTCTACATTTATTGTACCATGCCCCCACACCAGAATACGCCACCAGAGTTTCTTCCAGGCATCCCCCCCCCCCGAACTAAATGGAATTTATATAGAAAATATATACTTTTAACAGTGTCCGCCCCCTTCCCCCCCCCCCCCCCCGGAAATTTTAGTCCCCCCCCCCCCCCCCGTGGAAAAAAGTCTGGAAGAAACATTGTCTTCCAAACCATTCCCACATTGGCATTACTACTTTTATTCTCCTTCTTTACACAATTTGTAATAACATTCATGAACCGAATCAAATGTAAACAACCCCCACTGAAACAAGAAGTAAGAGAAATTAAACCGAACAACTTTTTAATATAATATTAAACTACCAAGACATCTGTTTTATTTAATGTTTCGAAAGCCTATGTGCGTGCATGTTAGCGCTTGGTAGTAGTGGGTAATTGTTATAAGCATTGCCCGACTTCTGAGTTGATGTCAAGCTAACTCATGCCTGTCAACACTTCATTCTTTCAGCTGGTTTTTCCCACTTCATTTTTACCGGTAGACATGTGTCTGTTCGTCTACAGTTAAATATATTATCAATATATATATATATATATATATATATATATATATATATATATATATATATATATATATATATATATATATATATATATATAGGACTACGAAGCTGTGTGTTTATATATATTATTTATATATATGCATATGATTAAACAAATGCTGAGAAAGAGACTGCTACTGTAAGAGTTATACTTTCCAACGCCCCATACCCCTTACCATATAGTGCAAATAAAGACGTTAAAGAAACAATGCATGCTAGGCTAAATGTAAATTGCAGCTGCCAAGCACGTTTTATTTATAATCTTTCACTGCAACAATAGGTCCACACCAGACGCCTTGTGAAAGGTTGGCAGCACTAGATGCCCCTCTACCGTTTACTTTGATAAATACGATTAGGCCTATTTTAGATGTAAGTTAATTCAACCTTTCCTGTGTCCGTTCAATACTTTTTTTGTCGGCATTGTAGTAAAAAAAAAGGAAAAAAAAAAACAACAAAAAACAACAGGATGTTTAAAGTCCATCAAACCCATAATACTAGAAAATGTCTATCAGATATATATATATATATATATATATATATATATATATATATATATATATATATATATATATATATATATATATATATATATATATATATGCCTAAATATATAATGACATTTGTTTAGTTTTAACACAATGAAATATTGAATAGTAAACCTCTCATAGACGTATATTTCCTATTAGTATTAGTTATTTCCCATTTATAAATTCGCAATAACAAAGAGAAACAACCGATAACTATACTCCTAACTTTGAAAATAAAGAGACATTAGGTGATAACATAATAAAAAAATGTGAGGGCGATATTTTTATTTTATTTATAAAAACAATTATTGACAGCCGTGTATGATGTTTAGCCTAATCTTTATGCTCAATATATTTTAGAATATTGTTATAAAGTATTTTTAAATATAAAAACGATTTAACTTGTATACATCAGCAACTTTATTCACCAAACAAGTAATATTTAATGTGCTCTGTTACTGGAAGTGGAAATGTATCTTCGTTTTTTTTTCAAAAACTATAAATATTGTAGATCTATCTTTTGTTATCAAAATATGAAGCTAACATAGACTACCTTTTTTAAAAAAAAAATCTGTAGACGTTCACTTTTAATTTTGTTGAAGAATGTAATGGAAGCGACTCTAACCAAAACATTTGTGAAGCTACGCCCACCTCATTGATTACTCTGGCGAAAGAAGTGTCTAAGGATGATCATTAGGCAGTGGATTGGCGAAAAAAAATCAATTTTTATCATTCAACTACGGAAGAGCTGGCACACGAATTTTCATTTAACAAACTCTCACAGAATAACCAAAGGCCCAGAAAAAACATCAGAAAACCACACTACATTAGATTAATTACGACGTCCAAACAAATGACGTCCAAATAGCCATTCCATTCTGAAAACAAGTCCGCAAACACTGCTCATCTACACAACACTGGATAAACCAATGCATAAACCCCATTCCAAAAAGCAACAGCTGAGATCTCAAGCGCGCCACCATCAGACAGATCAAAGTAACACCGGAACAGCAACGACACCAATTACACTACAGCAACCACAAGCTTATCACAGCAAGGCGCCTCGATTCCCATGAAACCACAACCACAAATAAAATCTGCCGAGACAACGGAAGACACCACTGCAACAACCATAACCACGAAACCAACAAACAATCCCAACCAGTGGCGTAGCAAGGTCGGGTGTCACCCGGTGCGGCACTTAATGGTGTCACCCCCCAGAGGCGTAGCGACCCTTCCCGGGGACAAACTTTCAATTTTCGATTTGCACCCCACCCCCCACCTCAAACTTTCAATTTGACCCCCCCCCCCCCCTCAAACTTTCGATTTGCACCTCTTAAAAGACTATTTAACACTCGAATTAATCACTTAAGTAAGTGGAATTATCATTTTTCTCTATATATTTTGCTATTTTTTGCCTTGGTGTCACCCCCCTAAATAGTGTCACCCGGTGCGGTCCGGTGAAACGGGACCCCAATAAACTCACTACCGAGTTGGTTTAGTTTAGACTACGCCATTAAAAAAAAACTACTGCAGCTCCAGGTCGGCATGGCTTAATAAAACAAAATTCATATCTATGATTTTTTTGTTGATAATTTAGTAAGGCCCAGCGTTTTTTTTTTTTTTTTTTTCAATTCTGAGCAGGCGGGGGTCAATTATTTATGACTTACTACCTAGAAAAGAATGGGAACTTCCAACACTGCTTGACCGTAATGGACGCGTATGGGCGGGGTGGATGATAGCAGATTCTCGGGCCAATATGGTGCGTTTAAACACCAGCTGACAATGTCTGATGACATAAAGTTTTCATTTCTAAAATTAGAAGCAGTTTGCATTCATGGAAGAGAAGTGGCAAAAGCTGCGGTGGTAGGTGGGCGGGCGTGGTAGTTTATTTACGTATCAGCTTGTTTATGTTTGTTTCAGGCCTAACAGTCTTACAAGTCAGTTTATGTTTGTTTCACACCTAACAATCTTACAGGGCAGTTTATGTTTGTTTCACACCTAACAATCTTACACGGCTGTTTATGTTCAATGTTTCTTTCAGACTCTTTTTCTCGGGGTTGGGAGGGGGGGGGGCACTTGATATTTTCGGGGGCGGAGAACGGAATTTTTCCCCCGGAGGGTGGCGGCGGACACTGGTAAAAGTATGTTCTTTTTTTATATAAATTTACATTTCGTTCAGGGGCGGGGGGGGGGGGGGTGTAGACTTTCTTCGGGAGGGTGGGTGGAAGAGATGCCTGGAAGAAACTCTGTTTATGTTTGTATTGCACCCAACACGGCTGTTTATGCTTGTTTCAGTGGACGGACAGCGCCCTGCTGTACGCCGTGTGGTCATCGCTGTGCAGCCTCTACGGTCTGTGCGTCATCTTCTACAGCGGGACCGGCACCGGCTACGGCGTCAAGATACTCATCTGGCTAACCTACTGGTCGTTTTTCTGCCTGACCGCCCGCTTCATCTGCACCGCCGTCAACTGCTGGTTCTACATCTTCAACCAGAGGTCAACAAAGAACAACAGCAGAGCGGGGGAGGATGACGTGTTCAGTATTAGCGACGGCGACCAGTCAATAAACAATAACGGAAGTTATTCCCCCATGCACGTGGTGGAAATCAAAACAGCGCGTGGCTACCGGGAGCTAGAGGTCAATGACGAGCTTCCGGCGGGGATTTCGAGCCAGTGGTTTCTGCAGAACGTCACCAACGCCACGTCGATACTGGTAACGGCGATGTTTTGGGGTATCGTGTATTCAGGTTGGTCGTGTTTACTTTTACTCCCCTCCCACGCAAGTAATTAATTGATAGCTGGGAGCAATTAGCGAGTCGATGGTGAAAACGTCTGCGGTAATTAATTAATGATGGCTTTATAAGCAGACACTTCCGCTGTTTTAGGTCTGGGCTGGGAAAGAAGGGAGGTAATCAAGATTTTGTCGTAAAAGCAATAATACCTGGGTTATGGGTTCTAATACTGGTTATACGAGATTTTGAGCTTCAGAAACATGACAATGACATTATGATGTCAATATCATTTAATTTGAGAAACAACATAGTGATGAACGTTTCGTAAATGAAAAAAAAATTCTCCTGCAAATATTGGGGAGGTAATAAACACCCAATATATGAATATGAGTCTAATATTATTATTATAATTATGGTTAAATAGTATTGCTCTTGTATTAAACAAGATTTGGCTGTGTTGCATCATACAAATAAATAAATTTACAAAAAAGTCATAATATAAAGTGGTTTTAAAAAAGCAAAAACATACATAGCAATAAGATTATATATCAACTCTATTTCTTTGACAGTGAGATTAAGGTTTATAGTTTGAAACAATTTTTTTTTTGTATACTAAATAAAAAATGTCTTTATTTTTCAGGAAATCCTCAGACGTACATGAGCATAAACTCGCATGTGCTGAACTCATTACTCGTACTCTCAGACATTATGTTAAACAGGGCACCAATCAGAATCCAGCATGCTCACATGCCAGTCATCTTCCTCAGCATCTACATCACCTTCACCCTTATCTACTGGGGCGCAGGGGGCACCAATCACAAAGGGCACATGTACATCTACCGAGTACTCGACTACTCTGGCAGGCCTGGCACGGCAGCCATCGCTATATGTGTCGTGGCTTTAATAGCTGTCCCACTCATCCAGGTTTTCCTGTATGGGCTCTATCGTTTGAGGACGGCTTTACATGCGCGGTGGAGGACAACACGAGTCTACCTACAAAATCATAACGACAAATCTTTGCCTGATTCAAAACAAGAAACAAACAACACTTTTACTTATAAAAAAGAAAATGGGGAACAATTTACTTGTGAGTTGAATTCAGAAGATAGCTTATCTTAATACAACTTTAGAAGCTTGTAAGCAATTAATAGCTTAAATTATGATCAAAGTTATTGATAATTTAAATAACAAAAAAAAAGGATTTGTTTGAAATGTGACAGTCAAATTATTAACTGATTTAAAATGTAAAAATGTACCAAAGATTAAAGGGCAATAACCCAGTAATGTCTGAATTACTTAAAGATCAAAAATCAAAAGGAAGAAATCTGCATCCATATTATTAATTACAGTCATTATGCTCTATTTCTTTTAGTACTTGAGAAACAATAAATAAAACTACTAAAAAACTTTGATTAACATCAAGCGAATTAAACATTAATCTTAACATAGTACCATGTACGCACAGTGACACATTTTGAAACAGAGGAATCAATGCTGATTTATGTTATGATTTATTTTATTAATTTTGTAAATGATGTACTCAATAACATATCTGTATATACAACAAGTATTATGAAAAACACTGCTTACACACCATCAGGATGCTTGTCCCAGAATATCAAGTTTGTAAATAGTTATTCTACCAAAGAAATCTGTGCTTTGGTCAAAGGTAATTCTTAAGCTTGATAACTTTACAGATTCGGTTAGATGAAATATCTGTAAAATAAAATAAACCCGTTTAATTTGTATTTTTTTGTAAATGTACTAAATAATGTAAAATAGATTTGATGAATCTTTGATTTTCCTCATTAAAAAAGTAATTAAAGAATAATACTTTCAGCTTGCAAGTGATTACACATATTGTTTTGTATGCAACAATAAATGTATTATTACTTTATAACTTGAACTGCTGTAACAAAATTAAATTTGTAATCATTTAACATAGTAAGTGATTAAAGAAGTCCATATTCTGATATTGTATTTTCATAGTTTTAAGCAGCAATCAATTATTAATTTACAATTTATCAATTAAAAGAACAAATAAATGTAAATTACAGCTATTGACTAACAGTGAAAACTGCCATTTTAAAATCATAGTTTAAATGTAATTCTTGTTAATACCTATTTCTAAAATTTGTTTCTACTAATTCATATAATGCAAAATAAACAATTTAAATGTTAAAAATAATGAAACTGAAACATACTTGTGTTTGGTTACTGTCTTGTGGCTGGAAACTAAAAACCTGGACATAATCGTTGTTCTCCCCTGGTGTTTCTAGTAGGCAGCTTTTCCCCACAAATCCACCTTGAAACTGAACATGAATTTCTTGAACAGAGACAGCTTGATTAAAATCTATAATCACCCACTGTGGTGTACCCTGTAATAATATTTATACCAGTGTTTTAGCTATGATTAATTCTTTTCAATAAACCAAAAACAACTGACATTCCATGCCATTGTGAGCCTAGTTGTGGAAAATTATTGACATTCATTTAAATTTATGAATTTAAAAATATTGAATAAGTAAAATCTATTTATTAAAAAATGATCACCAACTAAAATTTAAGAGTATTAGCTTAATATACATTACTTCATACCTGGTCAGAGTTCCAGCAGGTCTCATCATCATCATCAAACAGGTACTGTTTTCCAAACTGTTTTACGTCTTTATTTAAAACACTGCTTACCCTGGAAATTATAAAAAAAGCAGCCCCTGAGACTGTGTGGCGCTAACTTCCTATGCTTTAAGGAGGGCTGAGCATGGTTAAAGCAAACAGACCTGTAAAAGTGCTCAAGATGATCGCAGCTTTTCAATCATTAAAAAAAATTAATGACTAATGCATGTGCACAAGGTTACCTACTAGATAATAATTAACCCTAATTAACTGTGGTTTTGAACCTGAGACTTTCAATAATCAGCTTCCAATGTGTTTGAACTTCAATACGTTTGAGTATTTTTTAACATAACTCTAGCAGGAAGATTAGGAAGACAAACAGCAGCAGACAGCTAAAATTCCAAATGTAATTTATAAAAACTGCCATTCTTGGTTACTTTTTAGTAGTTAGAGTAGTGTGTAGGCTAGTTAATAGCAATACTAATAGAAATAGTGTTTGAAGTTAAGGGGCATTGAATAGGCCAATTCTAGCTGGAACAAAAAGCGCATGCTCATATTTACTAAACAATGCTACAGGCTACAGTGTCATGGTTTTTCTTGACATCTAAAAGTACATTGTTCTGGCCTATGAGTTGTCCTGATAGGATTAACATGATAAAAACGTAAATAGTAGATTTAAATATGCTATTTGTTAAGCTTTACTTAAAGACTAGATGGGTAGATATCTTTTACTAGTTCTAGATATACTAGATTCACCCCCCCCCCCCCCCCCAGATGATCCGGCTAAAGCGCAATCACTCAACTCAACCACACAATACAGTCTGTTTTGTTGGAAGAATAAGGCTAAAAAAAGAGTAATATGAGCCCATAGCTAGCACAACTATTTAGGGTAATTCGAGTCCATTGATTGCACAACTCTAAAGGGCTAATTAAATTTCAGTACATTTTCAGCCTTAAGGGCAGCTCTCTTACTTTTCGCCAACGTAAGCCTGACAACCCTTGCCTCTCTTCTCCTTCCAATGTCATTCTCCAGAATTCAGGATTGCCTTGGCTGGCCTACATTCTTTCCTTTTCTCATGGAGAATTTATAATAAATTTAAATTAGGGCCTAGGCCTAATTAAAAAATAAGAATATTAGTTAGTTTAGGCCTAATAGGAGAATTTTTATACCAGTGTCCGATTAATAGAATCTTCTTTAAAAAAAAGGTGTTTTAGGTTACTGATAGTTAACTAAATAGTTGCTGGCTAATGTCAATGCTATTTGCTAACTCTAACCCCAACCCTAGTCCTACCATACGCCTAACCCCAATTATGGTAATCTACTGCTGTCCAGCATGAGATCAGACACATTAAATACCACTGCCCCCCCCCTCACAATTTCTCACCCCCATGATACCCAGCCCCCACCTGTATCTAACCCACCATAAAACTTTATGTTTTTGTAGGTAACATAAACTAAGTCCTTAGATCTCAGCCAAACAGAGATAGCATCTCTTATGTAATTTATGGCCCTCAGGGTCCAGCAAGGAGAACAAAGGGGAAAGCAGTACCACTGCTCTCCCCTCAACATTTCTCACCTCCATGTTATATTATGTAATGTATAGCACACAAGGTTTATCAGGGGAAAGCACCAAGGCAGATTAGCTAGTACCTCCCCTTTTTACATCCAACAATCTTAACTCTGGACAGCTACACACTAGGTATACTAATGTGCCTACTGTAAACTACTAGAATGTAGGCCCTATGTATGTAGACCTGCAATTGTAGCAATTGTGGGGGGGTCCAATGGGGCCTAGTGATAACTGATATCATTTAATGTGTATGTACACAGCATTAACTAGTTTGGGGTTAGAAATTAATTATTTTTACTGTGGAGTTAGACTAAACTAGGAGAAAATACTTAATGCCCTGTGGTCCGGCTACATTTGCCCCAAATGCTGATTTTTGGGGTATGGCTATAAAGGCTAAATTAAACCAAATAAACATAAATTAAATAGCCTTTATTATTTTTATATTGAGTAAGATGTGTTAGAATAATTTTGCATTAAATTCAATATTATAAAAAATACTTGGATTAGTAAAAAGTAAAAATCTTTAAAAATGTAGTTTTTGTACAGTAAAGGTGCTAAAAACAAAAAGTGTGGCTCTTAGTCTCTTAGCCTAGACTAACTTACAACTTAGTCTTACTTAGGAGTCTTAGTGCCTTTCTTTGCCCTAATAAATATAGGCTACTAATGTCTAATTTTATTATTAATGTTACTTTGTTAGGCCCCTAATCACCGAATCAGCCCCAGTATTGTCTGGCCCTGTGTTTTTTTTATTTATTATTTATTAGGCCTAATATTTATTTAATAGGCCTCTAACTCTATATAGTATAGATTTCATAGATCTAGGCCTAAATTTAAGGCTAAGGCCCGCTAAGGCCTACTGAACTTTCACCTGTGGCTGTGGTGAGGATACCTCCACTGGAGGCTCCACTTTTACTATTTAAATTTAACTATTATTTAATATTTACTTATTTACTATTTAAGTATTTAGGCCTTAGTTTTTAAAAAAGCAGTAGGCCTAGTATTATTTATTGAGTAGATTAGTAGTAGAATTGTATTGAGTACTATTTACTATTTAAGACTATAGTACTATTGTTGGTAATCTATCGTTTTGGGTACGTAAAATCGCCCGCGGCTATTAATGTACGTAAACGTTACCTCATTGTCAAGGCTGTAATAGAAGTATATTGTGATATGTTTGTGTAAAATATTATAGATAAATGAATAATAAACCTAAATCAATGGCTAAATATATTAATATAGGCCAGAAATTAACTTTAAACAGCAGTGTCTGCAAGCAAGATTTGCTATATAAACAGCAGCCATTTGTAAAATAGAGTGGCTTCCCCCTGAATCTGGCGCTAAAAGCTTATAAAAATAAAACTTAGACAAAATGGCTGCTATAGTAAATGAGCATGGTTGCATCTGTTGGAAACATCGCTGGTGTTCATTTATTACTGAAAAGTTTTAATTCAATTGTTTAAAAACAGGTACATAAATGAAACAAGGAAACATTTTTGTATTTTTCAAAACATAAATCCTCCTCAAAATGTGAAATAATTATTAAAATGTAAGGAGTCACCTGTTTTTCACATTACTAGTCGCGGGCGATTTTACGTACCCAAAACGATAGATTACCCTATTGTTGAGTATGCAAAAAATGCCTGTCTTGCGATGTTATCCTGGATGTTATCCTCTTCTCTTTATAATTTTATACCTTACTCTGGAGCGACAAGGGCTGACATTGTTATAAAAGAGGGTCTATTTAATTGTTAATTGTAATTTAAATTATGTTTAGGCCTACCTGGTCCGCAGTATGTTTTTCTTAAGAGAATTTATGGGCGCCGCCATTGTTTCGAAAATACGACTGTAGATCGTTGTCTCTGGAACAGGATGAATAAATACTGTTTAGAATAAAATTTAAAATTAATTAAGTTTATAAATGTGTAAATTGATGATAAGTTTTAATTTATTATATACAGACCTAGTTTGTAATTAGTCATTAGTATTTTATCATTTTAATTAATAAGTTATCAATTTTAAAAATTACGACAACTACTTTACGACATAAAAGCAAATTTAAAATAGATATACTTCCAGATCGAAAGTATTTCACGAGGATCCAAAATAAAACTTGTCTTTGAGAGATGTAATGCGGCTTCCTAAGCTAGTGACTGGGCCTACAATTCTATTTTGTTACAATACATTCGTTCGCAACTATTTATTTTCGTCCCAAAATTACAAGTCATTGCATCTCACTGTGTAAGACTATTACATAATATTAGCCGAAGTTACAAAAGTTAGATTTGTAGGCCATTTTTATGACGTCCACACGCGGGGGGGGGGGGGGGGGGGGGACGCATATGGACTGGTATAAGGAAAAAATGGATTTTTGTGGGGGGGGGGGGGTCCCAAAATCCAAAAAAAAAATGTGGACTTCATAAATGGATGACCCCTTATTTACAATTTTTTTAAAGACTGTAAGTAGTTAATGAGCTAAGGCCTAACTGCTGAACTTGAAGTGCTGAACTCTTAAAATCTGGGAAGTATGGTAAAGCCTGTAACTATACACATTACACAATGACTTGTGAGATGTGACTGATATGCAGACAATAGAGTTAGGCCTACTTTCAAATACAGTTTGTGCTCTCATAGTAGACTTTGATCATTAGACCTTAATCATTTTTATTTTATTATTTAGAATTAACAACAAAAGCAGATATTTATATCCACATCATGATGATAAAGATGCTACTACTTACAATATGCCAAAGATAAAAGAAGGAAAAACAAAGGTATTTATAATTATATGACCATGAAACCCAAAGTCCTTTACTTGTTTGGTAGTACAAGTATATTGTAGTTTTTGTAATCATCATCATCTTTTGTTCCCAAGACACATGGGGCCACCACAGAAAGCTCTTTCTACTTTTGCCTGTCTCTGGCTATTTCCTTGACAGTCCCACAAGATAGTCCTGCCTTTTCCAGTTGCTTTTCTTTTGTGTGCCTCCACATCTCCCTTGGCCTTTCCTGTTTATTTCTTCCCTGAGGAGTCCAGCTCATCACCATATCTGTATTATCATCTGGACTCATTCTCAAAACATGACCCATCTAGTGCCATCTTTTAAAAAAATTATTTCTGAAAGGGCTTCCACTTGCATTTCTCTTTATAATCTAACATTGGAGATGTTGGCAGCCACTTTTTTGTGTGATATTTTTTAATTCATTTTCAATAATGTCAGATTTTAAAAATTATTTTGTCATCTTTCTTTGGAATTGTATTCAATACACTACAAATTTCCTAATTTAAAAAGATCTAGTTTTTTTTTTGGGTTTTATTTTAATGGACACCAGTGAGTTGATGAGAATCCTTCCATAATGTTGTTGACATGGAATAAAAACGTGCTTTTTTAGATTTAGACCGTAAAAAAAATAAAAACCTAAGCCAAAAATTCATAAAATTCATTTAGAAATTTTGTTTTTTTAGAATAAATGCTATAAAAGTTGCAAATCCAGAGAACTTGAAAATAATTTGTTGAGTTTAAGGCTACATTTCTATTTATTTTCATCAAGCCTAAGTTATAACCGGATGTTTCACTTTCGTAAGACAAATATTGATTGGCTGTACAGTAACTTAGTGATCGATAACTATTTGTTTACAAAACTTTGCAGATCAAGTTTTTAAATAACAATGCGAATTTATTAATATTATTTAAACCCCATGACCTAGTTTTTCTTTTTTTAGCTTATAGTGTGTACAATAAAATTTATGTCAGCCTATGGAATAGCAGGATGCCATTGTTTATGTCGCCATTACACGTGAACCAAATTGTTTTTGCTTTTTTTTTAATTTGTATTTAGTTACCGAAAATATTAAAAGCATCAAATACATCCAATCTTTAGTAAAGTCCGAAATAAACCAGACAGACACGATTTTATAACCATATTAATTGTAACTACGCCCTGCATGATTTTTAAATAAATTTATGGGCCTCTCAAATACCTTTGAGACTTTTCTCGCTGGCGTCCATTTAATAAGTCAATTTTTTAAAAAGTTAACCAGCCTCACCTTTATTATGATATTTCTTCTACTTAATAGAAAGGAAGTGTTAGCACACCCAGTTCAGCAGGTGCAACTACCAGTGAGGATTCAGCAGTCACCGTCCATTCTGATGGTTCCATCCTAATCAAAATCCTTGCCAAACCAGGAGCCAAACAAAACAGTGTCACAGGTATCATGTATAATTTTTAACTCCCCCAAAAGCTAAGTACAGAAAAGTACAAACTTACCAGTGCAATGGTTCAGTTGATAACCCTACCTTAATCTCTACTTACAAGAGAAAAACTTTACAGTTGAAAGTTATTGGTATTTTATTCATATTTTTGTTTGTTGTAACTATAATTTTAGGTGTGACAGAAGAAGGGGTTGGTGTTCAGATTTCAGCACCCCCAGTTGAGGGAGAGGCCAACACAGAACTTGTCAAATACATCTCTAAAGTGTTAGATCTTAGGAAATCTGACATTCAGCTAGACAAGGTATTACACACATTTTTTGTTAATTAAAAATTGACTTTAGTTAAAGTTTATCCCGTTTTAGAATATATTGGTTATATAAAATGAAAATTTTATCTTAGTTTGTAGTTTACAATCTTTTAAAAGTTTACAATCATTTAAAAATGCAATGTTATTTTTGCCTTTGTTTTTTCTCTCCATGTTCTTAGGGATCAAAATCTCGAAATAAAATCTTACGTGTGGATAAAACAAGCGGGCTTACAGTTCAGGCAGTTTTAGATAAACTAAAACAAGAAATCCAGTCTTAGCTAATGTGATCATAAAATAACAACTGATATTTGAACCTGGTGTTATTTACAAAAAGTTAAAACTTAACCCAAAAAAAAAAATGTCACATGCAGTATTTTTTAATCCAGCCATTTTAAGGCTTATTCCTAAGTTGTCGCGGATCTGCTGTGCTAATTTACCCGTGGTGAATTTCTTCTCAACTTGGAAGCCAGAGGTTCCAAATGGTAAAACCTCCTCACTAAAAAGCTCACAGATCTCTTATAAACACAGAGACAAACAACACAACAGTGAAACAAGTAGGTCTCAAAGTGATTTGTACCAGACTCAGGTGACTCAGAAATACAGACCTTCCGACCACAATAATAATTTTAATCAAGGAAAGAGAAGGTTTGGAAATTCTGATCAATACGGTGACAGATTTGGGCATACAAAAAGTTTCAATGCTGAAAGAGCAGGAGTATGGGTAGACGAAAAGCAAGATGACCCAGCGTGGCTAGTGAAAATGCACCAACATCTGATGAAAAATGTCACTTTACCTCCATCATACAATGGTTAGCTGCTAGTTTATTTAGAATTTAGTTTAAATTATTTTGTTTATAATCAGTTTTAAGAACTTACAGGAGTGTTTTCTAACATTTCTTTGGTTAATAAAACTACACAGATTTTAGATATAAGAACTCCATCCATGTTTTATTTTCTGTTTTATTTTTATAATTCTTGATCAGCACTTGTCAAGCATTTTGTCTCGGTGTTCTGAAATGTAGCATAGTTTAAATTAAATCTCATTTGAATGTAAACTTCAGTTAAATATAGGTTTTTTTTTTGTTAGATATCATGTTAAGAATATTTATTTTAAAAAACTAGCTCCATATATATTTTTAAAGTACTAAATTTCTTTTAAAATTTAGTATTATATTACTTATATTATATCTATTTAAAGACGCTCTATTAAGTTGAAAATACATAATAGTCTTATATTATTTATTAATTTTTGTTGTGTCATGCTACAGGTTATTTTGATATGTCTGAGGAGAACCTGGAAAAACAGAGTATACCACAGCTGATGTCTTTAGCTAAAGATCTACAAACTATGGATAGAAACTCAAAACAAATTATTGTTGAGCTATGGCGTCGATTTGATTCAATGACTGTTGATCAGATACTAACAGTTGCTGACATGTTCTACATAAAGCAACAGAAATCAGCCAACTACTATAGTGCCATGCTTTCGTACTTCAATGAAATGTTTGAACTGCTAGATTTCACGCCACATGAAATGACCCGTCTTGTGTTTCATATAAAATGCCATTCTAACGCACCACCATTTTTATACCTGGCCATTGAAGAAAGATTGCTACAAAAATTTCCTGATTATGGCTTGAACCAGATAGCTATAATTTGTCATTTGCTTTTTGTTGATCGAAATAGAATCAAATCTGTGGCATTATTGGACCAGATTGCAAGCAAGTTTCTTCAAGAATTTCATATTCTACATCCTTGGTACCTTCCCATGATGATGAAAATGTTTCGGTACTCAAACTACATCAAGCCTAGTTTCTACACTGCATTGGGTGACAAAATACTTGCAACACACTATTTAAAGAAAACCAGCGGATTAAGCCAAGTGATGCACATTACGTTTACTTACGCATCGGTTCGCGTCACACATCCTGCACTGTTCAGCGCCATCCTTACCCACTGTGAGTCACCTGTTCAGTTCCAGAGACTTAAAGACATATCTAAAATCATTTGGGCCTGTGGGACACTTGTCACCACCGAACCTGCACAATTGGAATCAGTTGACAAAATTGTGGGGCTTTACCGGAGACATGTACCAATAGATACCATACTGAACTACCCGGATAATTTAGTTGACATTGTTATGGGTCTGATCATGCTGAACATTTACCCTCATGACTTGATAGAAGACCTGTTTGATCCAAACATTGTGAAAAAAGCCTTGGGTAAGCTATGTTTTTGACTTTGTATTGCTGAGGTAGTTTAATTGTATCTCAACCATATATATCTTGTGTGAATATTAAAATTCAAGGTTTGATTATTTGTAAACTTAAACCATTGTGAAATTTTTTAAACTACTTATTAATGTAATTTTTATTAATTGCGTTTGAAAATTTAATTAAAAATTAATCACTAAAACAATATTAACATGTTTTTGGTGGTAAGTTTTTCATTTGTTAATTATTATGTATATCTACGGTAACTATTATAAAGTTTTTATAATTTAGTTTGCCTTCTCTAGGTCTACAAAATGTCAGAGAAAAGTTCCTGCAACTTCACTTCATTCACAATTCTGTACCCATTGAATGTCCAGATTACAAAGGCAATAGGCTCTCTAAAGTAACATTTATTATCTCTTTCTAAAAAAATGTTAAAAACTATTTTATGAATAATTGTTCAATAATTCTTGTTTTTTGTTTCCATTTATTTCATGGGATAGGTAACAAATATGATTAATGTGTACACATGTTACATTTTAAACATTAAACCTTTAATATACACTTTACATTTAACTTCTCTGCCTCATATTTCTATATTTTTTTTAAAGGTGTTTGGGATGGGGTTGTTAACGAAGCAAACATTAATCGTTTAGATATACTATTCAGCTCTTTAAATCATCACCACTAAATACTTAATGGATGGTTAATTCTTTAGTCTAAGCTAGCTTTGGTGGAGGTGGATTTGTTTTTTAAAATTTAATTTCCCTTGCACCAATTGAATGTACTGTCCAACCCCACAGTCTCAGCTTGCTATAGTGGAGGAGAAGTTGAAGCACCTGACCCTGGATGTGGATGTGTATTATAGGAAATCTGTCACACCGGCTTTAGAGTCCCTGTTGAATGCCCTGGGAGATGATAAAGTACATTGCAAATTTGTTCTTCCCCATTTCCGAACAACAGGTGAATTGCTTGCATGATAACCATATTCACTTTGTTTATTTATATTTTAATTTACTAGTTATTTTGTAAGCTACTTCCCTTTAATAGATGACAAACACGTGTTCACAAAAAAGTTGCAACAAAAACTCATAAAATCAGCTTATTATTTATACATAAAAATTTCTAAAATAGATAATTAAAAAATTTGAATGCCCAGTTATTAAATTAACCTAGAGCTTCTTTGAACAAGTTTTATTTTAATTATTATTTATTGTCATAAAATTTATCAATTTGCAGATATTCTGTTGTTTTATGATAGAACTAAAGGTTGCTTTATAAAGCCATCTGAAGAACAGCTAGCTTCAACTGCTGTGCCAGGTTATTTTGATAAAAACATTGAAAGGTTGGTTTTTAAAAAAAAACTTTAGTTGTTTTGGTTCAGTACAAATTAGTTGTGTCAAATAAAGTACATGACTGTTGTGTCTCTGTATTAGAGTTGGTGTGGTAGGAGTGGTAAAGCTCTTGGTTGCTAAACCAAAAAGTCCCAAATTCGAACACTTACATAGATGAGGCTTGATAGCCGGGGACAGCAAGCAACCCATCTGGGAGAGAAAACTCCAAAATCAAACAACTGCTGCCGTGTAGCTGAAATCTGAGTCAAATGCCTAGATTGCACATAACAGGTTGACACAATCATAATACTTAATTGTGTTGGAGGAAATACAGTCTACCATTAAAAATATTTTTTCCTGTCAAAATTGTAAATCTATACTTGACTCCCATCTTTTTATCATCCAATTTTAGATTAGTGATTCTTTTACTGAGCAAAGCTAACTACACCTTTGACAAGAAGCTATTAGGGATGATGCGTTGCAAACTTCGCCAGCTTAAGACTCTAGGATATAAAGTTATACCAGTAAGTCTAGCCACAGCTACAGTCTAATATATGTATTTTTACCACTAACTCTGAGTGACAAAAATAATTTTTATTCTTTTATTTAAACAAGAAATGAGTCAATAATTCAGTAGGAAGAAACCAGTGTGTGAATGAATACTGATCACAATGTACAATTTTTGAGAAGGTAGATGCAGGCTAGTAAATAAGTGGTAGGCAAGAGGAGCTTAAGTAATAACATTGCCATGATTAATTTAAAAGCTGTAACTCACACAAAATAGTCAGGATTAACCTTAAGACTTTGCTTAAAAGAGGCACTATTAACCTCAAAAGTTTTGTTACATTAGCCAAGATTAACATAAAGTCTTTGCTTAAAATAGGCAGTATTAACCTCAAAAGTTTTGTTACATTATGATTAACATAAAGTCTTTGCTTAAAGTTGTCAGTTAGACCCTGAAAGAACCGAGCAAATAATACCTAAAAAGTAATATATTATATAAACAGCTGTTGGCTGATAGATGCTTTCTGGCATTTCTCTCTCCCACAGATAGACACAGAAGAGGCTGAGAAATATCCACTGATAGACTCTAAGATGAGAGAGGAGCTTCTTTTGGGTCATATCTCTAGAGCTCTTCAGGTAGATGACCTGATGAGTGGACACTCAAATCATGCTTGTTGATGTGAGGTGATTCTGTTAGGTCATATCTCTAGGGCTCTTCATGTAGATGACCTTATGAGTGGACACTTATGCTTGTTGATATGAGGTGATTCTGTTAGGTCATATCTCTAGAGCTCTTCATGTAGATGACCTTATGAGTGGACATTCAAATCATGCTTGTTGATGTGTTGAAATAAACATGTTTTAACCCATACATAAAGTGTTTGTTTTTAATTTACCCCACTAGTTTCAGTTATGATTGATGGCTTAGAAATAATGTCACTTGAGCTAGTCTAAATATTTGTAACTAAATACATAATGATGTTATGGTCCTGTGGTGATTGAATGTAATTATTTCTGTTAAGTCCACTGAGTCAGTGAAAAACAAGTGGCTACAATATAATGCTGAATACACACTATCTTGACATGTTCAATGGGCATCGAGTCTGAAATCTTAGCACATTGATGTATCCATGAAAATGTCATTAGGTTTTTTTTAACCCCCCTTTTTTTTTTAATCCACTCCCCCATCATCGCAAGAAGACAGACCTCCCCTAAACTGACGTCACACTTTCGTCACCCCACACCCACATGAATGCATTTTTTTCATTCTATTTCGATCTAAAATGTTAATAGAGATGGGTCAAAGGTGGTATGTACATTAATACAGTTTCATAATAATTAACTACAAATACAAAGCAACCCTGAAAAAATTGTAATGATTGTAGTTATTAAAATTCTATAGCGAGTGTAACGTTACATAACGACACGCCACCCCCCCCCCCCCCCCCCCCATTTACTTTATAGGCTACTAACAGGCCACAAGTAGACCGAAACAACCCCACAAAAAAAACGAAAACAAACTTGACAGTGTAGTGTGTGTAGAGTTCACGATGTAGGCCTACTACCAGAACCACACGTAGAAAATACTTATCGACAAAACCACACAATTTTTTTAAGACAAAAAAAAAACGAAAACAAACTTGCTAAGTGTACCGTCGGCAGAGTTCGCGAAACCTCATTAAACTCTGTCCCGCTAAATATGCAGTTTCTGCCTCTTCAAATAACTCAAAACAAAGGCCAAGTCTTCCTTGAAGGTCACGTCATGTCCACGTAACCTCGAGTCTAGGTATGAGAGCAGTAACAATACTGGCTGCGGCCGATACGTGAAGGTTAGGTAACTAGAAAAGTTAACGGAGTAACGCTTCCACATTTGTCTCTAAGGGGGGGTCATCCACAAATGACGTCACGCTTTTTTAGGACGATTTTACCCCCTCCCCATCGTCACACATCATTACAAAAAGCCAGACCTCCCCCCTAAAATGACGTCACACCTCAGCCTACACCCCCCCTCGAAATTGCAGTTGAATTTTCTTAAAATACGATATTTTTCCAATATCTTACCTGAACTTTGTCGACATAGAGTATTTTAATCAATTATTATTACAATTTATAAAAACAACTTTATAAAACGCGAAATAGCTGCTAAAATTCGTTTTCTAATTGCTTTTTTTATAATGGTGTAACGTCACACCATCTGACACCCCCCCCCCCCCTTCCCCTCATACACACCGTCACAAAATTACGAACCCCTCTCCCCCTACCAGTGTGACGTCATTTATGGACGACCCCCCCTAAGTAATATATCCAGCAGGTTGCTCTGTATAGACTATGTGTGTGAAAAATGGAAGAAGTATTACAAAATGAAAACATCTATGTATCAGAAAACTAAAAAGCCGACATTCTCTTCTTCTGCGACAAACTTCCAAACAGAATATAGCTTTTCAGGTTCCATAGCTTTGTTTTGAAGCGATTTGTTGACCTTTTCGACTAACATTTTCTTGACTGACTAACCCCCCCCCCCCCCCCCGAAGAGATACCTGGAAGAAACTGTCTATCTCCAACCTCTTCCCCCTCCATCTTCATATCTCCACACATCTTCACACACATGCACATCCGCTAACATCACTTCATTTCGCACATTTTATAAGCCGCGAATTTTACATGCCGTTCATTTTATTTCTATATGCCGCACATTTTCTGTGCCGCACATTTTATAATCCGCATATTATACATGCCGCACATTTTATAAGCCACACATTTTACATGCCGCACATTTTAAAGCCGCATAATATGTTAAAAAGTCCCCTGGACGACTAATAGTTGGGATCATTATCACCTGCTTTCCTACTCAATCCAATTTTTAAATCGTAGCAAAACATTTGGAAGTCTTCATTTTGAGAGTAAGAAAGTCTCTCGCCGCCTCTACCTGATTCTAAATTATACGTTTTATTGATCCCGTGTTCAATGACTTAAGTTAATATGAAGTCACATTTCTACTCTCTCACTCCAAATGGTAAAAAAAAAATCAGCCCTCACAATACATCCTAAAAATTGAAGACTCACTTCACAAACTACTTTCATCCCACCAAGACCCATATTATCTGAGCCAGAGTTTCTTCCAGGCATCTGTTCGGGGGGGGGGGGGGGGGGGGGGGGGGGGGGGGGGGCTAAGCCCCCCGAAAAAATTCTACCGCCCCCCCCCCCCGAACGAAATGAAATTTTTATAATTTATATAGAAAATGGAAATTTATATTGAAAATGTGTACTTTTACCAGTGTCCGCAACCACGGAAAATTTAGTCCGCCCCTCCCCCCCCCCCCAGAAACCGAAATTATCAAGTTGCCCCCCCCCCCCGGAGAAAAAAAAGTCTGGAAGAAACACTTGAAACACCTTCATAAAAAAACGGTCAAATTGAACATGCTAAGAATTATTTCCTTAGTGACTTAGTGTAGTGTAATATATTAAAGTTTTTGATAATTTACATATTTCCTCATGGCAGACTCAAGTTATTTTTAGATTTTGGGAGTTTCCCCAGTAATCATGTCGCTTTAGTGTGAACATAGAGTGCACATTTGTAAAGGTGAATAAAGTCATTAACATTTCATGTACTTGGTTAGTTCGCTGGCTGATTTAAATGTCGCTTACACAATACTGACAGATTAAATAGTAACTAACGTCAATCGTTGTCTCGCTTTGAGGCCATGTCTATATATGGATCAGGAAAAGTAAATAAGAGTTTTCTCTCTTGTGGAACATGTTTTGCATTGGTTGCGCATTGACCAGATGATCCCCCTTTTATTTACTTAAACACATGGAGTATCTTTTAACCTAAATGGCAGACTAAAAATAATTACTTTAATTGTAATACCATTTATGTATTATTTAAAACCCCAAATCAACGAGATGATAAAAGAGTATGTATTAATTATAGTCAGGTGCAATGTAGCTGAAAGTAAAAACATTGATGACGCTAGGGTTTGAACCCTGGACCCTCACTGTGCTAGAGGGATGCGGTGCTCGGCACTCAGCAGAAACACCATTTGCGAACAGTAATGTTCCTTTTATAATGTGGCTCTCTATACTCTATTATTGTTCAATAAAGAATGTAAACAGATCATGCTTCTATTATGCGTCGTTGGAAGATATTATAATACAGTAATTGGGTTACTGATTAAAGGATTCACGTTTGAATCTTTAAAGGCTTTTAGCCTAAGATACATATTTCTTCATATAGGCCTCAGAGGCGTAGCGACCCTTCCCGGCGCCCGGGGACAAACTTTCGATTTGCACCCCCCTTCAAACTTTCGATTTGCACCCCCCCCCTCAAACTTTCGATTTGCACCCCACCCCCCTCAAACTTTCGATTTGCACCCCCCTCCTCGAACTTTTGATTTGCACACCCCCACCCTTAAACTTTCAATTTGTTTTTCCAACCCATTTTGGCGCCCCCCTAAGGTCGGCGCCCGGGGACATACGCCCCCCCCCCGCTCCACCCCCTCGCTACGCCTCTGATAGGCCTACTCCATTTAAAGTATATAGACGCCTATTATAAAAGCTTAATAATAAAAAAATAATAAAAGTTGTATTAGGCCTACAATAAGAAATGATATTTACGTTTAATTTTTTTAGAAGATTTAAAAGCTTACCATTACAAACGTTCTATACTTGTTTTATTTCTTGTACCTGAAATTAGTACCTAATCTATATACGTTTTATATAAACCTTTAAGACTAACACATAAGCCCAGAGTTTCTTCCATGCTTCTCTTCGAAGAAAGTCTACCCCCCCCCCCCCCCGAACGAAATGGAATTTATTTAGAAAATTTATACTTTTACCAGTGTCCGCCCCAACCCCCCGAAAATATTAAGTATCTCCCCCCCCCCCCCCCCCCCCGGAGAAAAAAGTCTGGAAGAAACACTGCATACGTCTATGATATTCACCTTGTCTTGAGTAAAACAATGACCAGTAGCGAACCCATAGACAACACCGGTAGCCTCCATATCTTTATTTTTTCATTTAGTAGACCTAAAGACTTGATGATAAGGCATAGAACAACTTAGTCTTTATCTCACATTTCAATAGTTCGCCATTTCGCGTCTCGCATTTTACCAACCCAAAAGAACACGAACGCTTTGACTATAGAACAACGTCAATAGACTCGATGATACAACTGAAGTCCCTGTAATAGTTGATAGAAAGGGGTGTAAGAAAATATAATATTTCCGTGAAAAGCTTATTTAAAAACTTAAAATCCGTTAAACAATATTTAGCCTATATGCATGATTAGGTGTGGGATTTACCCTGAAAGTAAAACTATAAAAATGCTAATATACGCTATATATGAATGATCTGAATAGATCTAGTAGTATATAGATTTTATGGGTTTGTGAACAAGGAATTCGCGGTAAAAAAAACAACATCACAACAAATCGTTATTAAAATAATCAGCAATAAACTACAGCAAAAACAAAACCTTGTTTCCGCTGGGGCTTGAACCCAGGACCTTCCGCGTGTTAGGCGGATGTGATGACCACTACACTACGAAAATACCTGCTTTATTCTCAACAGCTTATCTTAACTTAGAAAATTCTAAACAAAACTTTCATTATTTTTATTCTGCTGAGTTATCAGTGCCGGGTTGAGACATTGCTGAACCCAATGAAGAAACGTGTGGCCATATTTGTCACTGCTTTATATTATTTGGTTGAAACTGAAAAACATTAAAAAGAATATAGATAGTGAAATAGTAGGCGCTACATCTTTACCTTTAAATTATTTTTATTCACAACAAACCTTGAAATGCAAATCTGGTAAACCAAGTTTGTTAAAAAAAGTACAATTTACAAACAAGGCTTATTAA